CTTGTAACGCTTTGTAACGTAACTCCGAATCTCTTTGCATCAATTACGTACAGCTTGACGGACCCCCTCTTAAGATTCCAAATATTGTGGGAAAATGTTGAAAATATAGCTGGATCAAGTTTGAAGTGTCTTTAATGATGATGTGACAAATAACACCGAGGAAGTGAGGGTGATAAATTAACGCTGGCGCCGACCTACCTTCCCCCCTTGTAATGTAAGCTCACACCCCCACCTCTTTCTAGTGCATTACGTAATTTTACGGTCGCTTTCTAACTATCTTTGTAAATAAATATTTTACCGGAGGAAATTTGGCAACATCTGCATACTCATACGGCGTTTTTCCTCAACACGGCAGTATACGGCGGTAACGTGGTTGTCGCTGAGCATGCTAGTCGAGGCCTCGGAGCGATGGGTACGCTTTTTGTGAGTTGATCTACTTGAAGAAAGTCGTAAACGCCATGAGGGATACCGCTTTATGCAAGTCCTTTTTTAAAAAGGATTGGAATTGGGGCCGGCGCAACGCCCGGATGCAGTGCGGCCACATGTCTGATGTGCGGCCGACTTCAATTATACGACGGGGGCTGCGGAAATTTGCAATTATGCTCGGGAGCTGCGCAGCCGAGAAATTTTGGGGATAAAGGGCTCCCTGAAATAGACGAAATGAAATCAACGACGTATCGTAACTGATCCTCTCTCCATCCGCAACGATGCCAAGTTTTGCAGGAAACAAGATTGCTGCAGCAAACATATTCAAAGTTACAATGTCGTTGCTTCTCTGATGTATCTAGATTTCCACCTGAGGCCCGGAAAACATTAAGTTGTACAAACAATAGAGCTTAGCTCAAAGAGCAGTCACGCTCTTATAGTGAAACATTTCCGTGTTTATGGTTACTTTAAGTCATTTTTTGGGGGGGGGGGCTAAACCAGTTGAAAGAACCTGGCTGATCGACCTAATTCTCGGTTTAAGTAAGTTACTCTGAGACATCTGCAGATGAAAAAATTATCCTGCTGAACTGTAGTACTCTTGTTATCCCTTTATGCAACTCGCGTCTTACGAGTGACCAGCCAATTGGATTATCACCAATGCGATATTTAGGTTCAATCCTGGCTGCTCGCGCCTCATTTTTAACTAGGTTGCAAATTTTTCAACCTGTCAAATGTAACTCAAAGAAAAACTAACCAAATTATATGAACCGCGCATGTCGGTTGGTTTATCCTGGTTGACGCAATCGTCCACGGCAACACAACGCCTTGATACAACTATTCGTACTCTGTGGATGGCCTTATTGCATACGCGAACATTTGAAGGCGCGCTAATGGTTGACGCAATCGTTCATGGCAACACAACGCCTTGATACAACTATTCGTACTTTGTGGATGGCCTTATTGTATACACAAACATTTGAAGGCGCGTTATCATCGTTTACACTCTCGATTGCGACAGGCAAGCCCTGCACTGTCTCGTTTTCGCTTTGAACGGATTTTTCTCACCCATCAAATGTTTTAAGGTGGTTTATAAGAATGCAAGAATCGATTTTTGTATTTTTCTACCAAGCAACGATCCTCTTTTCCTCCATTCGATAGTTTACCAAACAAGATTCAAGTATGGCAAGATGTCGATTAGTTGGACTACATTTTGCAATTTGGCACTGAAATTTCTGGCCTACTTGATGCACAACGAATGTGCCATTAGTATTCCCCTAGACGTATGTGTTTTTATGAATAAGCCAGGCATTGTAGTTCATAATTGCAAAATACAGACCAGTTATCGATTGATTAAATAAAGCATAAGAGTAAACTAGGCAGCATAAAATCCGGTTCAACTATTTGATTCGATTATTTTCCAAATCACGTTAGCACCAATCTCTATTTTGGTGGCAGAGGGGTTGTTTTTGCTTTGTTTTCTCTGATATAATAAATCATGCCTGATTTCTAAATAGCCTTCTAAAAGAACGTACATTTTTTGGGATTCGAAGCTTGTCAAAAAAGCTAATAAAACGATTTTTCTCGCATCCCTGATTTTGCATTTACGTGATTTGGAAAATAATCGGTTCAATTCCGCTTTGATGTCGCTGGTGCACTGTCTTTCAACGTTCCTGAACGAGCCTGCAAATCAGTCATCCGCCATATTAGAAACAAAATTTGGGACCAGCAGAGGAAGGAAACTCCTTTAGAGAATTCCTCTGTAAGTGCGTGCTACGGTTTTTTGAATATTTCAAGTTTAACGACCAAACGGCAGAAAAACGTACTAGACGATGCCTCGTGATTTAACGCACCACTTTCAGTCGCTTCACTTTGCTGCAAGGAGCGCTGAATTTCAGGTTGCGGGAAAGAGGAAAGGTGGTAGAGGATCAAACGCACCCGTAATGTCATTAGTGCTACGGTTACAGTAGACTCAGACTGTCCCAGCAGGCTCCACCCTTCCCAGCGTTGCCAACAGTGCTCTTAATTTGTCGGTTGTAACAATAATTTTGAAAGTTGAAGATCGTTTACACTATAATGACATAGAAAATGCCAAAAGAGAACCTTTTTGTTTTTTTAAAACAAATGAAACACGTAAGAAACATTCTTTGAAGTCTGCCTGACCGTTAACGGGCAACAATAATGTTTCTTGAGAGCGATTTATTTTAAATATTGAATGTATTTGCCTTGTAATTTTTAAATCAAAAGAAACTATTTCCATTGTGAAATGGGCCCTGTAATTGCAATGCTATGTCGCACTGTACGATGAGCCGATTGATCTATCATTTTAAGCCTGTAGTGAAGGTTCCATTATGAGGGTGTTCCCAACAAACACCTTCATAATAGATTCTATACCATACTTCCAATGGGGAATACTGATAGTCGATGGTTCACGCCTCGCCATTGCTATTATGCTTGTTTTGTCATGGACCTCAACGCCCAGGTCACGATGTAATGGAGGTTGCCCCTTTTGATCGAAATACGTCCAATAAAGGAAAAATCACGGGAAAAAGTGTTAGGTGTTATCCTGAAAAATTGTGGCACGACCTCAATTTGTTGAATGATTTGGACACTTCCAATTAATATTGGTAGTACCGTAGCTCAAGTTGGAACAGTACTGCAACATTCGGGTTGGGAACCTAATTTGGACGTATTTCTGCCAAACGGAACTATGTGCATTATGACGTGAACCCTGTTATGCATATATCCTCATGGGTCTCAGGGATCATGTCTCCATGTACATAGTTTCGTTTGGTAGAAATACGTCCATTTATTGGGATATTACTGCAGTTAATTGGAAATGTTCAAGTTTGGGCCTAACCGTAACCTCTTTTTTCCGTGATAAGCTGTGAGTGGTTAAGTTCATTTTTGTGCAGATAAATGACGCAAGGCCACGCCTGAATCCAAGAATTTCTATGTATTTAACTGTTAAATTTATACTTTCTTACATAAAGATGAGTTCGATGTGTACTGTGAGCAGTACTTTGAAATACGAGTGTATATGTTGTAGACAAATCCCGTAATTTGGACACATCGCGATCTGTCTAGACAAATCGCGATTTGTCCAGTCATATCGCGATTTGTCTAGCGCCGTTTAGACAAATCCCGAATTTGAAAAATAGATCGGGATTTGTCCAGACACATCGTGAAGTGGCCGGACACTTCGCGATCTGTCTTCCGGCTCTTTGGACAAATCAAAAGTAATATCGAAAGAAATACGAAAATATAATAAAATAAAATACGATCGAAAGAAAAATGAAAGAAGGAGTTAAACACTTATCTCTTACCTCTCTTTAATATTTGAAATTGGTCAATAAATACAACTGGGAAATAATGGTAATGGCTGTACATTATTTTTTCCATGGTTTCGTGCACTATGAACCCATTTTTGATCGATCAATATTCAAGGTCTGGTGTTCTGTAAATTTTTGTGCATTATTCAATCCTCTATAGCTTGGTTGTGTGTGGATCGAACGTCTTCTGATTAAATCAGTTTACTACAAAATTTTGATGAGGAAACAATGGAATAAATATTGATTGCATTCAGAAATGTTCAAGAAAGAATCCTGCCACCTGAGGTTTAAGATGCATGCATGCTTTCAATATTTCGGAAAATTTTAATGTCATGGCAATTAGGCAACAGTGTGTCTGCGGTACACAATGAGGGAAGCTTAGAGAGATGGATGCCGGATGCGGATGTTTGGATAATAACTTTAATAGCATCAAGTACTTAGGGAAATTGAAGCCTTTACTCATTACGCCTTTTTAAAAAGCGAGTCCTTTGATTTATGATCTTTCAAAAATAAACACCATTAACGCTCTTGAAGCACGAGGTGTTAATTTCTTCTGCTCACCTACTGTTTTCCTTGCACACCCTCACCATGAATTCCCTTTAGGGAGACTCAGGGGGAATCCTCGGCTAATTAAGGGATCGAGACACCTCGCCCGGAAAATATTGAAAATTTATTTTCATGGCACCTAGTAACAACAACTCAATAATAATGGAGTGCGAATGATCTCCAACATTGAGAGAACTACTTTTAATGTGTTGGAAGAAAGAACATGTATTCGATTTCAGTGTTATCGACTCTTATTCACAATCGACTTGAAAATCTCGGTAAAAGAATGTTTGAATACTTCAAATTGATGTTTTAATGTAATTGCATTGATGATTGTTCCAAATAATTAAAACAGAATTTTGCAGCGTAGCCTCTTAAATTTTGGTCTCCACTCCTATGCTTAATGTAGTGTTAGCTAACAGAAATATCAGGGATCAATAGTTGCTCCGAGTCTAATGTCCACTAGTATTTTCTTTCTATCAGAAACAAATGATATAGCTTCAATAATCGGTCAAAAACGAACGTTTCACGTTAGCTCATAGAGCGATTGAAAAACTAGTGGAATTCGATTCTCGGTTCTATTTGCCCAGACCGTATCGCAGAGATTCTACGGTTCATTTGAATATTAATCTCGTTTTATCATGACCCAAATGCTTATGAGCCTTAAAACTAATTTCGATGATTGATTTGTGATTGCAGAATTGGGGCCTTCAAATTAAATTCGTAGAGCCTGATGATGCAGGAATGTACGAATGCCAAATTTCAACTCACCCAGCTGTCAGTATATTTGTCGAGCTGAAAGTAATCGGTGAGTAATTTTCTCTTTTCTGCATGTTACATAATTATGCACTCAAGGTGGTCTTTTACTGATGCACTTTATTTTCTATTTGCACGTTTTTCTTTACACTTTTTCCCCCTTCCCATGCCTCAACTTCTAACTTTTCTAAATGTCGTAGACAGCAATCCAATTATCTAGAATTTAAGAAAATTACAAGCCAGTAGATACACGAAAGAAACCCAGATTATGGTTATTTGATGGTTTCATTACCACGTCATTAATGAAGAAAGCGTATTCTTCAAGCAATTTTTCCCTTTTTTTTTGGATGACGGAAAACTCTAAGGAAATCTCATGGCACTCGGTCGAGTACCCTCTTTCTATCATGTAAAAAAATTAGCATACATCTAATTTTCCTCATTTTAAAGTAAATCAGTATAGTTTTTACTGTTCATTTTACTTAGTTTAAAACCGTGGATTGTGGGTCGGACCATGAACAGATTTGAGTGACAGTCTCCAAGTATGATAAAATTATAGTCTATGTAAAACTGAAGATAAGTTTCGTCAAAAACACTGAATGGTTGTGCAGCTCTGGGCTCTGCTGAGAAGTTTCGTTTCGACTGTCGCGCAACAAGAGCGCAACAATTTCCTGCAAAATTTTGAATATGCAACCTTACGACAGTCAAGTTAAAATAGTTGCTGCCTCTATTCCTCGGGATGCCTGAAGGCGCATTTTCAACTGAAACTTTTAGATCGTAATCGATGATAACAAAAAACTACTGTCGTGGGGGTGCCGGTGCCTATCTCACGTTGTGCAGGACATTGTTAAGCTTTTGTCAGAAACGCAATCGCACCGTTACACAGTGAATCGAGTCAATAGGAGAGGTCGGACAAAATTTGGATACTTTAAAAGCTCATAACTCCATTTATACAAACTTTGAAGTTCCCAAATTGGTTTCATTGGTTTTCTTGTAACATTTTCTTTTGGAAGCATTCCTTAATATTTAAAATGTGACGAAATAAACATAAAAATTTGCAGTTTAAATCGAAAAATTGCATGTCCGACCTCTCCGATTAACTCGATCCACCTTGCGTCACCTTGACGTATTTTCCCAGCCGAGATGGTAAGATAAGATGACGGCCGCCGCCTATTCGGAAACGTGAGCCAATGTTGCAGATGTAACGTTTCCTTCCTAGCACAACGTTGCATTGGTTGGACGTCGTTGGATTGGAAGCCGCTGAGGGGTCCCAAAAATATTTTGTCCACGGTTGGAGCGGAGTGTAGTTTGTCCTTCAGAAGGGTCTTAATTGAGTCCCTCGGTGTCGATCAAGTAGCCGCTCATCTTGAGCGATGAAAATTCGGACGTCAAACATGACGTGCTCATCGGGCGGGATCAAATTTTATCGGAGGCAGCGCAGAGCCGAATTCGATTCCGATATTGTGCCTCGTCCGAAAACTCCGTTTATTTGTGCCGTGCTGCGAGGCCGATTTTCTGTGAAACCCGCCGAGTTTTGTTTTTGACCCAGGATCCAAGTAGCAGTGATCGCGATAAGTTGCGATTTGATCGGAAAATGTATCGCGATTTTATCAAAGTCGATTTATTGCAATATTTTAATTGTATATGAATTGCGATAAATTGCATAAACTTGCAAGGAAATTGCGATTTATCACAGTATCATTGAACAAAAAATCGTGATAAAAATTCGATTTTATAGAGGTAGAATTGCGACATGATCGAGGAAAATCGCTCAGATGTTGACGATTCTGGCGATTTTATAGCCAAAAAGTCGCAACTGAATTGCAAAATATTGCGATTTTTCAATGGAAAAGTCGCGATATATTGCGACGCTATCAGCGATGAAGTCGTTAGGATTATCAACATCCGAGCAATTTATCCTCAATTTTATCGCGATTTTAACGTCCGGCAATTTATCACGATAAAATCGAGATAAAAATCAAGTTTATGACAATTTAATCTCGATTTAATCGACAAATATTAATCGCGATTTCATCTAACCAAAAATTGTGATGTACAGCGATTTAATCGCGATATATCGCAACTTACAATTCAATAATGTGGTGCTAAATTGTTACCGATATAATCGCGATTATCAACCGATAAAATCGCGATTTATCACGAGCACTGTTACCTGGGACTTGAGGACCTGGAAACAACCGAGAAATGCCAGGATCAAGCCAGGATTCTAAATTTTTGGTTTCAAAAACCGAAAATTTAGTTCGCCAGACAGAATATTTTAATCGTAAGTTGACCGAGCTTCTTTTCGGTGCACGGTTTTCTAGCCGTGACGGAGAGCTAAGATATTTTTACAATCCGATTCGGCTACGCCGATCGTGATGAGGAGGGACGAATGAGGTTATTCGATTACTGATCCCGATCTAATTTAGGAGACTCCATGAAGGTGGTGGGAAGAAAGCGAGATGGGGACGAATCAGTCCATGGCTGGAATTCGGTTGAGGTGACGAGCAAGTTTGGAAAAGGGAAACTGAAAAAAAAACCCTCTTATGGTGTCTTGGTTGGCCGGATGACTGAATTGTTCACTGCTGACCGTAAAAAATGTGGACTGCATTTTGCTAAAAGGAAACAAACTATGTTGCTAAAATTGAGCCAGCAATGTTTTTATGATAAAATCACTGTAAATTAGATCGAACTTTTGAGTTGAATTTGACTAGTTTTAGTGCATTTGTCGTATCATGAAGAAAGAAAAGGTAATAGGGATCCGTTTCCAATTGGCCTCCTATTTCTGGGGTGTCGAGGAATGCAGTTATCGCGGACCTATGGAAAAAGCAGGCTTTTGTCAAATGCCTAGTCAAATATTTACACTTTGGTTAAAATTATGACTCGTATTTTCCTAATTTTGGACAAAATAATTATCTGCTCTTTTGAGAAAGAATTTTCCGTAAAAATGTGCATCATACAATATTACTTTAAACGACTTTTGTCCCCTTCATGCACATCCATCTTAAAATTTTCAGCATGAAATAGGACACAGAATTCTTAAAATTTTAACTTGAAATATATATGTATGAGAAGCATGTAAAGAGAAATGAACAAGGCGAGTTCGTCTTCGATAAGAAAACCTATACTGTTTGATTTTGTACCCTACCTTGTGATCCATTTTTTTTCTTTCTGTTTTCTTTTCTTCAATTGAAAATTAACAATTGAACAAATTTATATACACATTCCTAGACTGCTTTAGTCTTTACATATTTGTTTTACATGAAATAATCAAATATAACTGATGGTTTCATTAGATTTTAAGACGCTGAAGATTTTACTTATTTTGCTAGCTTTAAATTGCTATGTGAACCATTCTAATGCAGGTTATTTATTACCACCCACCGTGGGCAACCGCATAGCAGCTGGAGTGGGACCCCCAATTTGCCATAAAATTTACTTTGTGTCAGATAGGCTGTGCAGGTTTTCAGCCACCGCGCACCAGCACGACCATCCGGAATTTTATGGCTAGTTAATTTTATCGCCTCCTCAAATCGCAGAGTTTACTCGAGAAAGGACACAAACCCCCTATGGGATCCCCGCATCACTTACGTCCTTCCTCAAATAAGCCGTTCAATCGGAGGGAGCGGGCTTCTAATTATTTCGCCCGGTTTCTTAGCGTCTAGCGGCGCTGCGGGCGCGGGACGCAACCAGCGCGACGCTGCAAGGAAATTCCCGCCGCGAAAGTTAGTTAATTCATTCACGCAACAATCAAAATGGGTTGCGGGCCGGATCCGTCGGCCAACTTGGTCCGAGCGCCCGAAGTAAATAAAATCCGTTTCAATTTGTAATTTAAATTACAACAGCGCCCGATGTAAATACGCCCCACAGCCGCGCTCTTGCCGCGCGGAGCAGCTTTTTGTCGCTGTCGCATCGAGCAACCGCCGAGGTTTCCAAAAAAACCTCTTGGACCAATGCCGCGTCGCATTGCCTTAAGAGTGCAGTTTCTTGTCGCCGGAATTAAGAGTCTTGAACTCTTGTTTCAAGCGGATTTTGCATCGATTCAATTCAAAATCCGCTTGAAACAAGAGTCCAGACTCTTAATTCCGGCGACAAGAAACTGCTATCTTGAACCAAGAGGTTTTTTTACCAGTGCATTTTTGCCGGTCGAAATTTTGGGGGAAAAGTAAGGATTGTGATCTAACGACAAGGAGTACTTACAATTAGAAGACAATACAGGGTGATCCAGGGTCAGGGTGTCTACAAGTCCAGAATTTCCGGAAAGTCCGGAAATAGTACTGATTTTTAACGGGCGGTCCGGAAGTGCTGAAAAAGTGCGGAATTTTGCAAGAAGGTCTGGAATTTTTTCATTTCTTTGTCATTTTTGTCACAATTTGAGCGGGAAATTTAAATTTGCCGAATTTTGTCATTTGAAGGTACTGAAAAAGTACTGAATTTTTCTGTTCAGGAATTTAAGGGAAAGTACTGAAAAAGTACTATAAAAGTACTGATTTTTGGTCGGCCTGTTTTAGTAGACACCCTGAAGGTTAAACGGCCAGACTGCAGGAACTTGTTCTATGGGTCAAAATTAGACTTTTTTGTTAAAACGTTTTTTTCCAAAATTGCTCCCAGTCGGAATTACGGCCCCCAATATTTCGGAGAGTCAATAGATTTTCCTGAATTTCGGCAATGGTTGTGAATCAGACTTCATGAAAATTTGAATTTCCCTGTACTTTTGTGCCCTGAATTCATAAATGATCTAAAAAAAAAAAAAATATCGAAATTTCAATTTGAAGAAGGGGTTTGGGGTTGTTCGGGCTCCTGCAGTCTGGCCGTTTAACCCTGGATCACCCTGTATACTTCAGAGTAGAGACCCCGCACTAACAATCGAAGCCATGTGATCGAGTGAGGCAAAAGTTGAATTCGGAAACCAACGCTCAGGTTCGCCTGATAGTTAGGCTACATTCTGCAATTAGGAACTATAAATTGTGCCTCAGTTTAAAACCATCGTATGTACCATTAGTTTCTCTATCCAGGTAAGTGCTTTTACAGATGGGCCGGAAGTTATAGTTCCGAATTGCAAAATGAAGTCCAGTTCGTCATCTCCCGGACGAAGGAACGTAACTCCATTCCAAGGATGCCAAATTGACCCAAAAAATTAATTTATTTTACAAGAATTTACCTGTGCAATTTGTATCCAATATACGTCTGATTTTTGAGTGAAAGCTGAGGAATCTTAAATTTTCACACCCGGAGATAATTGATTTTCATTAAAGACCGAATTTCACTTATAAGATTAGAAAAGTAATTTCTATTCAAGCTATTCTCAGCGATCCAAGGAACAATGATGAAAACTTCAAATGCGTTTTGCTCGAAACGTAATTTTTAAGGTAGGGTCCTTTCATCCAAAAAGCTCTCCAATTGAGCACCGTCGTATAGGATCGTTAAGATCATTATTTCTCTCGTGTTAAGTAAAAACCGAGTAATGTCAATACACTTTCTGAGTCATTCTGTGTTTCTTGAATAGCGCGGTTGATTTAGACTCCCACTTACGACAGAAGAATGGAGCATAAGAGCCTTGTTAATCGGTCATAATACCAACAAACTGGAAGGTCACTAATGCTTTTACAAGCCCTCACGTCGACCGGTGGTCCGTTCCAGGGCATCAATGATCCCTATAAGACTGCTCGTATTTTAACCGTACAACGAGAACCTTAGTGGCATCATGACCCCTCTGTGGAGAACTTGAATCACTCAATTATGAGACGACCTAATTCTGAGGGAAATAAAAGTGCAAACGACAAAGAAACTTGTTGGAGCAAATAGTTTTCAACGAGTTGGACGTATTTCTGCTGAAAGGAAGCAGAGCCGGGTGGGAAAGAAGGAGTGTGCTCGTTAGTTGAGGGCCGTAAGAATGAATGGGAATTATGAAGCGCCAGTGACGTCAGCGGCGACGAAGCCGCCGTCGTGGTTGCCTGTGGGGGTCGATAACTCATGAGCACAGTCCAAAACGCTCCAGTCACATAGCCGCGGCTCATAAGTACCGCATATTTTGGCACTTGGTTCCGTTTGATTTGATTCAAAATCTCACTTTCCCATTTTCACAGGAGGAATCAAGTCCTATTTTACATTGATTCTTATCCAGCTTTCTAGAGCACAAGTATTTTCCACCCGGCTCTAGTTCCTTTTAACGAAAGTACGTTCATTTAAAAAATCATCTGGTGCTTGTTTTCAATCTATCAAAAAGAGACTCAACAGGTAGTGGTACCAAAGTTGTTGCTGTTTTTGGCCCTAGAAATGGACCGAGTTCTTTAGATACGCACCTAGTCACATCAGGTTTGAAACGAGAAATGGAGTTATGTAGTGTTATTCTTGCATATAAGATTAAATGTCAAGAACAAAGTGTAACGACCATTTAAGGGATACATGGAAATCAACACTTCTGAAATTCGGCAATGGGTCAGTTGCGCTGGTCACCGAATATTATTTTGATGCTTTATTCTTGTAAATCGGCTAAAAATAATGAGATCTGTCAAAAAAAGCAACTTTCTACGTTGAATATTAACCGAGATATCGCGCCATGAAAAACTCGATTTATCAACCAAGGATGTGCATAGCATGATATCGCCACTTGGCTGACAAAAGGGCGTAACTACATGTCGTGATGAACCTTGTCGTCCATATAACTTAATACTTTCTCGGGCTCATCTAAAATTGTAGTTACGCCCTTTTGTCAGCCAAGCGACGATATGTACCAGCGTGGTGGATGACCTCAAAAATTCGACTTTCCAAAGGAAGATAACTCGGATAATATTCAACGTAGAAAGTTGCTGTTTGGACAGATCTTATTTTTAACTAATCTACAAGATTCAATCACCAAAACACGATTCTGTTACTAGCACAACTGGCCTACTGTAGCCTCATGTAAGGTAATTTTTTTGTGAGGGGTAGGAGGAGGAAAAAACACAAATTGCGCTCTACTTGAAAAAAGGTGCGCGGCGCGGCGGGCAGGCGGCCAGCGCAAAACGCGCATTGGCGCCTACAAACCTAAAGGGATACTTCAAGCATTGCACAATGCGTGAAGTATCCAGTTAGGTTTGTAGGCGTTACGCCACTCCGCTCTGTGTAACGCGCTAAAACTCGCAAAGTAAGCGTTTTTCAACTCGTATTTTGACATGTTGCTCAATCTCAATGGATTATTCTCATTTTAATTAATGGAGGAAACAATTAACTAAAGAAAAGTATACTGTAGGTTTTTTACATATTAAGCTGGTTTCCTTTCTAAATTGCGCTCTACCCTAAAACAGTTTTCGCGAATAATTCTCGGAAAGCTTTAAGAGTTGGCCTTTTTTAACTGAATGGTATATTTCAGTGGGATTTTTTCTCACCGTAACAAGACCTTCGGAAAAAATTTTGCGGAAAAATTTGACAACACGATGTACTATATTCACCCGCTTCTAATTAGTTCGCCACCACCCCGCCGCAATGTTTCCAAGCTCCGCTTCGCCACACAGTGGATTGAGTCAATGGGAGAGGTCAGACAAAATTTTGAGACTTCAAAAGCTCATAACTTCGTTAAATCAAAACTGTGAGATTATAAAATGGTTCCATTGGTTTCCTCGTGAACTTTTCTTCTAGAAGTACCCCATGAAATTAAACATGTGACGAATTGAACATCAAAATTTGCAGTTTTATTCAAACATTTCATGTCCGACCTCTCTAGTTTACTCGACCCACTGTGCGCCACGGCAAAGATACGATGATTAAAAATGGAGCTGAAAACCCGTAAGTTTCAGGGCTACGGGGGAAAAAAATAACGAGATGTGATTTCGGAGATTGCTTTGATGATGACATCACCCGAATCGTTCTTTCCGCTGTGTTTTCCATGTTTTTATGCTGTTTTTTTCTACCTTTTTTTTTGTATTTCGTCGGGCCTAGCACGTAAACTTACTGTTTGCCAACGAGTTTCCGTTTTGCAAATGCACCCTTTCATGTTTGCTCAATCCTCCCAGTTGTGCATTGTTGTCCTCCATGATTACTTTACGGGTCTTAGTTTCTCGGGCATGAGGTGAAATTTGGGCTCGAGGAGTTTTGTTTTTCCTCGCTCTATTTCATTGAATGCAAGAATAATACTGAAAATGTGAATCGAGGTATGCCCATAGAAAATGTCTGCTATGGACGAAGTTCTACTGCTAATCCATTGCTTTACCATATGAACTTACGCTTTAAAAACAGACGGACCAAATCTGCGTGTCCTGTGACATCAACATGTCACAATCATGTCATCAATCTGTAAGGCTGTAGCGCTGAATTCCGAAATTAATATTTCCGTGTATGGTTTTAGTGATTGTAAGTAGACTAGTTTACTTCGAAAAACTCAATTCGGACGTGGTTCAATACCTATAATTGTATGTATGCCTTTTACTTTAGGCATCAACAATGAAACTGCAAAATCATGTACTTTGAGGAAGTTTTAGTTTGAAACGTATTTTGTAACGTCACTGTCAAATGCAGGTATTCTTTCACTTATCAATTCCCTTACACCTTATTACATTACCTTTATTTTTTTACTTATCTTGTTACATTATTATAAACCTAAAAATTTACAACGCCTACAAACCTAAGAGGATACTTCAAGCAATACGCAACGCTTGAAGTATCCCCTTAGGTTTGTAGGCGCCAATGCGCGTTTAGCACTTCAAGCATTCTTGGCACCACAAAAGTTGGCGAGAAACACGATGGTGCCACTGGTTTTCTCTGAAATTAACCTCCAAGCTCAAAAAAAAGCTCTCAAGTTGAGGCCAAAATGGAGGGGATATCCCACGCTATCCTGAGAGTCCACCTCTACATCAAGAGAAACTCTCCATGCAAAAATAGGGAGCAAATACATTGATAACATACGCAATACATTGCGTATTGCGTGAAGTATCCTTTTAGGTTTGTAGGCTGTGTAAATTTGTAGATTTAAAATAATGTTGTAAACGAACAAGATTTGAATTTGGTGTTTGATTGTTGCAGAGGCGATAGCGGAGATCGTGGGGGCGCCGGACCTGCACATCAAGGGCGGCTCGCGGCTGCGCCTGGTGTGCGCGCTGCGGGACTCGACGGAGCCGCCGGTGTTCGTGTTCTGGTACCACGGGCCCCGCATGATCAACTACGACCGCGAGCGCGGCGTCACCGTCCGCAGCGACCTCTCCGGCTCCGTCCTCACCGTCGAGGCCGCCAACACCTCCGACTCCGGCAACTACACCTGCACCCCCTCAAACGCCCGCCCCGCCTCCATCAACGTCCACGTCCTCAACGTCATGAACGGTGAGTCCTCAATGCGCATATCCCTTTCTATAGCATGCTCCTTCCGAGGGGTGCCGACGGTCTGGAAAACCTGAAAAGCCAGGGAATTTACGGCGACCTCGAAAAGTCAGGAAGTCAGGGAACTCGGGAGATAAGCCGGAGAATTTTCCGAGCAGCATTTAGCAGGACTGTAATTTAAAGAAAGTAAATCCGAGTTGAGAGTGCGTCAGATCATGGGAGTCGAAAATGACATCATACTCGACGTCATGACCAGACAGCTTTTCTGGTATGGTCATGTCAATAGAATGACGGACGAAAGGCTGCCAAAGAAGTTGCTTGATTGAGTTCCTCCTGGGAGGAGACGAAGGGGACGCCCAGTGAAAGGGTGGCGACAGGGGGTTTTAGAAGAAATGAGGGTTTGTCAACTCCCCGAAGGGCTTTGGGAGGATAGGGGACTTTGGCGGCTGGGGGTCGCAGAGCGCCAAAGAGCGCTATAAAAGTGGCTTTATTCATATACAAATCCGAGTTAATCTTTCGTTCGAAAGTCAGAAAATTCAAAAATTTCAGAATATGATGAAATATCATTAACATATTATAAGCAACATATTATTAACATATAATTAAGAACACAATGAAGAAATTTTGGAAACCTTGACTTTCTCACACTGAATCTACCCGCCTAAAGAAAGTTTTCGATTGTCTGTGTTAGGGAAAATCATGAGTCCTCATCTTCTCATTGAAAAATTCACTAATGCTTCGACACACTCTTCAAGTTCTACCGGGCAGATTTTCAAAAACTTTGTTTTCGTTTGATTCTTTAGACTTCAGGGAAAACATGTTTGTCAAATTATACATGAAACTTTCCGCGGAATATGAATGTATAATTAATGTAGGTTGCATTAATTGGGAACTTCAAAAATGGATTTCGCTTTGGAGCGCCCTCTGCTTCGCATCATACTTAACGCATTGCCTCGAAGGTACTTTAGTTGCCTACCCAGCCCGAAGAGAGGGAGATTTTATTCATTATTCCAAACATGACCTCGGATTGAAAATGATGCCATGATACTTTTTAGCTGTTACTTTACTTGTATACTTTTTAGCTGAAACTGTTTTCGGGTTCCGGTCCCTAAAAGTTTAAAGAAAGTGAAAAGGATATAATGAGAGTTGTGAGAGAAGATGAGGTAAAGTGACTCTTAGATTTTAAACAAAAGGTGTGCAAGGTGCAAAAATAATCAAAGCCTTCCATAGTTAAGATCTCATGCTTAAATGTATCACTGAAATTTTGTCGGTGTAGTTTTTTACGTGAGCCAATGCGTGCCGTTATTGCCAAATGTCGAAAAAAGTAACAGGGAAAAAGCGTTTTTACTGCACTTTCTACCGATAAACCTTTTAGCAACAGAAGCTGATGAAAATTATGTCAGAATAATTTGTAAGTAGCGGAAGAACTTACGAGGAGTATTGATCACTTTCGAAGAAAAGTCTTGTAAAAGCACCCTCACGCTCTGGATTATTCAATACTGAGGCTATTTTAGGAAAGATGCACTTAAAAGTATTTGCAAGTGCTGAAACTATCGCTAATGCTGCAACTACAACAAAAGCTATCCGGAAACCTCCTTTCTCGATTCCGTGAAAGATCAGGATTCCAGCGAAGACCATCAATAGTTTTGAAAAGAGCCGTTTCAGTCAATTTATTTGAGTCTCTAAAGACCGCTTCGGCGAAAATCCGAGCTGAGCGTGATTTACAAAAACCCTAATCGAGTCTCAAAGCACAGCGTCCGCGAGCTTACGAGGGCTATGCACACTTAGGCAAGCAGAAACCCAACTTTAAATTATTTTTTAACTGGATTAAAGTTTGAGGAACTCCCCCGCCCTGCCGCGCCCTCGGCTCGGGTGTCAGAATTTGTGTTCCGCCGTTTTATTGGTGAATAAATACAGGCCCTCAACGCCCGCGAAATGTGTGTGAGGAAGTTTTTAAATTAAAGCCCGGGAACTATGAATAAATTTGCGCGGGCTCCGCGGAGCTCGAACGAGGAACTTGCATACATTTTGAGGAGAAGTCGGGGCGAGAACACTTGTTAAACTATCCCAACTTCGAATTCGTCAAGGAGCGAGTTTCGAGCGATAATTTTCCCCGGCGAATCCGTATCATTAAGCCCGGGCATTATGCGAAAATGGCTCCCGGGAAACACCAAGACACCACTTCGGCCGAGATTTAAAAGTTTAATGTAGGTATGAAAAAAAAAGAGGAAAAATAGTGCCTTACGGAAAAAGAAAAAGGAGTTTGCGACGATATGTCGCACAGCGGATCGAGTAAATAGGCACTGAAAAAAAAATATTTGTGTATTTACTAAGAAAAGGGTAAAATTGCCAAGAATGCAGGGTTCTATTTGATCCCAGTTTTTTCTTGGTAAAATTATCATTTATGGAATTGGTCATTTTACCAAGATATCTCGGTAAAATTATTGAACTTTCTCGGTAATTTTACTGGACCTTGGTAAAAACACCAACATTTTTTATCGACTGTGGTAGAAGAGATAAAATGGCAAAGTTACCGGGAATTGATTACCAATAAAAGTGGTATTCTTACCTGAAAATAACAGTAAAAATACCGGTTTGTAGGTAAGCTTACCAGTCTGTCTTGGTAAAATTACCAGTAATTGGTAAAAAAAAGTGAGATGGTAAAGGTACCAACGGACCTTGGTAAAAACGCTGAGAATTTTTTTTCCAGTGGGGGAGGTCGGACAAAATTTGGAAACTTTAACTCCGTTTATACCAATTTTGAGGTTCTATAAGTAGTTTCATTGATTTTCTCGTAAAATTTTCCTCTAGGAGCATTCCTTAAAATTTGAATTGTGACGAATTTGACATCAAAATTTGCAGTTTTAGTAAAAAATGTCGTGTCCGACCACTCTTATTGACTCGATCCACTGTGTGCTGGGCTTAGGGAGAGACGCCTTACAAACATCGAAACGTTGCTTTTCCTGCATTAAAATGTGAATTTGTGGCAAACGTTGCAATGGTTTTCTTTGAATTTGTCAGATAATTAAGGGGCTTGGAGACAAGGCGCATGAATGTAGTTTTTGCTGTTTCGAGATTTATGTGTTGGAAGTTTTGAAATTACACGGATCCTTTTGGCGGAAAGAGAGTTCAAACTGACTTGTTGATGCTTAAAAATTGGAATTTGGGAGCGAAGTTCGCACAGAGTAAGCATGAAGACTAGTTTTACTGGAAATCATTAGTGTCTCAATTCTTTCAAAAACTGCACATATGCGCCTTTTCCGCTTAGCCCCTCAATTTTACTTGCGATTCAGTGTATGGTGATTGAAAATTTATTGAAAAAATATCATTGATCAGTCAGTCTAAACCATACCAATGTTTAGGGGGAAAAGCATGTACAGAAAACTGATGTGGACGAATCTGTAGTCTCCGATGATTTGATTATATTTTGGTTGCATATTGTTAACAATGGTACAAAAATGTTAGCTTTTTCTATTGAAAATATTAGTGAGCTATTGAAAACTTTATAAATGAGTATTTTTGTACTTCGACGAAATTCGTCAATGTTAAATCCTTATGAGAGGTCTAAAACGTTTTTAAGAGAAATAAATGAGGAAAAAAGTTGGCTCCGACCTAGGACACCATTTTCCTACCTTTAAACGAATTTTTGAAATACTTGAATACTCGGTCGTTCTTTATCTGAACAATTTAGTTATTTCTAAAGATGAATATTCGATCGAGAGAAATTTGGCAATGTTTTGATGCCTATAAGGTATGTTTTCTTTATACGACAACGATGCAAATGTGTTATTTTATCGACGAGTTAGTTGGGCTTTCTCTAGGATCAGCGTCAAACAGATAGAACGAAAGGGGGACCAATGTTTGCGCGCGACTTTGGCACCAAAACTTTCCTATCGTGGAGGATTTTGTTCCTTAACTTTAGTGTCTCGCATGTTTAACCCAGGGAAAAGGGGAGTTCGAGATGAAGTTGACATGAGATATTTTTTCGGTGTGCGACCCTCAACGGGAGGAAAGAACTCGACAAAAAAAGTACCAAACACGAAGAATAGTGATCTGAGCCGGCATTTTTTGACAGTTAAAAACCGATGTGCGTTGATAAGCTACCAACAATCACACTATAAGATATTGATGATTAAAAAATCTAAATTGTCTGCTTCGTACACCGCCTCCATTCTGGATCGCAATAGCTCTCACCATACCAAACAGGAGAAAAACTTGTGTCGCAAAAATTTTCAAATTCTGGGAGCAAATCATTCAAACGCTTCATGCCCCTAGAGTATACTGTCACACATACAGATAAAACACTCCAAGAGGCAATTAATTGCTTGGAATAAATCTTTTTGGGACCTGAAGTTGGGTTAGGGTCGGCCACTACACTATAACGTTGTTGCAAAGCGTGAAGTATCACATGAAAATGAATGCAACTCAAAAACCAAAATTGTGTCAATCTCGAGATCAACGAGCCAAAAATTGAAGAGTGTCACGTTTCTGCAATAAACAATTAAGGGGCTTGGAGGACAAGGCGCATAAGAACAGTTTTCGAAAAAACTGAGGTATTAATGATTTCAAGTAAAACTAATTTTCATGCGTATTCTGTAAAAAATTCGCTCCCAAATTCCAATTTTTACGCATTGAAAAGGCAGTTTGAACCCTCTTTGCGCCATTTTGATCCATGTGATTTCGAAACTTCAAACACGTATTTATCAAAATAGCAAAGACTGTGCTTATGCATTCTGTCCTCCATGCCCCTCAATTATTATTATTATTTCTGAATAATTTCCGCGTTGAATTTACTGATCGCTGCAAATTCTCGGAGTGAGAATGAGCCAGTTACGCTGGTCCCAAAATTATGTTTTGATGCTTGATTCTTATAGATATGCTAGAAATAATGAGATCTGTCCAAACCTCAACCATCTACGTTCAATATCAATCGAGATATCGCCCTTTGAAAAGTCGGGTTTTCGACGTCATCCACCGCGGTAGTGACACCCTTGGTTTCTTCCACCTTGCTCTCATCATCAGGGAAACTCACTTTTGAACTGGTTGTTCAACGTGAAACTCGGATGAAAGCAAGGTAGAAGAAACCACGAGTGTTACTACCGCGGTGGATGACGTCGAAAACCCGACTTTTCAAAGGGCGATATCTCGGGAAGTATTGAACGTAGAAAGTTGCATAGATAGAGAGTAGATTATTTTTAGCTTATCTACAAAAATCAAGCTTCAAAACACGATTCTCTGACCAGCGCAACTGACCAATTTTGACGGAAAGGGTAAAAATTAACTTTGTTTTTATTCTTTTGTCTCTTTTTCCAGGTGAGAAGCCAGCGGCAATGCATATCGGGAGTCGGAGCGGAGCCGCGTCGCCATTTCAGAGAGACATATTTTATATTTTTCTACTCATCCAAGTTTTCAGAACTGTACATAGTATCCTAGATATATGCTGTACTTCGTCGTTTTTCAGAATCGAATATTTTGTAAGTTGATGTTGAGACCTCATTATGGAGTTTTGTATCATAGACTGTTCCTTGTTCGTGTAAAATCTGTATTTTTCCCCCTCATTGGAGTATTTCGTTACAAAAATAAAATTTGTACATATTACTCTGTCAGTTTACGAATGGAATAAAGTAAATATTTTAATTTACGCCGTTTTCTTTATTTCAGTCCTTTATTTGATTTTTTTTTTAGATTTTACAATTATCTGACTCAATCAAAGCATCTGCTGATGTTCTAAACTGATTTCGAGTCAAATAATAATGTAAAATGTATGAAATAGAACTTGGTTTGAATTTCTGTCCATGCGAGAAACTGTGACTTGAGTGGCGTTGAAAAGGTGTTTCACCTCCATAAGTCACCGGCTTACTTGACTAGTAGATCCATCAAATCTCAAAACTAAATTAAACATTGCATTCGTAACAATTACAATATATTTGATACTTAACTAAGAGCTGGATTCTAAAATCCTCATTTTTTTCAACTCCCTCCTTGGATTATCATTATGTTTTATGTATTGGTTAAGTTACAGGAAAGAAGACTTTTCACAAAACTAGCAAACACAAAAATGTTTTTTTTGGAGAATGGGAGGAGGAGCCGCAGGAAAAATCTCGATATTTCGTGAAAGAAATAAGATACCAGCCAAAACGAGCGTAAATTTTTTGAACATTCACTTCTGGAGAAAAACTTTCGACGGCTGTTGATTTTTTTGCTTTAATTTAGGCAATTCTCATTTTTTTTGTAAACATTTTTAAAATTTTATGCTCCACACTGGGAAAAATACACATTGGATCTAGAGTCCAGACTCTTAATACATCGACAAGAAAAAGGACTCTTGATTAAATCAGATTTAAGCTTAAATCAAGAACCAAGCCTCTTAATTTGAGCGGATTTCCTCTCGATTTAAGCTTAAGTCTGATAGAATCAAAGTCTGATAGAATCAAGAGTACTTTTTCTTGTCAATGTTTTCAAGAGTCTGGACTCAAGATCCAATGTGTTTATTTTCCAGTGCAGTTTTACTGAAAATACAAAAATACATACATTTTAATGAAAATACTAATAAAAATACAGATCACGCTAAATCGATTGCGCATGGTCCCGAGGTTCGGCGTAGCCTCCAGTCCCGATAAACCGCCAAAAACTATTGTTTCTGACCGTGTTTCAACGGACGTATGGACCTTTGTAAGGACTCAAGATCGCTAAAAATCAAAATCATCGCTGATCCTGATTGCGAGACATCGCAATTTGATATTTTCATGGTAACTTCCAGTTTTCTACTGATTTTGTTCCTCAGATTTTTTTATTTGTCCATTGAATCTGTGTTGATTGGTTCACATGTTTAAATTTCGTTCGATTCAAGTCGATGGAATACATACCCTTTCGTTACATGCAGATTTCCTATCATCCCCCTTTTTTTAACTGACCAATTCGCCTTCTGCTGCGTCTGCAGCAATTGTTGTTACGAATATGTTGTGCGTGCTGATTAAAGCGCATTACATACTCGACTCTCTGAAGGCGTTCGTTGTGCACAAGTAGCGCAACCTGTCGGAGAACGAACGAAGCAGGTTAATCGATTCGTTCCGTCTCACTTCTGTTGTTCTCCAACAGGGTGCTCTACTTTCACACATTAAACGCCTTCAGAGAGTCAAGTATGTAATGCGCTGAGATTAGCACGCACGACATATTCGCAACAACAATTGCTGCGGACGAAGCTGAAGGCGAATTGAAAACAAACGTACAATACACGTTGAAAATCATTTCAGAACTTTAGTTACTTAATATTCTTGCCTATAGAAAAATACAATTTATGGTCTTTTTGTGGGGGATTCTGAAAAAATATTCAACATAAACTATGTTTCAATACACTGTATAAAATATATTTGATTAGAATATATATTTGAATTAAATGTATTTAGATGTTCAGTCTTGGCAGATTGTTACTCGCGACTCAATGAATTTTAAAGTTGACATTAAATAGAAAACCGAGAACTACAAATTCAGTTAACAACGACAGAAAAGGTCATGTTNGGGGGGGGGGGGGGGGGGGTGGATAAGGCTGTGTTTTCGGAGTTACCTTAAGATTGAAACATGGAAAGTAATGCAAAAATGAATTACATAAATATGCCTAATAGGGAAAGGTTACTAAGCCATTCAGGCTAGTCCGCTTGGAAATGACCCGCTGAGTCCAATTTTCTGGTCGAAAAAGCTCTACGAGTCCGCTGGACGGCGCTACCGACGAGAATGACACTTTCGCAACACGGTCAAAAACGCTCGTTTTTGACGGTTTCTCGGCTCAGAAGGCCTCGCCGAGCCTCGGGACCATGCGGAATCGATTCAGCGCCTTCAACTACATAGGATTCGACTGTAATCTCGAAATTTTTTTCCCCGTCCGAAATCGAGAAAAATGGACAGGGGTTAAAATGGACTAAATTTTTAGGGTCAAAATCGAAAGTTCTCCGATCGAGCCGAAACCAGGCTAGTCCGCTTGGAAATGACCCGCTGAGTCCGATTTTCTGGTCGGGAAAGCCCCACGAGTTCGCTGGACGGCGCTACCGACGAGAAACGCACTTTTGCAACACCATCAGAAACGCTCGTTTTTGACGGTTTCTCGGCTCAGAAGGCCTCGCCGAGCCTCGGGACCATGCGGAATCGATTCAGCGCCTTCAACTACATAGGATTCGACTGTAATCTCGAAATTTTTTTCCCCGTCCGAAATCGAGAAAAATGGACAGGTTACATGGACTAAATTTTTAGGGTCAAAATCGAAAGTTCTCCGATCGAGCCGAAACCAAGCTAGTCCACTTGGAAATGACCCGCTGAGTCCGATTTTCTGGTCGAAAAAGCTCCACAAGTCCGCTGGACGGCGCTACCGACGAGAAACGCCCTTTTGCAACACGGTCAAAAACGCTCGTTTTTGACGGTTTCTCGGCTCAGGAGACCTCGCCGAGTCTCGGGACCATGCGCAATCGATTCAGCGCCTTCAACTACATAGGATTCGACTGTAATCTCGGAATTTTTTTCCCCGTCCGAAATCGAGAAAAATGGACAGGGGTTACATGGACTAAATTTTTAGGGTCAAAATCGAAAGTTCTCCGATCGAGCCGAAACCATGCTAGTCCGCTTGGAAATGACCCGCTGAGTCCGATTTTTCGGTCGAAAAAGCACCACTAGTCCGCTGGACGGCGCTACCGACGAGAAACGCCCTTTTGCAACACGGTCAAAAACGCTCGTTTTTGACGGTTTCTCGGCTCAGAAGGCCTCGCCGAGCCTCGGGACCATGCGGAATCGATTCAGCGCCTTCAACTACATAGGATTCGACTGTAATCTCGAAATTTTTTTCCTCGTCCAAAATCGAGAAAAATGGACAGGGGTTACATGGACTAAATTTTTAGGGTCAAAATCGAAAGTTCTCCGATCGAGCCGAAACCGGGCTAGTCCGCTTGGAAATGATCCGCTGAGTCCGATTTTCCGGTTGAAAAAGCTCCGCGAGTCCGCTGGATCGTCCGAGCGACGAATAAGCGCTTGCGAATGAACTTGCACAATTTTTCAAAAACTTCCTTTTCCGGGTTTAGGAAGCCACGTTTGACCGCGCACAAGAAACTGATCGCCTTAACGCAACTACGAAGGATTCGACACTAAACCTGAAGCTTTTTAATCTTTTCGCCTATGCTCGGATGAAGCTTTACCATGAAGAAATGACCATGAGATTTTGATGTTCGGGTCTTTAAATGCTGTTCGTGCCTTTTCTATCTGAATGCTTCAAAATATCTCCAAAAATATTGGAAACGAAAAGAAATAAAGTAGGTAAGGCATCAAAAAGGTGTTTTAAATAGTAAATAAGTAAGTAGGTAACATTGATAGGATAAAAATAAAACAATTTATTTAAAATATAATGGACAAAAGTAATAAATAAGTACAATATATAAATATATACACATCGGATAAAAAATGACCAGGCTAGTCATTATTTCAATTGCCTATCATTTTGATTTGTAACAAATTATACAAAATTCAAGATTTACAACTTAAATATGTACACATCAACTACAGAACTTTTTAATTACTTTAAAAATAATTGCACAGTGTCTGCATTGAAATATATCCAATAAGCAGAGCGACGGAATCAATGGGTAACAGACTTCCAGCACAGGAACATTGAGAAATAAGTTGAGCTGGAGGCCAAAGGTACCTTCATCATTCACCATTGTTGTTATTGAAAAAAACGGATGCTTTGGGCAACATTTGTAAATTTCAGAGGCGGATCCAGCAATTTGGCAACACCAGATTTCCTCCATTGAAACCTATGTTAAATAACCAATTCTTGTAGGAGTACCAAACCCCTACGAGAATCGATAGATTTTCATGGGTTTAAATAGGGGAAAAACAATGTTGCCAATTTGCTAGATCTGCTAATGGTTAATTTGGCTTTCAAATCGACTTGCATCAAGCTCAACTTTTTTTCCTGCTTTATGTAAAAGCGCTACTTTTAACCGGAGAGGGTACAATGATAAAGTCCATGCTTCATTTACCAACCTTCTCTCTTTACAAGTCATTATGGTGGCATGATGGCCTTAACCGTTTATTACAATAAAAATATACCACTGCAAATATATACTCGAGTCTTAACTAGCATCGGACTACACAAGTTTTAAACGACTATCTTGTATTTTAACAGCGAAAGTAACAATTTTAAACAGAAAAAATATAACACACTAATTAACATCAATATTATATTGATGAGAGGGGGAGGGGAAAAAACCCGTCTAGAAAAGTTATTTATGTCTTTGAAACGCGTTCAAGGTAATTTTTTCATGTTTAAGATAGCATTCGATTGTCGAGTATTTTAGTTTGAAACTCAAGTTTAACTAAAACAAAATTCCTTGCAATTCCAAGCATTTGTTAGGGATTGTGTAGGGGATGTGATAAATTGGTGACTTTCATCAAAATATATTTTACGAAGAGATGCAAATTAAACCTACTGACTTTACTTAGCTTAGAGCAAGTAAGGAGTCAATAGTTCCTTATTAGCCAATGAACTTGACGTAAATGGTAGACAACAAGGTTTTTCTCCATTTCTATGCTTCTGTTTACATTTAAGTTTTGAACTTGTTATCCCTTCAAAATAATTCTGCTGTCAGTCGTTTTTATATGTATATCACTAGGTGATGACTTGATGCATTATACTTTGATATAAGCTCGTTATAGAAAAAACTGCAAAAAAATGCTTTTGATCAAGGTTACTTCCGTTTCTTGCCTTTAAAAGTTTAACTTAGATACTTGTGGGGAATGCACTGATTCTTCTTTGGGATTTCTAGGTTAAAAATACTGTTTGCTTAGTATTTTATAATTTTTTAATATGTTCTTTAAGTATCAAAGATTTAGCAAAGAAAAATTCAACGATTGAAAAATAGCGATCAAACCTTCAATTCACACATTCATGAGGACTCTTGGAAAATAGCCAAAAGCCATAGAAAGATACGGTTGACATGCTATGTTCAAGCTCATGGGCACAAACATGACATAATTGTCATGAATTTTGGATGACATTAATTTGGGTTACCTAATATCTTTCATTCTTCATGATTGGATGAATGACGATTTCAAATTTTTGTCATTTTTTTCTTTGCTTTTCTCTCTCATAATAGACACATTATGAAAATTTCTTGTTTTCTAAAATCTAGATTCTGGCCAGCCAATGATATAACCGATACAACAGGATGAAATTTAGTCCTAATACCTGATAGATTCTCTCTCATTTATTTTAATTTTTACTTCAGTAATTGAAAGGAAATACAACGTTGACTTAATGAGAGAATGATTAGTTTGAGAATAATAGAGAGATGTGTTTTGGAATATGAATGTGAATAGATGACATCTTCATTTTTAACTTCATTTTTTTACCTCTTCCCTAAAAGTAAAAGCAACTTTTCCTTTTTTTGGTTTTAAAAATTTTCTTTGACAATAGTAGGGAAGAAAAAACCAAATTTTCAGTTTTTCCATGAGTTCAATGATTGAAAGAATGGAAGAGAAATGAACGAAATTAAGAACAAAACTAAACGATAAAAATAAAACTAGGTTTCACAAGGAAAGGGGGGGGGGAGTAAACATAACCTCAAGAGACACAGAAATTATGAAAAAAAGGAGAAAAAATGAGCTTGAATGGACTCCTACTCCGAGTAACTTCCCGCAGTAAGTGGAAAATCCTAGTGCTTTTAAAAATAACAACAAAAAATTAACAAAATATAATCTGAATAGAATGAAATAACAGACCGGGATCTCCACAAACCCAATATTTTGAAATCCTTTGATAACATAAAATTATAACCACATATTTTTCTATTCCACTTGGTAACGAACAGAAAATATGAACTGATAAAATTCACAGGAAATTGAAAGTTGCCAGGTGGGCGAAAATAACATCTTGGTCTGCAGATTACATGATATATCTCAGATGTTTTGCCTCTGAACAATTACAAGTCTTTCATGAAATTGACTTACGTGAGCTTGAACATTTCAATTTCAAGATGGGAACAAAAAATGTTTGGGCTCTGAGTACTATCAAAGCGAAATGGTATCAGCAGAAGTATTAGCAGAATTAGCAGAGGTTGGACTGATTTTTGGATTTGACTCTCCTTCAGCAGAGCGGATGTTATCATAGCCAAAGATGGAAAAGATGCCCCGACATTAGAGATCTTGATCCAATTTTTATGCTATTTAAGCATAGCTACACAGAATTGCCGAAGTAATATCGTGGATGTTAAAAATCTGCATGACACCTCTTAAATGTTGTGATGGACACTGTGGCTGTTAGAGTAACATCCTAGATACGTTCAATTAACAACCTTGGCGATGTTATCAGAAAGAGTTATTGCACGGATTTTTAACATTCGGGATGTTACTTCAGAAACTTTTTTTTTCTGTGTATGAGGCAATTTGGCAGAATAAAAGTGATTTTAAGTCAGTTACCTAACTTCTTGCATACAATTTGTAATTTGAACAAAACATGCAAAATTAGAGATTTGACAAGACCAATAATCTCAAATTTTACAATGATGTTTTACGTCTGATTACAAAATTTATTGTTGGGAGAACTTCCTCTTTTCTCTACATTTTCCTACGATTTTGACCTTTACGAAGATTTCCTTAGAAATTTCCTTGCAAAATTTCTTGAATTTTAAATACAACTCTAATTAGATTGGACTTGCCAAATTAATACACATTGATATTTCGACAGTGAAACTCTCAAACTATTTATCTTGTTTGCGATGTTCTAAAATCTCCGCTCCTATTTTACTTGTTTGAAAGAGAACAAATCAACATCATTCCTTGAAGTTTTCACAAAATTTTCTTTGCCATGAAAAAAAATTACTAAAGTTTTAAAGAATGATGTTGAGTAGTTTTCTATTTTAAAAATGAAGTGTGTAAGGAAGTCTGCGACGTCACAAACCAAGATATGTGGTTTGAGAGTTTAACCATTGATTTGCTATTCCAGATGATCATTATTCATTTAATTGACAGGCATTTGTATAGTCTTCTTTACAGTTCATTATCATAATATTTCTGTCTCCCACATGAAAGAACATTGAATCCACTGTCTGAACTGTTTCAGTATTTCTTCGAACATTTTTTTATTTCATAGGAGAACTATTACAAGAATTAGTCTTAAAATTTTTGAGTCTCTTCTCTCAAGGGTGAAAAAAAGTCACTAGAAATTAATTTGGAAAAAATTTATAAGACCACTGTTTCTTGTACAAATAAAATGTAGGTGAGTAAATAATGAGAGAGCGCTATCACGACACCTTCCTTCATGCAGGAAACAATATTTGGTTTATTTCTTGTCATTTTAACATTCTGCAATTTGTAAGCATGAGGACAGTGAAAGTACCAAACCACGTATCTCATTTGCAATGTTTAAAAATTTCCACTCTTATTTTACTTATTTGAAGGAGAACAAATCAATATCATTCCTTAAAGTTTTCACAAAGTTTTCTCAGCACAGAGAGAAAAAATCACAGAGGTTTTCGAGAATTGATGTTGAGCGGTTTTCTTTCCAAGAAATTAAGTACAACAGAAACGTTGCAAACCAATATACTCTGTCTGGTAGTTTCATCATCGATGTGCAGCTTCCATTATTTTTTTCTTTTTTTTTGGGATCATTCAGACATCCGACATTTTCGAGGAGGCTAATTCAATTGAATTCTCACTAAGAATATAAAAACAAATTGACATGATAAAGGTTTTTTACTACCTTTGAAGGCACTATTTACCTAATCACTTCTCTAAACTCAATTATTATTTTCATCAAATTGTATTGTAAGTATTTTTAAAAATTTCTGTGAAAACTTTCTTGTTGTGTCTAACTAAACTGGCATGAATTGCAATTTTTTTTCCTTAAAAAATGTATAAATCATGGAAAATGCTTCCATGATTTTTACCAATTCTTTAAAATTTATTGGTTTACAGAAACTCTGCTTTAATTTCTTTAGAATGATCGTAATTATTTTTTTAGTCCATCCTAGGAAATTTGAGCATACCTCCGTACATTTCAAATTTTCATGACTTACAAATTCGTCAAACCCGATTTTTTTCCCCCAAAAACTTTTACAAACACAATTATCTTTTCATTTTACCTTTTGGGACTCTTTGAAACTGTCAGAGAAAACTTGACAAATACTTACCCAGTCCAAAAAAAATCTTGCTCTTTTCATGTAATGCTGAATACTGTGCCGATCCTTATGAAAAATCTGCGAAGCACCGAGCGTAGTTCCAATTTTAAATTCAAACAGAAAAGTTCACACAAAAGGTTATAATAGCTTGATGCATGGACAACGAACTGAAAGAACAAAAAAGAAAAATATATTAGGTAAAAAAGATGTAAAACGAAAAGTGCAAATTGAAAGGAGGAAAAAATCCGGTGAGTATTTTGTTTAAAGAGTTACACTGGAACATAAATAAACTAGTAATGTAGTACACGTAATTTTCTTATACCAAAAGACAAATAATTCTAAAAATAATACCTGGTCTTCTGGATAATCAGTATTATCTACTGTTCCTTTGATTCTTAAAACCTTTGTTAAAGTATTTGACGTAGTTGAATACAAGGCATATGGTTCTTGTAGTGTTAAAAAAAAAAAAAAAAATCTTTACATTAAAAAAAATTTAAGCTGTTTGGAGCAATTCTGATTATGAGCATCAGGAAGGTATTTGCAAACTTTTTTCAGGTCTAATTGAATTAATCAGCGCAGCTCAGTCTCCTAATTTTCTATTTTCAAACTTAGTAAGTTTCTGAAAATCACGCTGAGGTTTAGGCAAATGACTGCGGTAGCAAGCATACTTTCCGCCATCTAGTCAGTAATCAACCACATTGTGCCCACATAAGTCTGGTAAGGCTGCTTCGCAGCCGGGGAAAATTTACTGTTAATGAATTTTTCCCCTTTTTTATGAACATTAATATTAATATTTTACAGAAATAATCACAGATAGATATGATGTAACCTTAATATTTTCATTTCTAATCAAAGAAGAGCTTTACGGGCAAAAATGAAAAGTGAGAGCAAATTTTGAAATACTGAAACCAAGATTCTTGTCAATTGAATTTCGCCATGTTAAAATAAAACCTACTACATAAAGAAAAGGATAAAGCGTGGGCAGTTACTCTGCTTTCTCAATGGGACTTTACAAAATAATAATGAGATGTAAAGAAAATTGAAGATTACCTTGTCATCAGGCATTTTATAAATTTTTGTGAATATGAGCAACATTATGCTCATCCATGCATCACAATGGGCTTCTGACTGGAGGCAAATGAAATACTGAAGTGCTTCTTGACAGACAGATATCAGCCGTTTTTCTACTTCAGGCCAGTCAGAACGACGTTCCTCATCTCCAGCCATTTTAAAAAGTATCCGCAACACGCAGGCTAAACTTTGAGTTTCTTGAGCCAGCAGGTTCGGTTTCCCTGAACCTTTAAATCCTGCATAAACAACAAAAGTAATATAGTTTGTGAAGACATAAAACAAATATTTCAAGGTGAATTCATGCATTAACTTCAATGTTTGATATTTTGACTCTTCTTCTTCCACTCGATTTTTTATGACTGTTCCCATGGTCCAGGAAAAAAAGTTGAAGGGGACGGCAACCCTAAAATCGAAAATGATATAGTATTAAAAATTGATGCACGAAGGTATAAGAAGCAAAATGGCTCTGTCCAGAATGAAAAATTCGCAAAATCGGCAAATATATAAAAGATTGTAAGTCTGACTGGTGACATCATGCACTCCTGGTGCGACTGAGGTTCACTTGCACACAACTCGAAGTCTGGCGCCGCAAAGTCTCCTTAATAGTCACACCTAACCAAAGAAAAAAGAGTCGGCCAGGAACGAGCGAGATTGGAGCGAACTAATAACTTGTCGCGAACACGCGTCGGCCATTTGACACTGGAGATAGAGTGCAGAGTGCAGACTGCAAGATGCGAGACGGAGCTCATGACGTCATGCGCTCAGCTCTTATTTCACGATAGCGGCTCAATGAATGCAGATATTCGCAAACGGATTTCGGCATCCTTCATTGCACACTTTTCTTCATCCATTTAGCCAAACTTGTTTTTAAGGTTTCCATCCCCTTTAATCTTTGATGAGCGATTGTAAAACTTAACAACTAGGGTTAAAACAATTTTCGACCCAAAATTTGAATCAGTTAGCAGTCAACTGATAACAGTGTCTGGTGTCAGCTTGCCCAAGTCAGCATCATGAGCCTGGCATACTGTCATAGGAGCACCTTCATGTCAGGCCTATGAGCCGGACAATGTAGGCACCAAGTTAAAAATCATACTACAATTATATAACTTTCACCAATGAATTCAGAGCGTAGGTGGAGGAAATCAATTGCAATAAAAAAATTGAATGCTCTAAAATGCTACTTGTTTGTGTGATGTTAATACCTGCTTTGTGAATACCTGCTTTCCATAGCAGATTACGTTGTTCATGATTTGAATTGAAAGTCTTCGCAAAAGAATGAGACTGAAGAAGACAATCTACTAAGGTAAACAAATGCTGTGCTGTCAGATTATGATACATTCCCTGCTCCATGCGCTGTTGTTCTGGAATTTTTGTTTCCTTATGTAAAAGTTCAGCCTGCAAAAATTAAAACGAAATAAGATTCTGCTGTTGGATAAAACCGCATTTTGCAAGTCCTAGAAGCATATTTAAAAGGGCCAGTTTTGAGACCAGAACTAAAGTTTTGTTAAAAGTTATTCTTTTAGGGACACTTTTTGATGAGCACCAAAATTTCTAATGGTGATTAGTGGGTGCAGGAAATCCATTTTCTGATCTAATCTAATCTGGGTAAATTGATGTTCGAAAACTCACTTGAGAACAAGAGAACTGAAACTTTTCATAAATTATGAAAATAAGTGACTTTTGATGAATTGTTGATTTTGAACAAAATTTGTTAAAATCCTAGAAAAACTGGCCTAAAAAACTCAATTTTCAGCTATGCTACGTCAGTTCAAATTATGTTAGAGCTACGGGACTCAACATGATCTTCGACCTTTAAAACATTAAAGCGTGAAGAAATCAAGTTTCTTTCCTTTGAAACAATGTTAAAATTAAAAAAAAAAAATTTGAATCCAGTCAGTGTTCTGGCTGAGAAAGGTAGAATGTTTTTTTTTTTTTTTTTTTTTTTTTTTTTTTTTTTTTTTTTTTTTTTATTAGTTCTCAAACACTAGATATACATACAATGAACACTAATATTACAATGAACAAATCGTTATCATTTCTCTAACCTTATCTGTAACAAATATAATATCCAATATGATACTTAAACTAAGTATCTGTGATTCGAGACACGCCGGAATTACCAATCGGTACATCATCGGCTGGGGGGGGGGCAGTGGGTTAGCAACTGTTACTTTATTATTATATATTTTTTGCTTAGTAATTAAAATTCTCTGTATAAATTCACTTATCTGTTTCCATTTTAACTTATTCTCTGTCATTTAGGTCTGAAAGGTAGAATGTGGGAACGGATGAACAACTCACTTGAGCAAAAGCAAGATTCTCCATATCCTCTTTCCTAGATGTGGCAGGATAGAATACAATATTATCGACCGTTTGAATGAGTTCCAGCTGAACTTCACACTTTATTGATATACCAGAGAACACAGCCAAAGACTAAAACCAGACAATAAAGCAAATTATGTGAATAGGTATATAATATGAAGTAAGAATAAAATATTTAATTAAATCCGAGGATAAAGGGAAGGCCGTGGTGGACACCATTATTCCAAACCTCGACTTCCTTGAGTTACGTTAACTAACCTAACAGGATAGTGGCCTGAGGGCTTTTCAATGGGAATTAATAAGTAAATTGAATAATTGACCCACTTTAAAGATGAACTATGACAAAGAGTTTTGCCTGTCGACATCATTGGTCTGGCAATAAAAGCAGTGGCCCACAATTTAGAGAGATTTTGGTTTAGGAATAAAAGCGTCAATCAATGACTGACAATTGATGTCAATGGCTAGTTAATATCTTCACTGGTTTAGTGACGGCAGCCAGTGTTGGAGTGTTGGATTTTTTAACTTTTGGCGTTTGAATATGAGAAAGTTAGAGGTCCAAAGAGAAACTGTGTAGTTAGAATCCTGGATCCGCCGTCTGTTGGACTGTTGCCATAGTTATAGTTATCCATTTTAAACTTAAAATCTTGTTTGGACAACTTTCCAAAATGGCGGAATGTAAACTAGTCAAAACAGTTATCTCAGTACCAGACAAAAAAGGTTTTTCTCTTTCTTCAGAGACATAAATTTCCAAATTTTCAGTGCAACTGGCATAATTTAATGATAATATTCAATGCCTTTCATGTCTAACAAAAGCAGCACTTTTGCTATGCTGGTGACAAAAAAATTGATGGATTTGATCAATGAGGAATGAAACATGAAACTTCACAATAACTGTGCTACCGCAAGATTGCAACATACTATCTGTCATGCAAATTTTGTTGCTACTTCTGACATTCCTGAAAAAGATCACTATTAGGTTACTTTCCATCATCATATATTCCCACACTGTACTATTAAAATATAAATTAAAAAGTTCAGAAAGAAAAACGGATTTACCTTTGAGGCACTTTCGTCCATCATAGATGCGTTGCTTGTATTACTAGCGTTACTCTGCACACTGAAAGTACTACTGGACCGTTTCAAAATGCCTGATTGTTTTCCAATTTCTACATGCGGCAACTGTAATTCGAGGGTAAACCAAAGAGGCATTAATTAAATTGAAAAATGATAAGATTGATAGGTAATATTATTATGGGCAGGATTGACAGTTGAATAACTGCTATGTATTATTTCAGGCTGAGAAAAGGACAATGACGCTCCCTTACGGAGACTTGGAACTGGAAAATAATTTTGGGAATTAAAATACATTTGCATGTATACTCTTCAAACATTGTCTAGAACTGCAGCTTTTTAGCATTTTTGGATGAATATTTCTTGTTAAGCAACGATTAAAACAATAAATAAACCATTAATAATGTAACCATTCATAGAAAAAAGAACCAACGTAATAACATCTAGGAAAATTTTTCAAAGGAGTGTTTGATTGATGACTTGGGTAAAAAAATCTCTTTTCCAATTTCCAATAGAAGTAAAAAAGAAGTAAGAACTCTTCACCCAAAAGAGTAACTGGTTCGCAGACTGATTCATGGGTATGCAAAAAAAAAAGGAAAACAGTTTTAGATTTTAATTTGATAATTTTAAGCTCCAAACGGCAAAGTTTTAATCATTAAATCCCTGTTTTTGAAAAATCTGATTTAAACCGTAAACTTTGAATCGCTCTAACTATAAATAGTTTGGTTTGGCAATTTCAAACACCTTTTGCGCCAAAATTTATAGAAAACACTCTTCCATAAAATGGTGCTGGTAGTACTTCAAATTTAAGTTTCTCAGTACTATCGTCCTCCTTCTTTTGAATAGTTGAGACTTTGGCGAAGATTCAGCATCTCACCCTGTGCGTTTAAATATTCCATGAAAAAAATTTTGCTACACCGACTGACAGGCGGTGTGTATGTGTTTTCTTCTTAAAAGTTTTATTCAAATTTCAGAATTCCACACTATATATTCCTCCCATAAAAAATTGAGTCAAATTGTTCTGTTATTAATTTGGATTCGTCGTGAGCTTTTGAATTTGATTATCTCAATCATGTTTCTAAAGAAATTTTACTGAAAGCTCAAGAAAAATTTGGAGAATTTCATAAAAGTGTAAATTCCAATTAACGAGCCTGAATTATACTGAACATACCTCGCCATTTTCGACAGTCCAAGTGAGTAGTTCATGAGCGATTGTACTTTGAAACATGCCTAAGATACATTTACAAGTCTCTGTCCACGTTTCTTCGCTTAGTTTTGGTCCATTTGAAATGACTAGATTTTCCAGGCAATTTGTTCCAGATCGGGCTAACTGTTCATTAACTGCAAAGTGCAAAAGATTAAATGAATATTTCCGGGATCAAATGAGCATTGGACTTTGAAGCAACTTTTTCACAGAAAAAAAATCGTGTCTTGAAGTGAAATAGAAGATGCATTTTGATTCATGAGCTTTTAATTTGTTTGAAATATACTATGTAGAAATATACCATGCATTACTGAAGCCAAAGAAAAGAAGAAAGGTCTCTTCTAAGCCTCCTTTTTAGATCAGAATTGATAATAAAGTTGGAATTAGATGTGTACCTTTAGACATTTTAAGTACATTATAAGAAGGAAATTTTGAAAGTTTCATGAAATAAAACCTTGTGAAAAAATGTGAGGCTCGCTGAGGGTGACATTAATTCTCTTTCGAGAACAAGTTATTTTTTAAACTTCCAACTTGGCGGAACACTACCATACATGAATGTTTTCGAGGGGATAAATGAGACACAAATTAAGAAATAAAAAATAGAATTTTCCTAATAGACCAGAGAGGTGTAAAAAAATCATTACTCACCTTGCAAAACACACCAATGCAACTGAGAATATAAATCGGGCAACAAAAGAGGACCTAGGGTATCAAAATATTGCGTGAAGACATCAACAATTGCATACAAGGCATGATTACAAGTTGTCGTCATCCATTCAGCTTTTTCCGTGTAATGTTCAGGTAACTTCATATTATCAAAAATACGAAAGAGAACATTGAAGAGATCCCGCCACCAGTGTGGCTTGAAAGCACCACCATGAGTTTTGATCATCTCAAACAGGACAGTCAAGGCTCTTGTCCGAACATCTAGCTTGCACCGGCTGACGATACAGGACAGTTCGAACAGCAATGGAAACCAACCACGAACCCAAACACGGTCCTCTTCTGTTGCAGCAGTCTCTTCAAGGCAATACTCGGCGAATAATTGAGGTTTATCATTGACACAATCTGCGCAAGTTCGAATGAACCTTATAGCTTCCATACTTGTGTCAGGAAAGCTCGCATTACATGCAAACTCTGACAGGCACTTGACAGCATCTTGGAAGGAATCGATCATAATTCCAAAATGTTGTACATAAAGTTCATCTGAAAGAATACAAAGAAGAAAAAAAGGATTAGTTTTTTTTGCAAAAGGTTTGACAGGTGAACTGACAGTGTTCTGCTTTAAAAAGGCACTGAATTTTTGAAATTGGGTTCCGGACTAACCGGTCAATATTGAACTACATATATTTGGGACCAGTCATTATTAGATTCTGAAAGCCTTTTAAAAGGGCAAACATTTCTTAGCATGCAAAGATTTTCAACAGATTTGACACTAAGTCCTTTCATTACAATGCATTCAAATTGCTAAGTTGTCTTATAGAAGATCAAATTTACCAAGAAGCTTAAAACTAGGGTGGAGAAATTGCATGCTAAATTATGGGTCTAGGAAGCTCTTTCTCTTCAAAAGGCTTTTATCTGCACCCTTGTTAAAACGCTGGTAAATTAAGGGAGAAAATTAACTGAAAAATCTTTGAAATAAAAAAATAAATGGAAGTACTTACTGATAATGTGAGTTGTTGTCTGGAAAGCTAGTTCAACAATTGCTTGATCCTGATCAGATGCCGCCAGATGAAAAATGCTAAAAATATTCTTCCAACCCGAGCGAATGTTCTTGGCTTGTGAATTTACCATTTGAGCGATGCACCGCACAACCATATCTCGAATGGTGGATGAGCTATTCTTCTTCATTATGACTTCAAAAGGCCTCAAGAAATCTTTCTGGAATCTGAAATTGGCAAATTCTCCTTTTTCTATGAATTTCATGGACAGCTGGCGTAATGAGTCAAGAGCAAAGAAGGCGATGTCCTCATTAGGATTGCATCCAACTCGATTAAAATGTTCACCTAATACTTGCCAAATTCTGGACCACTGCAACCTAATACGGCCCATGTTGTAATATGATATTTCCACAATTTTCTGCAAGCTGAACATCCTAGGGTGATTTGGATTCGACAGCTCGTCCATCGATACTTGACAAAGCGCATGTACAAAATCAACAATGGCGTTACCATCGAGTCGCGTGGAACCAGTAAAAATTCTATCGACAGCGACAACAACACTCTGACTGCTTGTTTCACCAATCGATTCTTTAACACTTGGATCTAAAGATGTGAGGTTCAACTTCAATGAAAGAGTATCGACGGAGGGGTATGTCTTTGTGAGTGATAGGAACTGAGAGCGGACACCAGTGCCCACCATTTGAGCTAATTCTAGCTGACTGATGCACCTCACTATGTCTAGCCATGAACTTCCCAAATAATTTCCATCAGTGTGAGCGACTGTGATGAGTGTTTTAATTGTTTCGATGTTCTTTGCTTTCATTTCAGTGATGGGTGAGTTGGCTGTCAGTAGGGTGAATCTTGCTAGCGCTTGTACATATGCATCCCTTTCTAGAGTCATATGAAAAATGCATGTGATACGAATGGCACATCGGATGCCTTCAAGACACAGTGAGGCGACTTCCTGATCATCACAGTCTTGAAGGCCAACACTGAATGCTGCCAGAAGTGGTGTCCATGCCATCTTGAACATGGGTCTGACGTGTTCTAAATGTTTCGCTGATGTAAACGGTGCTTGAACATGACTCACTGACTCCATTAAATTTTTAGCTGCAGTGGATATTGTCTCCATTTCCATGTTCCACAAAACCTTTCTCCGTTTCTCTGAGGATATTATTTGCTTCCCTGGTTTACTAGTGGCTTTCATTTTTATTTCGTGCCCTGCGATTTCATCGTAAATTTGACTGAGATATTCCTCAGGTAGGTCCTGGCTGTCCGATACGCCTCGATTCAACTTAATGTACTGTTCTTTGGTCATCTTATTTTTAACTTGTGGTGAGTGCAAATCCGTGGTCAACATGATGACAGAGTAAGCTAGGACATACGCTGTATCTGCGCTGGCAAAAAGCCCATTGCTGAAACAAACATTATAGAGGAGTTATTTTTAGACAGATTAAGCAAAAAATAAAATTCATGGGATTACAAGAAAAGCAAAGTTCTTTGGAAGACTCATCTACTGATTACAGGAGACAAGAAAATTAGTGGGTATTCCGTATAAATGAAAGCTTGAGCAAGTGCAATCAAGAATAAATCAATTTATTGCATGGGCTGTTGAGGGAAAAATTGTTATTACCGGACAGGAAATGAATATTCATGGAAGATCTGGCGTGTTAAGAAAAAACTGTGGGAAAAGCACGAAGATTTAGGATGGCAATTCAAGGAAAAACAGTGATGTTACCGAGAAGATTCAGTCTTTTCAAAAAGATGTGCTTGCGCTGTGGTTGTACAGGGTTTGTGAAATTATGCAACGACCAAGGGCAAAAATTTTCATTTCTTCAATATTAAGGTACTCCACACTGGAGTCTAAAAAAAACTGATTGCCGTTATTGCTACATATGAAAATTTGCATCAAGATAGGACAAAGATTATACAACTAGAATTGGTACTTTTATTAATCATAAGTATAAGTGTCTCAAAATACTCCATTCAAAAATGCCATCAGGAGAGTTGACGCAAGTGAAAACTGTCTCATATCTTCCACCACTCCATTTTTGGAAAGTGATAAGCTGATCAGCTAGCAAGTGTCAGGTCTTGCTTTTTTGTAATAATGCGCAAAAGAGAGAGCTTCTCAATTTTGTTTGGTCCTTGCGAATTTTTTAGATTAAATTCATTAGTTTGACACCCTGAAGCCATTCCCTAGATTTGAAACCCTTTATGATTAAACAATAAGAAACACTATTACTGTCGGTGGAGGATTAATGACTGAAAGTATTTTACGTACTTTGGATTACATTCGCAATATCTGCTAGCGAATTTCTCCATCAATCTGTCAATTTTTTGAGCTTCACCAGGCAGTCTGAAACCTTCCAGAAAATACCGCAATGCTGACACTAAATCTCTTCCTGTGAACTGCAGTTGGTCTACGTAGGCATACATGACCTACAAAGAGGGAGAAGAATAAAAATTATTTCACACCTGCTTATAATTTTTGTGTTTTGTTGTTGAAAACTTGATTGTTGGTAACCTTGGGAAGGAATGATTTGTGGTGCAAATAAAACACCTATGCAAGAGGTAATTTTGAAGGAGTTAATCAATTTCTGATCAAAATTCATCTGAGATTGAAGCACCAGCAATGATTAAAATTTAAGGGAGGTAACTACTAATCTGATATCTCACACTCCCTACTGGAATTATGATAAATACATTCAAATAGCTAAAGTAAGAACAACTGTTACTCAATATTCCTGAAAAAGTACAGGGGAAGGGAAGGGGGGGGGGGTAAACATATTTCAATTGAAACATTGAAGATTTCTGTGCCTCCTTTGTTTTGTAGAGTGAAGAATGATCAATGTTATGGTTTAAAATTTTAACAAACAGGTCCAGATTTTGGTGACTTTGAAATCCACTTTCTTCATCATTTTGAGTAAAAAAAATCCAAAAATGGGAGCTCAACTCACTCAGTGCTTTAAGAAAATAGATTTAAAAAAAAAAAGACACTGATCCATTGAGATACAAGGTATTGGAGCTGGACCATCAACTAGCTGGATAATATTGATTCAAAAATAAATAATGATACCTTTGTAATAACGTATGTATTATTATTAAAATATGGAAAAGAGTGATTTTTTATTTAAGTTTACTTACCTCTCGGCAGAACTCATCATTCTCCCCCAGAAAATCGCCGATTCCTGTCTTGTCTAATCTTTCGTCTACATGAAGCCAGGCAGCAACGGCAGTAGGGCTGTTCCCAAGTAAACCCTGTTCTTGCAAAAAGGAAATACCTTTCTTTGGCTTACGGTTGAACCTGTTGTAAATCAAGACCACGTTTAATTAGGAAAATGAATCAAATATTTTGGGTCAAAAATATTTCAGGACCCATTGAGACAAATAGTGACCGTACTTTATCTATTTCAAAGAATGATTCTTGGCTCTTTATCTACAATGAAAAATTAATACTTGATGACAAAACTCTTGAACCTAGAGAAAAATTCATTTTGAACTATAAAAAAATCTGTGATCTGATCAAACACTTTCTTAGGACAGGTCAACGATCTAGAAACTATAGATAGGAGGTTCCTATGCTACGCCAACAGTGAAATTTGTAACGCACCAGGAGCAACAATTAGATTAGGACGAAGATAGTCGGTTTCTATGGCTTCTTATGGGACTGTTGCTGAATACGGACTTATATCAAATTTAGAACCAACTATTTGAAAATCTGTGTCCAGATATGGAACTTAGCCATTCATCAAGTGCGTTTACGATGAAAATTTCAACGCTAAATCATTTATTCTAAAAACTCCCGTAAGATTCCATGTATTTGAGGTTATGACGAAGATAGCAATCAGCCATTTCCACTCCCCGCCCGCCTATCGAACAACCGCTCCATGTGTGTTACGTTTTTTTGTGGGCCACCACCAATCTATAGGTTCTATATCGTTCGAACAGGTTCTGTTATGTATTGTGATTGAAGAGCATCCACAAAAATAAAAGAGATAAAAATGCAAAAAATGCGATGCTCCTAAAAGTTAGTGGATTGGTAATATTTTGGACCTTTAAAATACTCTCTGACAGAAGGACAGAAATTTGAGGCACAAGAACTGCTGCTATTCATGACCCAGGTTCAAAAAGCTGGATTGCCTTCAGGGTTTTAGAGTGTTAGGTTAGACTATCATTTACAATAGGCGAAATATTTCATCGGTACATATTTTTTGCAAGGATGAAACGAAACAAAAATCCATAAATCTGGATGGTTTCGAACAACCTAACAACCATTCATAAAATTCATCTAATATCTTCAATTTGAAAGCATGGTTTGCTTTGTAATGAGTAAGGTAAGTTTTCCCTATGTTCCTTTTGAAAACCCATCTCAGATCCAATAAAATGTGATTAGCAGCTACTGAGAAGTCAACTTACATATCAATGCCAGTCTCCCAAACTTCCTTTTGATGTTTCTGAACTTGTAACTGCTGAGGAGTGTCTGGTGCTTCCTTATTTCCAGAACTAATAGAATTTAAACTAGTATTGCTACCATAGGAATGTAGACTATTTTTAGGAGTTGATGAGGCCGTTAAATCATTTGTCATTTCATTACCACGGACATTTCTTTCCGCACCTGAAATAATTAAGCCGTTGGTTAAGATAATTTTTTTAAAAATAAAAAAGAGCACATAGAAACACAATTGTTCAAAGTGAAAAAAACTACACAATTTTTCAATCCTTTTAAATGACAACGAGAGCCTTGTACCTGGGGAAAATGAAGTGCTCTTCTATGAAAATATGCATTTAAAAGAATCAAAATCCTTTAGAATGGATTCAAATTATTTGTGGCCAAATTTATTAAAACAATAATAGCTTGGATAGGAGTTAATTTTAGTAATTTTTGTTGTACAAGTTGTATTGTATGTAAAGTTTATAGGAGGAGGCATTTATCAGAATGCTTAAATTTATACTCCGTCTAAAGATCTGTGGCAAACAAACAAATATGATTACAATTATAAAGGAAAGGTTATCTTTGAATTTTCTCTTTAACTAGAGGACGATTTGTCTATCCTTCACAGATTGAAAAATATACTTGTTTTAAGGTGAGCAAAAAAGGTTGACTGCTTTATGGTCTTTCGAAGAAAAGTAGTTTTAAGGTTATGAAAAACGACTTTCATTGTTTACGATGAATTAATTTCTTACCTAAATTTGTTTGAGAATTGGGGTTAACGTACAAATCTTTACTCCATTCAACCATACATTTTAAAATTGAAACTAAACACTCAAGTCCCCGAATACGCATTTGTTTCTCCTGATTTGGAGTGGCTCCTAATTCAAGTGCTTGTCTTCCTTGGGCAATTTTGGATAGGTCATTTACTAGCCTGCGAGCAAAAACAATCAAAGACACCAATTTTATGGGACATTATACAAATTTGGTTACCTTTTTCAGTTACTGACTAAAACCTATAACATAATTATGATATTAAAATGCCATCACTTAAAATATAAATTCATGTTGAATAGTTCTAGATTATCATAGCAGTATCTATCATCCTTAAGAGTAGCACAATTTGACTTTTGAAAATAAGCCTGAAAGTAGGTATTATAAAATATTTGCATATGGTATCATGAAAGCTCTCTGATACATTTTTTTTTAAAAATCAACACACATTTTTCTTTCATTTTTTCAATCTACTTGAAAGTTTTCGGAAATTTTCAGATATCTTGGTCGTTGCTTAAATTTTGAAAAAAACTAACGACATATGTTTGTTTGATGTGAACGACTCAGAGATTACAATGATTATATATTTGTTTCTGTTAAAATTGATAAATTTGACGGTCTACGGGTAAAAATAAAAGCAATAAATTGAACTTCCTCTATGGTATTCAGCATAGAACGTGATGTTAACACCAATCAATCAGTTTAAGAATGCATGTGGGTGATTGGTGGTGCTGTAGATCACTAAGAAAAACGACGTCTTTAGCATTGAATAACAGATACAGCATAAGATGTTTACCTTTCAAAAAGATTAGCTGCTGATAAATCACAGTCATAATTTACATACATATCAACAACGCTTTGAGCATCAGCACAAATTCTTGTTAAAGCTTGAATTACCATCCATTTATGCTCAAATGAGGAACTAGATGTTTCTAGGATATTCAGAAATATTTCTTTGAAAAATACCTGAAACAGTGAAAATTATGCATTACCCAAATAGAACTGGAGTTTTGATTTCCAGAAAAAGTCTGAGATGAGAATTGTTTAAAGAAAAAAAAAATGAAAACAGGGAAAGTTGCAGGTCAAGCATCACTTTTAAACTTTGCTCATGCATTTTACCTTAAAGAAAAATATCCAAATTCCTTGTTCAGAATTAAAAATTGGCAATCTTGATATTTTTAAGATCTTAGACATTGGTAATTTGCGAAGTTTCTTTGTCATCAAATTGTTAAGTTACTAATCAAGGCAAAACAAAATAAAACGATGGTTTTTCTTTTTTTCTTTCAGCATATTTTGGACGAGAGCCATATAAAATTAAGATATTTCAGGAAGAATTTCCCACTAATACTGCATTTTGAAGAATGAAAACATTCAGTGAATACTCAGCTGCGAAGAAAAGGACAAGAGAAAAATTCTGATAACTAAACGTTTATGCTTGCACTCACCTCAATTTGCATTTTTAGATGCATTTTAAACCTAGACAAAAGAGCCAAGAAAATTGCTAGAGATAGTTGAAACACTTCAGGAACTGACGAAACGCCATTTTTGGAAAGCGCAACACACAAGTAACGTTTGATTGCGGTGACAAACATAATATTGGAACGAAAAACGGGACCTGCATTTTGCAGGATTGACAAAAGCAGTTGAAGGGATAAAATTTTCGATCGCAGTTCCAGAGATCTGTAACAACAACAAAAATGATTCAGATCAGACGGGCGAAGAAAGAAAGAAAATTTCAAAAAGTAAAAGTTAGGTGAGTTGAAAATGCCAGACTTCAAAATTAGACTTTTTCTTGAAATCTATTGATAAAAACACAGCTCCACCAACAGAAATCAATACTTTTTTGGATTTTAGTACACCATACAACTCTCTAATCTTAAAAGCAGCCCAGAAATGAACCTAAATCCTCTACCTGTCTTCGACATCAAATAATTTTTGTTGACTTCGAATTCTTCCGTTGAAAGCCAATACTTAAAGCGGCATCGGAATAAGTGAAAAGAGATTGGGAGTAGTTACAAATATGCCAAAGTAGTCAAATCAAGGCTTGTGAGAACAACTTTTGGTATGAAAGTTTTGAAAATCTCTGGTGCATTGCATTTTTCTTTACAAACAGGGGGAACAACCTTGTTTCGAACATGGGTGGATTTTGATATCTCTTATTAGACAAAAATAAGAGTATTGTACATAATAGGGTAAAAGTAAATACATAGCCGTGTGATCATAATTCAATTTAAACGCGCCTGAGTTAGTCCATGTCAGTAAATTATCAGTTACTACTAGTTCAAATTACTGATACACAATGATAAGGCCCACCCTGTCGGAATGGAACAGCTTTATGGGGACTGCAAAAACTCAACGTCAATTCACTATTGGCTCATATGCTGTCCGTCAGGCTGTCTGGCAAATGGTATACATGAGTACAGTTCATTTTTGCCAGCTTCAAAAACTGCGATAGATATCAGTAAGAGTAGCTCCTCTTGTTATCACTACTTTTCAATATAGCTTCCAAAATGACTGACAAGACACCCGTAGGCTCAGCATGTAAAACTTGTAAAAATATCTAAAATAAAAAGACAGAAATAAAAATGTATAAACTTTACTAGAATTTACTTACTTTGGATCTGGTTGACCATCAGGTAAAGGTTTCATAGATAATTTACACAAGGCTTGAAAAACTCGGAAAGCATCCTTTTGCAAAATGTGTGTAAACTGAGAAGCAATCTTGGTGTCACCCTCACTTGATTCCATTTGGTCCTGTAATGACAAAAATTTCAAATAGTAATTGAGATGAAACACTTAGAGTTGTGCATCAGAATAATATGTTAAATTTTAGATAAGTTTTATTTCAAAAATCATTATAATTTTAATTTGATACCATTTTAGATTTTAAATGATACTTCAAAGAAAAATTACGAGTCAGAAAAATTTTACCTCATACAGAATTAACTTTTGAATGAGACGTTTCTTGTTGGCTCATCAATCATCGTCCCCATTTCAATATTTCTACAAAACATTTTATTATGTCATGGAAGAATCGTTGCATAAATTAGTCTGAAAATCGCAGAATCTTTTTTCACAAAGGACAAGAAAAAGCATGAGCAATTTCACGACAATTCATGAGACGGTTTCCTCACAAAAAAATAAAATGTAGGCACTGAAACAGTGGAATCGAGATACATTCCTTCAAATGGGATACGATGATTTGTAAGATTCTTTCAAAGAAAACCAGGATGCTCGAAGTTTCTTAGATTTGACTCCACATCCTACTCCTAACCAATCACTTTAATGCTAATAAAAGAGCCACTTACACATCGTTTTCCAAAGCTGATGTCACATCCTCATTGCTTTAAATAACAAAAAGAAAAAAAACTGGATCGCTTTATGTGACATCAACTTTGCTGCTGAATGTTGCAACTTGTTATTAGAGAACAGATAATAATTACCGATTCTGGTGGAGGAAGGTGACTGCTCCACTCAGTCTGCATGTGGTTGGATGGGCCATTCCCTGCAATAGACGGCAGTTTTGCTTCTGCAAGTCCACTTTCTGCCACTGGTGAGACGGGTTTTTCATTATCACAACCTAGATTAAAAAAAAGTATTCATGTTAAACAGTTTTATTTTGAGGTTGAAAATTTTAATCCTGAGTAAATGTTTTACTGTCACTTAATTCCATCAAGCTTTACCATTCTAACTGGATTAAAAATTAAAAATTATTGGTATGCTTTTTAAAATAAAGAAGTATACGTCACTCATGGCTGTGTAGTTCTGTGACACAATATTTTAGCGATGATTTTGACTTAGTAATGAAACAACTAACCTGTACACTGTCAAGGCTTTTTTGGTTCCAGGTCACTTGAGGCCAGGACAATCCTTCAAGTTCCGAGATTATGCTGTTTGTAATTTGATCTCATCATGGTTGTGACTCGCGTCAATTGTCAGCTTACTAAAAACTATACATTACTTCAGGATCCTAAAGAGAGCACCCATCATAATTTTTCCATTTGTTGCTAGTTTGCTGTGTCCAACGGCCGCTTTTTCGCTCGTTTTACGGCCTGGCAGAGCCAATTACCAAGAGTTCCTACAGGTTGAGATGGTCGTCAATAAGTTAAAAGCCATTCAAATTAAAGTTTTCCTCCCATGACTTTGGATGTAACATGTTTATATTGTATGAAGGCATACAGTACCAAAGAAACGTCACTGAAAACTTACTTTGAACAACTGCTTCGATTAAACCGTTGAGGACAGCCTCGACAATTTCTTCTTCTATTTCAACTGGAGCTTCCTCCGATTTTTCTGGCGGTTTTTCAACTGCTTGATCCGATGAAGGCTCCACTGGTACATCTGCTGATTGAGCTGCGGGTGGTTCGCTGGATTCTTCATTTTGCTGCTCCCCAGGCTGCTCCGAGGGAACAGTTGCGATGATGTCCGGCACACCACGAAGGCGAGCTGCTTCATCAGCCTGAAAATAAATTTAGCATTGTATGATCAAGTTTCATGATAGATTTTTGAAGACAAAATCAAGAAATTTCGAGAAATTTTTGAGCAATTCTAATGAGTATAATTAAAGATTCTTGAGGTTTTAAGAGGACTTAAAAAAATGTTTTAAGGTACTCAAAGTACTCATGGAATATCTTAGAGACATTTGAGAGTAACTTAAAAATCTAAGTTTCTTTTCCCTGCAACATCATTCTTTTCCGCCAATACATAGATGAGCCATAGTTTTAAGATCTTTAGAGAAAGAAAAAAAAAAATGAGAGAATAACGGAATAAGGGTGGACATTTAAGTACACTCAAAAAATTAGGAGGAATTTTGAGGATGAAATAAATAGCATTATAATGTGAGTTAACTTACCGCTTGACTTTCCATTCGGGCAAAAATAACATTCAACATTTGCGTGAGGGTAGCTCTGGCAGTGGTTTGATTGATGAGGTTTTTACTTGCCAAATAAATGTCATAGCATGTTCTCACAGCAATCAGCACCGTCTGATCATGAACTTCAACATGCTGACTTGTCACGACGGTCAATAAGGCCTATTTCATAGATATAGAGAAAAAAATGTTACTCTACAATAACAACAATAAAACATTTTGCTGATTTTCGTGATTCATGATGATGGTCAAAAGAACAAACTACAAGCAATTTGTTTCATATTTATGGCAATGAATAGAATAAAGCAACATATTAGTAGACAATAGACAATTTTGAATTTTGAACATGCAGAATTGTTGAAAAAACCATTTTTTGTGACTAACTTTTACGTGTAAACTTCAAAGCCTACACTCGATTATGCTTTGAGCATCTTCAGGCGCTTTCTTGATCCAAAATGTTGGTAAAACACATTTCTAAGTAAGGGTAATATCACCTCTATTTTAAGTTCTGTGGAATAAAAGTTCTTTTCCCCACAGACAGCCACAGTTGTTAAGTTTTCTGGTACATACTTCTTTTTCTTTTTTTTGATGACCGAAAGAGAAATTCAAAGGGGACATTTTAGTCAATTCATTCCTGTTAATAAAATGAGATTTTTGAACGAGACTTGAACTTTCTTACTTTAATGATTTGAAGTTGGACACCTTCATCAGTCTGAGGCCCAACAAAACAGCCACATATCGTTTTTATTATCCGATCAATCAAAAGTCTCTCAGCATTGTCTGGATCCACCAAGCTACCAGTTAGATGACCATATGCAATTAATTTCTAAAAATCATAAAAAATTAAAATGAATTAGATTGAAGACACTTATGAATACAAACACATAAATGACTACTAATAGATTAAAGGGGCTAAATAAATATTAGCATGGAAAAGCTTCCTCAAAATCTAAATTCTCATCAGATGAAAATATTTATTTTGATAAGTTGAAGAATTAAATTCTTGAAAAAATTAGGACTTGGAACAGCAAAATCAAGCTTTCACAAAATTTTAGGGAGAAAACATTAAAACTTGCAAGAAAAGTAAGTGATATTTAATTACACTTTATGATTCAATGTATGAGACGCCTGATAGGAGCCTTGTTTGATTTGGTTATTGACCTTAGATTGATGTCTCATTGTTTCAATGGTAGGAAAAACTCAAGAAAAAAAGGGAAAATATCAAGATGACATAGACAGAAGATCTCAAACCTACAGAAATGAATTTTTCATTTTCTATAATGAAGATAACAGAATGGTTTTATCAATGGAGATACTGTGACACTTCATGTTTAGGTTTACGACTGTGCAGATTTTTTCATAAACTTCAATTTTGAGCAGGATAACTGATGAGTTATTTCTATAAAATATTTTAAGTAATTTTCTTTGCACTGAAGAGGAATCTCTGAAAATTATTCACGTCCACCTAATAATATTCTTCAGAAAAATAGGTACGCTTGTGAAAATTAAGTGCATTAATTTTGATAAATACTTTGATGAAAATATGTGTTTTTGTAATGTATCAGTCAAAGTCTAGAGAAGGAGGCCGCATAATATGCTATTCTGAATTTTTTTCTTACGTTTTTTTATGCGTAAATACCTAGTATAGTATAAATAATTCTGAGTGCCTGATTTTCAATTGTTTTGACAGTGAGAAAAAAGTTGGAAAAAAATTAATAAAAGCTTAAAAGTCACACTTAAGTCGGAGACCAGCGCTGATGGAATTACAATTTTCATGAACGAACCTGCAGACAATCTAATGCTGTGATGATGATCCTGGTGCATTTACTTTGGCAGGCATACTCAAACGGGAGAAAATACTTTTCAGCAGTGACCGTGTTACCAGCATCGTTTCTTGGAAGAGGCAGTGCAGAAGATGTTGCTTCTTCCACCTCACCACCATCCTTGATCTCCTTCCGGATTTCCTCTGAGAAAATAATCCAGATATTGAGATTTAAAAACTAAGTACTGTCAGTGACATATTTGAAACCATAGATGCACAATTTCTCAATGCCCACCCAAATTAACATTTGGGTCTCAGAGCTCATGTCTCAATGCACATAGTTCCGTTTGGCAGAAATACGTCCAAATAGTCGCCGTAGGCGCATAATTACAGAAAACGCCATGAGTACACGACACAAAACCCATAAATTTTAAAAATTCAAGAAAATAAGGATTTCTTGAGGGTAATGGGGGTCACATACACAAAAATGAAAGGCCGAGAGCTTTCTGCATCCCTGCAAGCAGTCAAAAGAAAAGCTTCGTGATAAGCACTTGCAATTTCAACAATCAGTACCTACAGTACTTAACAGAAAATTTTCTTCAAAATGATGAATTTTAAACTCTAGACTGCTTCAAAAAAGCAAGTGATTGCCAGATTGATTACATCATAAAAAGAGTGAGAAACCTATCAATGACATAAACTTTTGGGAGTTATTCAATTAGGCAGGGACTGAAGTCCAGCATTGGGCGAGTGGGAGGAACTTATTGATGGCTATAGGTATCTCCAGCAACTTAAGGGTGATACTGTCAACAGTAAATGCCTGAAATAAGGGCCGAAAGAGCAACTAAGAAAAATTTAAACACATCACGTCCGGAGAAAAGGACTGAGATTCACTGAATCTGTGCGCAACAATATGTTCCGTTTTAAAGCTGTCAAACGATAGAAATAGAGTAAATACTATACAAATATCATACCTAAAGCATGCTCACACGCCTTCCGCAGCTCTGCATTATGGGCTCTCCGAACATCTTTGTCATTCAAGATCTTTTCTAAGGCTTTAACGATGAACATCTCTTTAGTGTTCGAGGTTCTTCTCATTTTATGAAAACTGTCACACAATCATTACTCTGGAGACCCGTTGAAAAACTAACGAGTTGGATTAAGACATTGGTTCAAGTAGAATACAACCGAGACGAATACTACCGAAAAATATACATCTCGATTTCCAAAACCGAAATGACTCCGTCAAAAGTGACTTTTTCCACTTTTTTTCGAGCACTAACTATTATGACTGTAACCTACAAAAATCTTATCAACAACTCAACAACGAATCTCATCACCTACCTGAAAAAGTCATCGATTGCATCTCGGGGAATCACCGAACATTATTGATAAGAGAATTTTGCATGTGCGATTTGTATTTATGCATTTGCATGAACACTGATAGCGCACTCAGAAAGTTCACATTTAAATTTTTGCATTAATGTCACTTGTCAGTCACTTACTAGTGCTTTCTTCAGTATTTCGTAATGGCAGTCAATTCATAACCACTAGTGGATAGCCTTCAACCAATTTTCTATGTTGCTTACCTGTGAGTTATCCTTCTGCACTTGAGAATCCCTCCCTGAATTCATACATTGTGGTTTCTAGTTTTGTAAGTTTTATTTCTCATGGACATTTTATTCACTCTATATTTAAATTCTTTTTTACCCCGGAACTACAGAAACACAGTAGAGTAAAATTGGAAGGGTAAGATGCACCAATGTAAAGACCTAATTCTTCTGCAAGTAACCACTACTTACTTGCGTAAGTAGGTAATTTGTTGCAGACAGGAGTGCATATGTATCTTTATATGGCTATAAGCTCAAAATAGATTGATTATTGCCCAATCTTGACACATTGCAGAGACACATTCGAACTTTACAATATCCAGCCCCTCTTCTCATTACAGGGTGCATGTGGAGCAGCCGGTATGATGAATATTCATCTTTCGTTTCGAAAGAATCTTTCATTCTCAGTCACTTATCAATTTAATGTAATCCACAGTTTAGTCACTATTGCATCAAGGAGGCAACAGTGTACTCTCTGCTGTTTAGGGAGCGTGAAATTTTAAATAACGACAATGTAAACATAAATGTACCATGTTCTAAATTGAAAATTTACTGTGTTGCAAAACTAAGGTTAAATTACTGATGTATAAGCCAGTGTGTCCTTTCACTTTTTACCTGTGTCCAGTTAGTAAAAACCTTATGCTCTATCCTATTTATGATGAAATTTTGAACAGAAACTCCGAGAATTCTATTATTTTTTTCATTTTTGAACAATAAGCATTAATATGTCAAAAGTGTTGATACAAAGCTTTTGTATTATTTTTGCTCCTTTAGTATGCTTTCCTATAAATTGTGGGAGCTTTTCTCAGAATTTAATTTATGAACTGTCAAATTGGCATTGAAAGTTTGTCTAATTTAACATGTTTTCTTTTGGCAGATTTTTACCCTCTGCTCCCATCTCAGCTTTTCCTCTTTGGTTATAGAAACTAAAAAAAATTTTAACTCTTTTGAAATTCAATATTTTTTTGCTAAAGATTCCTAATTATATACTGATTTGTTTCCTTAGTTTCAGGTGGTTTTGATACTATCAAGTTCACTGAGTCCTCCATAATGTCTGATACTCAGAGTATTTAGTCTGACTCCAGCATGAACAAAGGCCGGTTTGGGCCCCTTGTCGGGGCTATTGATGAAGGAACCAGTAGCGCTCGATTTTTGGTAGGTTTATTAAACCTCTAATGGTTGCCTTTCATCGTTCAAATATTTTTTAATGGTCAACCAAAAATAAACTTTAATAAGTTGGGTCAACCATCAGCGATTTAATGTTTGTATCAGTACGAACCATCATGCTTTCTTGAAAATTTTCCTTTGATCGTTTTAAAACTGGAGAGTCTCCCCTAAATACTGCATGTCATAGATTTAAATTATTGAAACTGTTCTCTTTTCCTCCTAAATCTCAGGGTTTCACTCCACAAATTATAACTATAGTCTCTGCCGTGTAAAATGTACTATTTTTATTTTATTAATTGTCATCTTTCTTTTCATAATAATTTTTCGATTTCACAGGTTTTTGCTGCAGAAACAGCAGAGGTCTTAACTTTTCATCAAGTTTCAATAAAGAACATTTGTGAAAAAGAAGGATGGGTGGAACAAGATCCAAAAGAAGTTCTGAAGGCTGTCTATGAATGTATCGAGAAAACAGTTGACAACATGCGCAGGCTTGACATTGACCCAAGTGATATTGTTGCCATCGGCATCACAAATCAAAGAGAAACAACCATTGTTTGGGACAATACCACAGGAGAACCTCTGTACAATGCTATTGGTGAGCATCATCTAAAACTGAAAAATTTTTACTTACTCGAGTGTACTATTTATTACCTCTGTCGGATAGGGTTTGGGGGCTTAAGACAACTATCATCAGCAACTGACCATTATGTACCCCAAATGTCATATTTTTTCACTCCCTGCAAGAATACTTGGTGATCTGAGATCAAGTGCAGTTATTCCAGGATCAATTCTTTGAGTGAAAACGAGACTATTTTGTAGTATTTATCACATATATGGTAAAAATGATCACCAACTATTACTTTAAACTCTGTTCAAAGATAAATTGTTATGGGAGATTTCCTACAACATAAATCGAGACTTGAGCTCTTTCAGTTTCATCATTTATGTGCTTGAGAATCCTCCAAGTTTTGATTGGAGGAAGTGTCTATAAATAAGGGTTTACCAGGAAATACTGAAATTAGAGTTATGTGTTTAATTAAAAAAAATCTTGAAAAATGTTCTAAAAATCAAAAAGTCATGTCTAATTTTTCAGCTGTTGTACACAGATCTGCCAGTCTGCTGTCTAACCTGAGGCATATTCTGCCAACTTATTTATTATCTTTTTTTCAGTTTGGTCTGACATCAGGAATATTGACACAGTGGACAAGATGTTATCAAAGTTACGCGACAAAAATGCAGAATATTTTAAACCTCTTTGTGGCCTTCCTATTAGTACTTATTTTAGCGCGCTCAAGTTACGTTGGTTGATGGACAACGTTCCTGAAGTAAAACAAGCAATTGATAGCAAAAAATGCTATTTCGGTACCATGGACTCTTGGTTAATATGGGTAAGTATTTCCATCTGTGTAACGTCATCGAATTATCTTAGCCACTAATGTTTATAAGAAAAGGGCCCTGCTTGTCCAGGCTTGATGAGACTATACATAGTCCAAATTTTCAAATTCTCAGGTTAGTCTGAAGTCAAGCAATAAATCTTTGAGACTGGACAATAATGCACTATCACTTTGCTGGAGAGATAATTATAAGAATATAAGGGATTCTGAATTTGCATCTTCATTAACTCCTGGTTTACCACAATACATATATACTCTTCACACTATCATGACAATATTTTTTAAGTGTTTTTTTTTTTTTTTTTTTTTTTTTTTTTTTTTTTTAAACAGTTGACTCGTGAGTTTTTGCACTATTCTTGTATATGCTGTTTAATGTTTGTGCCATGCTGTGGAAACAAGCAGAATGAGCATTTGATTTTTAGCAGATTTTCTTTGATTAATTATTTATTTTTGGGCAGGGTTATGAATATTTTCCCTAAAAATGTTTGAATACTTAATATCAAAGTCTGATTAAAATTCTCTAAAATAAAATTGGCAGAAAAATACTCCCAAGTTTTCTGGTAAATTTGTGTTTTATCAAAAAAAATTTGGGAACGTCTGAATGTTCGTATGGCAATTCCTCTTATCTTGGCAGCATTATAGATCATCAGCGAGCACTGAAAAATCAGTGAAATAAACATATATTCTAAGCCCAAGTTATTATTTAACCAAGCAGTTTTGTTCTCTGTCTCTAAGTTGGTGTTAATTATAGGAGGAAATAATTTAAATATTTGAAAAAAATGATGAAAAGGGCTAATGTGTTTGTCAAATTTGTGTTTGACCTTCTCTCAAATGAAATGTACTTGAAAATATTTGATTTTTGAAGAGAAGGTCTTCGTGCATTTGTCTTCAAAATTTACACAAATAATTCAAGGCATTACTTGAATTTTGGTTTCTCATTTCTACCTGAAACTTACTTTAGAAACGGTTGTTGCATGGAAATTGGCCCACTGAAAAACATGTATTTTATAAATCAACTGATAAACCTTATCCACCTATCCTTAATCCTTATCCTTAATCCATCCTTATCCTTAAACCATTATCTAAAGAATGAAATCATGGCCGTCATCAGTGTTTTTTTTATGGTTTTAGTAGCTATTTATCTGTTTTGTTTTCAGAATTTAACAGGTGGTGTTTCAAATGGTCTTCATGTCACTGATGTCACCAATGCATCTCGCACCATGTTGATGAATATTAAAACGCTGAATTGGGAACCTGCCCTTTACAAGTAATATCTGTCTTTCTATTTATCAGCTCTAATCAAAAAGCTCATGAAAACTTACTTATTGACTCAAAAAAGCTATTTAATCTTCAATGTTTTTTCTCAAACAACACAAGAAAGATGAAAAAAAATTAACGATACAATGGACCATTAGACAAGGCACGAATTCAAACATTCTGATACATGTTTCTTAAACAGAATTTCACGTAGAACACGATTCGCGCAGCGAAAATCACTGAAACTAACTCCTAACGAATATATTAACCTTTTCATTTCACATTGGTTACGCGGATTTTGAACTGCCCGCTCACACGAAACTCAAAGCTCTACGTGAGTCAAATCGCGCACTACAACGGTTTCAGTAAGCCTCTCAATCGAGCAATGTTCATTTCCCTCCATTTGTTTTTCAAACTATAAGCAATTTGCAGTAACTGAGCCAAAGCGTCAAGCTAGAGGTTGCCAGATTTTTATATCGCAAGAGACTGTCATGATAAACGTTTAGCGCGCGATGTGAATCACGCAGAGCATTGAGTTTTCATGAGCGGTTGGTTTGAATTCACACATCAAGAATCATTAAATATCTTCGTAAGGAGTTAATTGCGGTAATTTTTGTTGTGCGCATCGTGTTCTACGTGAAATTATAGTTAAGAAACATGTATCAGAATGCTGAAATTCGTACCTTGTCTAGTGGTCCATTCACCATCAGCAAGAAGCAAAAATAATAATGTCATGGTTTTCAAATCTACCTGATCTGCATATTTTGTAGTATAAATCTTTCTTCAATGTCCTGTTTTTTCTTCACTCTGACTAACCGCAATCTTACGTTTCAGATTTTTTGAAATTCCTGTACACATTCTCCCAGCAATACGAAGTTCTTCAGAAATTTATGGTTTTATCACCGAAGGGCCTCTTCAGAATATACCCATTTCTGGTGTAAGTCTCTGTTTTTTAGTGTATTTTGTCTTCCACTTCATCTTTTTTGATTTCATCAGTAACAAGTCTATTCAGGGCCAGATTTATTTGCAGCCAGAGACATTGCTATCTCATTTCATGTACCTAATGCAATAAGCATATTCTTACGCTGTTCAGACATAATATTCAGCATTTTCAAGGAAATTTAACCGGTGGGCAGTTAAACTGAAAAACCTGTGTCTCAGTTTGTGATACCTCAGACTCTCCATCATAATTTATTTTCTAAGTAGAAAAATACTTGAAGTCTTATTTTGAAAACTTCATTCATTTTTCTTCTCTGCATGAAGGATATTTTGTGAAAATTTCAAGCAGTGGTGAAGGTTTTTTTTCTTTTGATGAAACATAATGGGAGTAGTGGTTTTGAAACTCGAAAAACGAAATACGAGTTTTTACAGTTTCACGGTTGAAATGCTTTTCTATTTTATTTTTTGAATCCGTCAAGTGATCCTTGTCTTTCACTGTTTTGATATGATCTTTTTGTGTGGGAAAGAGTTTTATTCCTTCAGCATCTATCACAAGATTGTTCACCGAACCAATTCGGTAGATTAGATGTTTTTCACAAAAACTGCATTCAGTTCAATGCATAGCGACGGTGAAACTGCCAAACCCTGTATCTCGTTTGCGGTGTTTAAAAATCTCCGCTCATATTTTATTTTTTTGAAGTAGACCGAATCAATATCATTCCTTGAAATTTTCACAGAACTTTCTCCTCACGAAGAGGAAAAATCACAGACATTTTCAAGACTGGACGTTAAGTAGTTTTTCATTTAAAAAATAAAGTATGACAGGAAGTCTGCGACGTCGCAAACCGAGATACAAGGTTTGGTAGTTTCACCGTCCATAGGTATTTTAATCTATAGCCGGTGGGTTTTAAAGTAAGAATACAATTATTATAAACCCTCTGTCTCCGCAAATTTTTATTTTCTGTAACTTTGTAATTTTTCGGTGAATGAAAAGAAACTCAATATGAGCCAGGTGTTTTCTAAATTATTTTATTATGACTTATTTTCTTTCTTGTGTATCGGCGACCAAGAGCTCTCTTCCCCCTATGCCCTTTCCTCTTTCAGTTCCTTTTGTATTGACTCCTACATGAATTCTTGCAAACTTTTTGTTGCAGTGTTTGGGCGATCAACAATCTGCTTTGGTTGGACAAATGTGCCTGAAACAAGGGCAAGCCAAAAACACCTATGGAACGGGATGTTTTCTCCTTTATAACACAGGAACTGCAGTATGTGTTCATTAAACTAACAATACTTCGGTGTAAATTTTCCCAGTTATCAAGCAAATAAATGTAGTAAATCTACGTATAAAAGTAAATCTGTTTACTTTACAAGATTTTTGACTCTACAATCCTATGAATTTTTTTTGGGACAACCTTTAAACCTTTTACATAGGTTGCCCCAAAAGTACTGCAGGTTTTTTTTTTATTGACGAACGGTAGTAGATATCAAAATGCGGTTTGTGTAGTGTTAAAGACCGGCCAATTACCGATAAAACAAGACAAATCCGAGCTCTCTAAGTCAAAAAATGACCAAGTTACAGCGTTTTGAAAATGACTTGTAGAGGGGACCCCTACGGGATTTTCAGCTTCTTTTCTGGAAAAAAAACTAAGAATTGAGGATTCAAGTGGTTTTATTAAATCAATTTTGCAGAATCTTACCAAGATTACTAGCATTTACTCTTCTTCCCTGGATGACTGGACACTAGTTTCCTTCTCAAAATACCCTCCATCACTTGCCACACAGCGCCGCAACCGTTCTTCCCAATTCTTCAAAGATGGTTTTTTCGAATTCTTCTTGCCTAATGTTCTTTAAGAAAGTTTCAACAGCTCTTTTTATCTCGTTAATGGAGTTAAACTTCCTGCCTCTTAAGCCCTTTTTCAACGTAGGGAATAACCAAAAATCGCAGGATGCAAGGTCTGGGCTGATATCATGTTACCAACTTCATTCGATCGCGACGATTTCTGGGTAGAATTTTTGATCACTCAAATCTTTGTTTTTTCCAGAAAAGAAGCTAAAAATCCTGGAGGGGTCACCTCTACAAGTCATTTTCAAAACGCTGTAACTTGGTCATTTTTTGACTTAGAGAGCTCAAATTTGTCTTGTTTTATCGGTAATTGGCCGGTCTTTAAGACTACACAAACCGCATTTTGATATCTGCTACCGTTTGTCCAAAAAAAAAAACAATCAACTCTTTGTTTTTTTCCAGAAAAGAAGCTGAAAATCCCGTAGGGGTCCCCTCTACAAGTCATTTTCAAAACGCTGTAACTTGGTCATTTTTTGACCTAGAGAGCTCGGATTTGTCTTGTTTTATCGGTAATTGGTCGGTCTTCAAGACTACACAAACCGCATTTTGATATCTAATACCGTTCGTCAAAAAGAAAAAAACGTGCAGTACTTTTGGGACAACCTATGTATGATATCAAAGGTTTTGGTAGTATAAAAAGAAAACTGTGTTTTTAATGAAGTATTCTAAAAGAGGCAAATACACTTGGCTTATTTAGCACATGAACATTTTTCCAATTTTTAGTTCTTCTTGAGGAATTCCTAGCCCTAGATAAACTATTTTTTTAACTTAAATTGACGCAGTCCCCCTCAAATCTCTTGTTCTGATTGTTCCAGATGGTCATTTCGCAGCATGGTCTGCTGACAACAATAGGTTATCGTATGGGACCTAACGCTCCGATCTATTATGCTCTTGAAGGTTCTGTAGCCGTAGGGGGCGTCTCTATTCGATGGCTTCGAGATAACCTCCAGATTTTATCAGACGCCTCTGACTCAGAAAAAGTAGCAAAAAAGGCTTCAAAAACTGGAGAAGTTTATTTTGTGCCCGCATTTTCTGGTCTTTATGCACCGTACTGGAGGAAAGACGCTCGCAGGTATATTTTTGAAACTTATTTGACAGTCCATTGCAAAAGAAATCTTAGGGTCATAAATCTTCCTGCCGCCTGGAGGAATTTTTAATGGACATTTTTGGACCAAAAATCGTCCTTTACAAACAAGACAGACTTGAGTTTTGACAATGTCAATTATTGCGAGGAGCAGGACTGTTTTCCCTCTTTTTAAACTTCATGTAATCAATGAATTTCAAGATGATTGATTGCTTTACATGCATTTAAAAGGACAAGTTTAGTTTAGTGTGCTTAACATACTACAAGTATAATCACTGATGGTCATGACGGTTTGAAGTTTCCAGTTCCAGAAAATGAGTTTTGATTAGTAATGCAGAAAGTTCTGAACCCTCTCATCTCTCGAACCGGCCCCTCTGGCTTTCAAAGTGGCCTCTCTTTTTCAAAAACCCCTTTGCCACGAAAAATCACTTGCCAGGAATTCACGCACCATAAAGTTCGTCACCTCTTAAACTTTGTTAAAAATCAATTCAGAACTGAGCAAAACATGCTCCAGGTGACAAGTCAAAACTCATTAGTTTTTAGCTTTACACTTGTAAAAACTTCATATGATCTGGAAAATGAGTTATCAGTTAAAGGTGATGATTTTCAAAGATATTTTGAAGCAATGAGTGGTCTCATCTACCTGACATGAACAGAATCTATGTTCGCAGCTGAGTAGATCAGGTGGCTTGTTGCCCACAGGATGATCAATAAAATTCTCTATTAGTACATATATAAAACAGTACTGTAAGTTTTTTTTAAAATTAAAAATGAAGCAGTAAAGCTAACAAAATTGGTATTTAATCTTCAATATTTAAATTTTATTGTTGTCTTATTTTATTCTGTAAGGTCTTTAAAATATATTTTCAAAAGACTAGTGATAAACAATGAGTGCCTGATAAAAATGTGAAATTAATTATTTATTTCTACAACACTGTGTCTGGTCCTTTATTATTTTACAGTGTTATTTGCGGGCTGACTGAAGAAACAACTAAGAATCACTTAGTAAAAGCTGCTCTAGAAGCTGTTTGTTTCCAAACGACTGACATAATAGAGGCCATGAACAAAGACTGTGGTGGAGCTCCTTTAACAAAGCTGCTGGTGGATGGTGGAATGGCAGCGAACAATTACTTAATGCAGCTTCAAGCTGATCTTTCCGGCGTACCCGTCAGTAGGTATTAGACATTCATCAGGAAAGAATGGCATATACAGCCAGTGAGCTATTGGCTGCAATGAAAATAGTCAAATTATACATCATTCTTTCAACAATTCTGTAGTCATCTTTAGGACTTTTGTGGAATTATAATTAAAGAAGCCCTGGTGTATGAATAGGTCACAGGTGGAAACGGCTGTTGTATGAACTGCCCATCAAGAATGCCTATCCCAATATTAATGGCTTTAAAGTGTCCAGATCAGAATGTTTCCATTGTTCAAAGCACAAGCAGTCAAAGTGTAATAACTGCTCTTGAAAAAAAATTGCATCGCTTAAGAGGTGATTTTAGAATGAATGTATACAATTTTAATTTTAATAAAACTACTGTGGCAGAAATGGAAAATGAAAAGTGCAGGCCGAAATTATCATAATATTTTCAATATACTTGACGATTATTTCTCACTCCTCTACTACTTAGCAGAACATTTCAAAGCTAACTTTTTAAAATATGGAAATAACAAATTTGATTCGCCATGATTACATAGGAAACAAGTTACACATTAGAACCATATAAATTGGGGTTTTTCCGCTTAAACAAATGAAACTTACTTCAAAATACCAATAAAAACGTGTATGATAAATTATGTTTCCCTAATTGTCAAGCGTATCTTTAAAAATGTATGCTAAGTTGCATTCTTATTTTACAGTTAGGCCGCAAATGACTGAAACAACAGCCTTAGGAGCTGCTGTTGCAGCGGGAAGTGCGGAAGGCATTGGAGTTTGGGATCTGTCAAACATTCAGCCTGTGCCTAGTGATACATTTTATCCTTCAATTTCTTTAGATGGTAAGAATTATTGCAAGTATACAGTAAAAGTTTGCCAAGCGGCTAAACGGATTTGATAAAGTGACTTTATTGCTCTGTCATGATAGCAAAAAGGGTCATAACTCTCACATTTTTGAAATCGAGTTTCCTTCAAAATTTGTCTGAACTAATTTAGATGTAATCACTGACGTAGCTTAAACAGCAAAATTCGTCTCATTTGTAGATATGAAAACAAGACGTATGAAAAAGCTGCAAGCGCGCACAAATTGACTTTGTTTCAAAAACAGCTGCAAAGGCATTATTCCACCAGAGAGTCAAAAAGAGCTGTACTTTTAAGTGAAATGGCGCCAATTTCTAACCTTGAATTCCCCTCATGATTGCACTGCACTTTTTTAGAAAAAGAAAAAATCATTTTATGTTGGTTTCTAAACTTTTCCAAAATTAAACTCTTTTCAGAAAGAGAAATAAGATATTCACGCTGGAAAATGGCCATCAAGCGGAGTTTAGGCTGGGATCTGAAAGCGTTGCCTGTGAAGAATAGCTGTAAGTACCTCTCAGTTCATTCATTAATTTAAATGTTTTTAATTTGAAACTATATAGCACTTTTGTGGTTGATTATTCTTCCATGATGAAAAATCTGAAGGACGCTTACTTCAATTTAATGAAAATCATTTTGAATTGTCATGTTTTTTTCTTCTCTTATTGTGAGAAGTCCACACTCAGTTTTCATCAAGCTAAAAACTACAGTATCTCACATGGCTCATCTGTTGGAAATAAGAATAGATGAGCCAGTGGGTTAGTAATTTAGGATGTCAAAGTAATACCAATTATTTTGGTCCAAGCTTTTTTTTTCTTTCTTTTTTTTTGTGCAAAGACAAAGTAGCACTCTCTAGCCAATAGGAATAAATACACTGAACCTTAGATTATCCTAACTTATGTGGCGGTTGGCCGGTTTGGATAGCAGAAAGTTCCAATTCTGCATAGGTTACTTCAACAAGCTTAATTTGACACTCTATATGGTTGAAATGTGATGAAGTAAACACAATTTGAAAACGGATTGACAAGGGAACTTATTAATGACCAAGGCGTACTCACCTTCTATTCATTCTCAAGTTCAAAGGTTAGCAAGTGTGTGAGCGGTGAAGTAAGAGTACAGATCGGAAAAGCACATAAGTAAGGAACTGGGAGGAATCATAAAAATGTGTTTGCTCTACCTGCAAAAAATCAGTCCCCTCAAAAATTGGTTGGCAGTAAAGCAGAGGATGAACAAGAAAATGAACAATAAGAAGATTAGATTAAAATTTAAGAAAGGAAATCATTGAGACGGAAGTTTCTGCAATCAGAGGCTCTAATTGTGAACTTAATTCTTGTAACATCTTTATTTCGTCGCTTGGCTGAGAAAAAGGCTTAAGTAATGGAGATGAGCCTGGAATAGACTCATTGAATTATATGAAAGACAGGGCTCATTGTGAAGTGTCATTACACTCTTATTTAAGGAAGACGACAATTTGACTCCAATAGCTCAAAATTTCTCCCTATTCTATTTCTTATTCTAATTTTAATGCATTGATGTTACAGGTCTGCAAGACAAAATAAACAGTATTGTTCCTATCAGTCTCTTTGCTATGGCATCAGTAGGAATGCTGGTGCTGGCGACTTACAATCAATAGGTGTTAAATTTTAACTGATGAACTAATTTAACCAAATCTCAAACCTTTGTTTTAATTTATTAGTGATGTTAATTTGTCATATTTGATCTGTTAGTAAAAAGTATTCATCTTTTTGCTCAAAAACAAAAATTATGCTTTGAAATTCCTGATTCATGTTTTACTACCGGGAATTGGGGTTTAGGGGTACATTGATAAACCCTTTTCTCCTGACAAATCCCTCTTGCAATCATTACTAGAAATCAAATATCTGATGCTAAAAGTTTTTTTTAGAAAATAAGCAAATTTCAAGTATTATTTTAACCTTCAAGATTGGTCTCTTTAATTTATCAGATGTACTTTGTCCGCCATACTATTATTACATGGTGCAGAAAATTTGATGCATTTTTTATTACCAGTAAGAGAGCAGTAAATGGAGTTACATTAGAAACCCTTAAAAACTTTAATACAATCCAAACATTTTTCAATCATTTTTAGTCGATAGGCATCAATATGTTACAATAATGTTGCCAAACAGCGCAGCTAATTTTTGTGATAAAATTAGTCCAGATCAGAGATGAAAATTGAAATTTCATAAGGTTCAAATAAATTTCACAAAATTTGAAATTTATTAATTTTCTGTGGAATCAATAATATTAAACCCTCAGAAGCGTTTCAGACGATCCTCCCTCTAATGTGGCAGTGAATGTTACCTTAATGAGGTGCTTTGCACAAAAGGGGGGCACAAGGTGGAGTATAGAGAGAAATTTAGCCCTAACCTAACCTCCAAACCAATTGAAAACATATGCACTGTGGGAATATTTACGTTTTGGGAGACCATGTGTTTGATCCTTTTCTGGATAATATTTTTTACCGAAGCAGTCCTCAAGTATCAATGCATCACAAGTAATTTTAAGATACATAAGGATATTGAAAATTGAGCTGTTATGAGAAGAATGGGAGGCGAAGGGCGAAAGATTTCAAAATCGAAAATCACTTTTAAAGGCATTTATTTGCCTTCTAAATGCATACTTTTAAGTTTCAAAAAATTTCCATCTCTGGTCTAGCTCACAAACGCTTGGTAACCTGAACAGTGTAGGAATATCACTTTTGTCATATGTTGTATCCAATTGTTAGTGGAAACAAGATAAGTTTATTTTCTTGTACTTGTTAGTACCATTTTTTTATTTTTTATTATCTTTCTTTACTTACTCCCTGAGTGAAGATATACTAACCTCAGAATGTAAACTCAAGGACGCTGAAACTGCTGATTTTTTAGTATGATATGTATGTCAGATTTATTTTAGACAGAAATGATTTGTCAGCCATTGTGCATTATATTCAATATTAAACCAAAAATTCTTGAAATTTTTCCAAAATATCTTTCAAAAAGTCAAGGCGTTAGGCTTAAAATCAATCAGGAAGGCCAGTACATACTTTTTTCTATCCTATTGGATGCATTATTAGTTAAGCGCCCCAACTTTTTACGGCCAGTTTGAAAGTTGTTGGAAAATTACACCGAGATTGAAATTATGCATGAGTGCTAACAAATCTTTGCTGTCTGAACAATTCACATGTTAAATTGCAATTATTCACAGATTTATTTTCCTAAAAAGAACTGATAAGATACAATGTTCTCAATGCCTCAGAAAGTAGTACCTGACAGGCCAAGTTGAGTGATTAGCAGAATCAGTCTCAAAGAGGTTGGTCGTATATCCAAGTTGTTTGAATAAGCTAACATACCTACCTTCTCTTCGAATCACAAATTAAGAACGGAGCTAGGGTTCTGACTCCGCCCCCAAGCAGTTTTTTTTTTCCCTTTTTTTTCTTCTTGGCGTGGATTGTGGTGGTGGGTTTAGTCCGACTCTGTATGAAGAGCACCAGATTAGTAACTGGAGGTCACTGTAAACCCAAAGAATTGGACATTGCCACTGCCCATCTCCGTATTAAAATGTCCATGTGCATTATGCAGCTTATTGATGGGCAAAGTGCAAAAACTTATGTCCTAATTGCAATGTTTCAAAATTTCTGCTTCTGTGTTCTTTTTTCCGAAACAAAAGAAGCCAACTTCATGGCTTGAATTTCTCCCAGAACATTTTGCTGACAGAGAAGAAAAATCAAGGAAGTTTTAAAAAAATTACGTCGACTAGTTTTCCACAGAAAATTTGAAGTGTGACAGAAAGTATGCAATGTTGCAATTGGAGGTACGTAGTTTTGTACTTTGGTCTTGGTCATGTTTCTTTATTTTGTTCCTGCAAACATTTAAATTTCAAATTAGTTTACTGTTCTTGACCCTCGCTTGCCATTTGTTTCTTAAAGTGGATTTGAAAATTTATTGCCAAGTCAGAAATTAGAGCACGCATATCAAAGAATCTCATTGATTACCTATCTGTTCTCCTAATAGCAGTGGCTGTTAAATAAACTTGAAAAGAAATTTGTAAATTTCAATTTAACCCTACAAAAAATGCAAAAAGAAACGCTTTTTCAGTATTTTTTCAAGTAAAAATAAATGAGAGGTAAGAAAAATTTAAGTAATAACGTTTTAAGAAATGATTAAAACATCCACTTCACTAATTTTTTCAACACTTTAATTTTCATATTGAGAATGTTAGAAAACGCCTGTAAAAATCTACAGTAATTCTCCGAAGAATATTTTACGAACATTTTACCAGACTTTCATTTTGCTCAAAATTAGACTGAAAAAGATTTTTTTTTTTGTTTACGAAAATTTTAACGTTGGAGGGATTATGAAGATCGCCTCTTAACAGTCACTGCCACTAGAGTTGTATTGCTAATGAATTTACAATACTAGGGACAATTCCAAAACTGTGATTTATTGCTGGTCAATACCTCTTGACATAACAAATGGTCTCTTTTAAGAATATTGGGTCTGATAGTAATACAAAAATGTCCCTCATTGCTACCATAATAGTCATTAGCCATGTAGAATTGAACAAATATATCTAATATACTATGTTATTTGTGGGAGATTCTTGTGAGATCCATGTTTAATGTCACTTAAAAAAGGAGTTAGTCGTGCTTTTGCCACTTGTAAGCTCCTAAACTTGGAATAATGCATGTCATATTTTAAGTACATTTCAAAATTGTTGACGAGGGAAAACTAAACTTTCGATGAAAATGGATTTAGTGGTGTCGTTTTTTAATGTCCCTTTTTCCTGTTGTTTGCTTGCCAGAAAAATCTGTTGAAAATAAATTTGATTTTATATATAAAGGCATCAAATGGTGTGTAATAACTAATAAGTTGTTATTTCTTTCGTAGTTGGAACAGTTGGGTCTAATTACATAGTAAATAATATTTAAGTTTCAAGAAACGAAAGGGGGAAGTCATGTTTCTCTTCCAAATAATATTTTTCCTTTAAAAAAAGACTGATAGGATAATCTCTTTAAGAGCTAAGACTCCTCCCCTGAAATCATCTGAAACACCGAAAACATACTTATCACCTACCATTTTTATAATTGACCAAGTGCCCAAAAGAGTCACCATCTCAATATTTCCATTGAAGTAAAGTTAAAATTCAAGATGGCGAATTTCTAATGCAATCTAAAACCAGCAAATCTTTGTTCCAAAGATGCTGTGACCAAGAAGTTTCAAGTCATCAACATTTGGCAGGTCAGACGAAAAAATGTAATGGTGTAGTCCTTTAATTAAGCCTGCTTGTAAAAGTACATTTCTTAAGAAGCAGGTAACAGTTGAGGTTCATTTGTGTTTAATTATTTGTTTGTTTTGCTCTTAGAATATCATGTTACATCTAACAATGATAGCATCCTGTTTAATGTAAGACTTATTGCATTGTGGGGAAATTTGCTATTTTTCTGTTGTTCCTTTGTTTTATTATTTTTTACTCACACCGAAGTGTATGTTTGTGTGTGGTTGTTTTACAAATTAAAATAAACATATGTTTGCACAATATCTCTCATTTATTAATTAGTACTCCAATTGTTTTAATACATTGATGCTATTTGTCATCATGTGCATTGTTTTGATGTTGCAAGATCCTTCATTCCTCCAAGTATTTTCTTTAAAAAATTGTTCAAAAAATAAATGGGTGACTCATTAAAGTTTCAGTTTTTTTTTTTTTAAATGTTCTAAATTTTGCAGAAGAATCAACACATCATAGTTATCAATTATAATTTTTTATCATTTCGCTATTTACTCATTTGATAATAAGTGCAGTCTTTATCTAAATCGCCACATCACTCTTTACCTACATTGAGAGAGGAAGATAGAACAAGTAAGAAGTGCTAACACAACGCAGTTAAGATGGCAAAAATTGAACAGATGCAATCGAAAATTCGTAAATTTTTCAATCGAATAAGAAAATTTTTACAACACAATATTTAAAATTACTTGCTGAATATGTTTTACAAAATTTTATTAACGTCTCCATAATTTGAAACTTCATGTATGAATTATTAAGAAATTCGCCAAAATGAAGTTAGCTGAAAATGCTTACAATTTTACAAGAGATTTGTCAATATTACAAAACTCTAACTATCGTTGAATTTTGCAAGAATGGCACCGATCGGGTTTTCTAATGTAGTTGAGCTACCAGATACAATTGGCAGTGGCAACTTAAATAATTTAAATTAATAAAGGCAATGTCTTACGCAATTGTAAGATTCATAAGTATTTCTCACTTTATAAGTAACTATACCTACGTAAAAAATTGAACTTTCTTTACTTCATTTGTTTGAATTATTAGGCATGTATTTAAAAATGAAAAGTTTAAAGAAATCACCACTATTGTTTAAAGTCCGTTGAATTTTCGAGGAATTATTGACAGTACCATTGCGGTAATTCCTAGAAATATTTGATGTCTTCAGAAAGGCAAATTGTATATTAGAGGCATGGTCCAAAAATATTTCAAGAAGCAAAAACAGCACCAATTAATGCAGGGCACCGAAATTCTACAATTCTTTAAAAATGGTCGAACCATCTCTATAAGCGGCTCCTTTGCAACACAAAAGCATCTCCACAATTCTTTTTTCCTGCAGTAAGTGACAATAATATTCTAGCTGGAGAAAAATTCAGCTATGCAATCACGACTGCAAAAATGTCGAGGGAAATCGACAAGCCCAGCGTGCATGAAGGCTATTTCCATTTTAATTTTCCGTCACATTCTTACGGCGCAATGATACAACTATTTCATCTCTCCGGAATGCGTGAGGTATCACGCCGCATTTGAAGGCGTTTATAAAAACAGCCAACTTCCGATACCCGGATTATCGTTTTGCATTGTTCATATTATTTTGTTTTCATTTCTAACCATTTGTTTCTTCTTAAGCCTCGTATAAAATCCACCAATTTGCTAAATACAATTCTAGCTGGAGCGCAATTCAGCATTGGAATCACAACTGCAAACATGTCAAAGGAAATCGAAAAGGCCAGCGTGCATGAAGGCTATTTTCAATTGTAATTTTCCGTCACATTCTTACGGCGCAATGATACAACTATTTGAACTCTCCGGAATGCGTGAGGTATCACGTCGCATTTGAAGGCGTTTTCAAAACAGGCAAGTTCCGATACCCGGAATATCGTTTTGCATAGTTCATATTATTTTGTTATATTCCGTACCACTTGTTTATTGTTAATCCTCGTATAAAAACCACCCATTTGCTAAATACAATTGAGGAGCTCTCCGGAAAAAAGGGCATATACCGAAAAAACAAGTTGTGAGAAAAACGCATTTGATGTTTTCATTCCTACTTTCTGGGCGCTGATGATGACATACATCGGAACTGGGACACCCATATCAACGTCCATACACCCTAGAATGAATAACGACCATTGATAAAACTTACACCTCTTTCAGTGTTGTGGGAGGAATTTTTTACAATTTTCCGTTATGTGCCCTTTTTCCGGAGATGGGCCGGTGGTTATAGGTTTTGGCTTTCAAAGCTAAATTTTCAAGACTTTAACGAGTTGCTAAACGAGAATAAATCATAATTTCGATCGCGAAAGGGCGGGTGGATCATTTTCGATCATCGTTAATAAAAAAGACAGCAAAACACGCAAAAAAATCGACAAATTAAAACCCACAAGAGACCATTAATATTTGAATTATTAATAATTACAGAATTTCACGTGTCACCGGTAAAACGCGTAGACAATCACTGCAACCCGATGATATTGCATTGATTAGTATAATCAGAGCGATGCATCTGTAATGAGGGATCCTTACTTATATCGGTACCCATCACCTGCCTGCCTCCGCCCTGCGCGTTATCTCCTCAACGCCGCGTCGCGGCGACCGTACCCAGGGGCGAAAAGATGAAATACGCCTGACTTAGCCTCACGAAACTTGGTCTCTTAGCTCCAAAAATTGATCAATTAAGCTGAAACTCGGGACATTGGTACCAGGGGCGGACTGGCCATGGGGGCGGGGAGGCGATCGCCTCCTAACAATTTGCCGCGGAGGTCCCGAATGGGCCCCGCGGCGAATTTTTTCGTTTTTTTCCCCCGTAATGTTGTAATTTTCCTATCCTATTCTGTCACTAAAAGGCCCCAAAATCCTTGAAAATTTGTCTCTAAGAGACATGAAAGGTCGCCTGGAGCTATGTGATGAAGGGGCCCCCGAGGAATCCTGAGAATGGGTTATTTTGAAGTTCAGGAACTGTGGAATTTTAACTCCAATAATGCTTAAAATTGCGTTTAAAAAGTGTGAAATTTTCAAAATTTTTCGGGGGAGGGCCCCCGGACCTTCTTAGAGGGGCCCCCGAACGACAGGAGGGGCCCCCACATTTAGGTCGCCTCCTAACTTTTCGACTACCAGTCCGCCCCTGATTGGTACATTAGGATGCGAGGAATCCGTTTCTGTCATTTCCGGAAAAAGGGCACATACGCGTATGTGCCCCTTTTCCGGAATGCTCCTCAATTTCAATAATGTAAGAATGAAAGCAATAATTTAATAAAGTATTCCCATTAAAACTTCAAATTTTCGCGTGATGCCCGACGCCTCTGCCGCACATTGATCGCTCGGCCAGCAATGAGCGACAACGACGCGACGTACGCATGTTGCTAATAACGCCTAACGGTCTGAATGCAACTATTCGTGCTCGGTCGATGTGCGCGTTGCACGCACAAAAAACGAAGGCGATTAATTGGGCCTTGCCCAACCAGTGACAGTGCCGCATGCCGCAGGTAGATGCATTGACGATGTATGCCATCGATGGTGATAGGACGCGTAATGACAGTGACAACGGGTATACGCCAGTGAAGGTCGCATTCATTGTCGCTCCTGCGAGTTGATTATTGAAATCGATAGGTAATGCTATAGGCAAAGAAGGCATAGAGAAAATGAAGCAATCCTATTGGTTTCAGAGAGTGGTTGTAATAGACTAAGATAAAGAATGTTGGACCTACTCTAGGGCCTCTCCGCCGTTAGTTAGTCTATTACTTTCCCGTTTTGACCATTCCAACTACTCGCCTCCACCAATGGGATAGCTCCGTTTCCTTTTTGTCTATGGTTTTGTCTATCAATTTCAATAAAGCAGTCTGCAGAAAAAATTCCGCTCCCTAAGAAGGCTTATTCACCGAAATATTCGATTATGATTGAAGCAGATTTTTTCGATTGAAACTCCGCTTTTTTTTCCTTTTCATTATAATTTCCAAATTTTGCGAGAAAAAAGAATGAATAACGTCATTGTTTGGGAACAGAATACCTATTCAGAAAAAAATTAGTGGCAATTCCGAGGAATGTTATTTTGTTAGTTTTGAAGGATGTTGATTAGTTCCGAACACTGTTGATTAGTTTCCTCATGACAGAATGAAATGTGATAAATGTCAATGAAGTCGTTAATAGAGATACGTGTTTTTTTTTTCTTTTTACTTTCACCATCGAATGCCGCTATGAATAAACGGTTCGAGAAATGACCTTATGAACCTGTCCGGATCTTGGTCGCTGAAAAGTTGCCGTATCGCAATTGTAAGTAATTACGTAACTTTACTGATATTGTTACAACAATATAGGTATTCTGATAAAGATATTTTGACATGTCACTCTCTTTTTATCTTCTCTACGGGAAATCATTTCTTTTCTGTCCGAAATTAGAAAATATTTTTGGATCCCTCAGGAAAAATGATGAAACATTTTACGAATTGCACAAAAACAATTTTAAAAACTGCCGTTTTAAGAATAAAAAACCACTCTCGTCGGGGGTTTTTCAACAGCGCAAACCGGAGTATGTGTCTGCTGTATTTAACCGTTCATAGAAATTATACGATCATTAAGTCACCAATTAATTAACAGTGGTAGTTAATTTTGTATCGCGTTAGAAAAATATGCCGATCGGATGTACGTTGCGAAGTCTCCTATTTTTCCTTATTTTTAAGTAATGCCTAATATGATTGTCAACGCTGAATAAATTATGTAGATAAACATAGGTGTCTAATCTTTCTGTTCGCATGCAGCGTAAAATGATAACAGCCTCTTCAAAACCCATCTCCAAGGTAGTCTCAATGCAACACGTACTATCAGTAAACATTTGCTCTTTTTGCTGCTCAGCCGTATCCGTGCCTGATTTCAGTTTATGGTTATGCCGCAAACCATCAAAAGCAGAAAAAAAGGTGCTTTGAGTCGGAGACAAAGGTAAAAAGGACAACAATGAGATACATTTTCGATCTGTGAAAAATGACGTGAGCTCATGGTGTGAAATTTGTCCCTATCATTACTAATGTGACAGACAACTGAACTTTACGTTTACCTAATTTTGAACATTAATATCATCGTATTTCTATTAAATAATTTAATTATGAATTCCAAAATAAGGTGTTTGGTCTTGGATGAGGCACACAAGTTGGTGCGGATGAAAATTTCCAGGTAAGTGCCTCTATTATTCTTTTACATGTTTTATTTTTTGAAACATTTGGCCCTCATCTTAAGTGGTGTATTAAAAATTTAGCCTTGTAAGCATAGCGATTTTTACTCGGATCTTACGAAAATTAATTACCACGGCATTCGCATTATTTTACAGGGCTCCTGCCTTAAAAATGAGATATTTGTCCATAACTCATTTTTTTGTATTGAAAAATAAGGAAATACCTATTTTAGATGATCACAACAGTTCAGCTCTCAGACTTTTTCTATATTTCCTATACGCATGAAATAATGAAGCCGTACTTGTAACTTAATCTGTTACCCACACGAGATATAGGTACATAGAAACCAAACATCCCCCTCCAGTAGAGGGAATCACGTAACGCACTTTTCTGGCAATCTTACCCACCCACACCCCCTCTTCCTTGTAAAGTGTCGTAATGAATGCGACCCTGGGACCCTCCCCCTTTAAGAGCCCGAAAATTGTCGGAAACTGTTGAATATGTAGTATGTAGCTGGGTAAAATCTGAAGTATTTTTAATCATAGTGTTACAAACAAAATTTCGAAGAAATGAAGATTACGAATATTTGATTTTGTGTGTTTTTACCTATAAAGAGGGTTACATGACGCTGGCACTGACCCCCCCCCCCTTTTTTTTTTCAACGCAGCTTGGCTCATGCCATCTCCATCCTCCCACAGCGTTACGTAATTTATGAGTGCTCCCAAAGTCTAAAGGCCCAATTCTGTGTGCATGATTCTTTTTGACGAGGATGTAAATCTATAGCACACAACTAGTTATTGGATATATTAGTATACAGATTAACATTTTGTATAAGTTAATCTACACAAAAAAGGAAATTATTCCGCCAAATGGCTTGTGCAGTTCAACAACTGTTTTTGATTGCAAGACATTTATAAATAATTTGAATTTGTTGTCTCTATCAATCACACAACTTGTCAAAGAAATATAACTTGAACTTTCAGGGGACTTATTTACAAGCGTAAAAAAAAATTGAAAAATGACGTTATTAGGGCGTAAAATCATCTGAATTTTTGAGTTCATAGTCTGCAGAAATATTGACTTATGAAATGTTTTAATTCCGACACTTTTATGATATTTGCGATCCTTGAAAACATTGTGAAAATCGTGTCGGGCGTAAGTTCATAATGGCATCTTGGCAATTTTTCCTCTCAATTGTCCTAGGAAACAGCTAAAACAGCTTCGAATAGCTAAGACTAATCATTTTAAATAGTTGGTTAACCACGATTTCAGGGCGGCCCATAAAATCGCAAAAGTCAACTTGAAGCAGCCGAACTGGAGCTACTTTCATAATCCAGGCTCAGAGCCCTTACGAGCCGTGACAATCGGCAATCTTTTTGAGGAGACAGTAAACAAATTTGGAGACACAGAGGCGTTGGTCTCAATCGCTCAAAATAGGAGACTTACTTTTCACCAAGCAAAAACGAAGGTAATCATCACGTCTCTTCCTGTAAGTGAAGGTAAGGGGCTCTTATAACAGGAGCCATTTGGCCAGTGAGTAATGACAACGTACACGACATGAAGACTGTAGATTGATGGATCCCCATCCCTGCATACGACGAGTTTTGTTCCCCTTTTAAAATGAGCCGCCTATTCTGAAATCTTTTTCTGGATTTTAAAAAAAGGCATCAATTAGACCAAATTTTGCACCGAGGTACCATTATTTCAGGCTCATTCATAAAAGCACCTATCTGCATAGGGAAACCAATGACATATATGTTATCTCTAAATTGAGCCAGAACAGTGATTCCTTTTTGCAAAATGCAGTCCAATTCATCATGCCATGTAGAGTATGCCGTAAAATTTTCGAAGAATCCTTTATTTTAACGACTTTTTTTTTAAACCATGTTATTTAAGGTCATAGGGGGTTCCACCCCCGAGCGACTGTTTCACACAAGTAATGTTTTTTCAGGCCTCCACCAGTCATACTATCGTTAGCGGCTTTAAGCAAGTTCAAAAACTCATTCAAAATCGGTACTAGAAACGTAAATATTAATTACATTTAAGTAATGAGGTTAAAAAATGAGGTGAAAAATTTTAATACTGGGCGGAGACTTATGACAACATCGTCAATAACTTTGTCGTCGGTCAAGAGGTAGACAAAGGAGGCTTATTTGTAGATAGACAAACACAATATCTACAGAGAGCGACTCGTAGCGGTACATACTCATCACTTTGATACCACCCTTGCTGCTCGTGGGAGCTCGTTTTGCCTACTTTGTCTAATGAAGGCTGATCTATTCGCACGCATTACGTTGATTGTGCGATGCGCTTGAAGCTCCTCTACAACACGTTCATGTTCTCTGTTGAAGTAACAAAGATCACTACGTATTGATGACGAAAGTCACAAAACACGTACCTCAATTTGTAACGTAGCAAACATTTAGCATTCCATTTTTTTACCGAAATATTGACACACATTATTTTTTAGAGTTTTTACTATTTTTTTATTCCTCTAAGACCATTCGAAGAGTAGCATTCACTAGTTCTCTTAGTTTAAAAAAAAATGAAATAATAGCGGGAATGTTAGAAAATTGTAATTGTGGTACGTGTTTTGTGAGCTCACCCTCGGCATTTTAAGTTTAACATAATTATTTACTGATTTATGAGGATGACCACCATCTAAATATAGGCAGGATTTGGGTTGTAGAAACATATGTCACATCCTCAACGTACAGCCAATGATGAAATTTTAATGCGGAATGCTTTTTAATTCAACCAACAATAAAATTGAAGCTCTTTCCTTGAAGAATGCACGTGCGAGAGAGAAAGGGTTTAATAGGTATCCAAATGTGCGTATTCACATTTTGATGACGAGATGTTTCGTTGTCCTTTATGTTGAGATGTCTTCATGTCGATGTCTCCATCGACCAGAAATGGATTACATTTTGTAATAAGAAGCCACTCTCTCTGGCTCTCCCATAAAAGCACATATCTGCATAGGGAAACCCATGGCATGTATGTTTTTTCTAAAATGGGCGAGAAATAGTGTCTCCTTATTGGAAAGAGTAATCCAAACCTAGGTCAGTTATCGAAAGGCAGGGATGAGGATTGATTTGATGAAAGCTTTGATGTTATAGTAGATCTGTATCGATATTTTTCTTATTTTATTTTAAAATGCTTTCCTTTCAGGTAGATCAACTGGCCGCTGGACTGATCTCTTTGGGGTTGAAACCCGGGGATCGAGTAGGTCTATTGGAGCCAAATACAGAGGAATGGTACATATCGTTCCTGGCTGGAGCAAAAGCAGGCGTTATTGTAGTAAGTATGACTTACGATACAATTGCATTATCAAATTGCTACTCGTGAAATAAAACAGGGATATACCCGACTGCATCGTACTCTCGATGTATGGTCATTTCAAGCCTGATTGAACTACATTTTGCAATAAGGGCCACAATTTTGGGTTTATTTTAGAAACAACACGTGTGTCATCGGTTTCCCAATACATATGATTTTATGGATAAGCCAGAGGGGTTCCAAATTGCAAAACGAGGGCTTTGCAGAATCGATGATGTTATCAGCATTTAAAATGAATCGTTACTAAAACTGGAAAATGCAGCGCTTTTTTTTTCTTATATAGTAATTCATCCCTCTCTTACTTTAAAATCCTCCAAGAGAGCATTTTTAAATGCGCATAGGTGCTGTTTCCGACAGAGGATGTACAAAATAAAACCTTCTGATAGTGAGCTGTATTAAAGTTATCTTTTTTCATTTGTTTTCCAACTTGAAGACCTTTTCGCCTAACTTTATCACATATGCTTTGTTTAAAAATTCCCCACGTGAAAAGATCTCGCTTGTTTCAATTTTAATACCCAATCACCAATCACATGCCGTAAAAACGCACGACATACGTAACATACATTAAACATACATTGGCGGATACAGCAAATTGGCAACTTGGTTTTTCTCCATTTAAACCTATGGAAATGTATCGATTTTCGAACGGGATAGTTGACCGACAAAAATCGATTCTTCAACATAGGTTTAAATGGAGGAAAACTTGTTGCCAAATTGCTGGATCCTTTTTTGCGACGCACACTGGACCAATTCAATAGGAGAAGTCGGACAAAATCTAGAATCTTCGAAAGCATATACTTTTGAAAATATGAAACACAAAAGTTTACAAGAAGTTTCATTGGTCTTTTCGTGAAATTCTCTTTTAGAAAACCCCCTTGGAATTGGATTTGTGACAAAATTAACATCAAAATTTGAAATTTTAGCCAGAAATTTCATGTCCGACCTCTTCTACGAGCCCCAAGTAGCAGTGATCGCGGTAAATAGAGATTTTATCGGTTGATTAGCGCGATTATATTAGTGGCAATTTATCGCAATATTATCGAATAAAAAATTGCAATTTATGGCGATTAAATCGCCATGCATCGCAATTTTTTGTTCAATAAAATCGCGATCAATTTTCGTCGATAAAATCGAGATTAAATCGCCATATATCGCGATAAATCGCCGGGCGATAAAGTCGCGATTTTATTGCAACAAGATCGAGGATAATCGCTCAGATGTCGATGATCTTAGCGATTTTATCGCCGACAAAATCGCAAGAAATCGCGATTTTTCCGTCGAAAAATGCTACTTGGGAGCTCGCTCCATTGTGCGGCGCAACAAAAGTCAAATTTCGCTGAAAATTGCACCGCCCCACCGTGTCCGTCAGCGATTGTTATGTAAGCTTCTCCCCTTTCCTCTTCCCAGATGAACTTGAATCCCGCAAACCTGCCGAAGGAAATCGCGCACTGCTTGCAGTTGACAGGAGCGCGAGCCTTGATAGTACGGGATACGTTTCTGACTCAAAATTATTACGATTCGTTGGTTTCAATTATGCCTGAATTGGAGAGAGCTCCCACTGGTTCGCCTGTCCAAGTTAAGGACTTCCCGGAGTTCTCTTACCTCATCATGAATACGGACCAAACTTTACCGTAAGTATGTTAGCGGCGTTTTCTGCTGGTACGCTAGGGAAACCTCGCTTTATTCAGGTCATGTAAATGGGCAACGTTGTAATAAATTTAAACAATCTGAGCATTTTGTTGAATGTTCGCGATGTTATAATAAATTCAGCAATTTACTTAATCCCAAGTAGCAGTGATCGCGATGAATAGCGATTTTATCGGTTGGTTATCGCGGTTATATCGGTGGCAAATAATCGAAATATTATCGCATTTAAAATCACGATAGATGGCGATTAAATCGCTACAAATCGCAATTTTGGCTCGATAAAATCGTGATCAATTTTTGTCGATAAATTCGAGATTAAATCGCCATTTATCGCGATAAATTGTCGGGCAATAAAAGCGCGAGTTTATCGCGACAAGATCGAGGATAATCGCTCAGATATTGATGATCCTGGCGATTTTATCGGCGATAAAATCGCACTATATAGCGACTTTTCCGTTGAGAAATGCGACCTGGGATTGGCATGATAGACGACGCTGGAGTTGGACCACGTTAAACAGAAAGGAACCAAGCCACATCAGCTATTGCCAAATCTAATTGGGCAATTTAATTATTTACATGAAGTTGTGCGGATTTTCGAGCAACATTTCAACATTTCTTCTTTCAACAACATTTGTGAACTTCCTCCATAGTGCGAGGCAAATTCCTTAAAATTTTTAAAGGAATCCGCACGCGTTCTCTCGTAAAAGAATAAAATGCCAAATCAAAATTAGTTATAGCTGATGTATTTTGGTTCTTTTCTATTAAACGCGGTCCAGTTAGTATTTCATACAACGAACACTAAGCAAATAACACCTGGAATGTCTAGATGCAACTATTTGAGCTCCATAGACATCCATGTTGCATACACACGGAAGTAAAGGCGTTTTGACTCTTCAGGCACTCACCTCTCACTATACTCCAACCGCGGTGCGGCTGCGTGTTGCACTGCGAGAATCCAAAATGACAGAACGCCTTCAATTAATTGGCTTGGCAAACAAGCCGCATAAGTGCAGTTTTTGAAAAAATTGAGATATAAATTATTTCAAGTGAAACTTGTATTAGTGCATACTTCTTTAAAAAAAATTCCAATTTTTAAGTATCAAAAAGTCAATTTAAACTCTCTTTCCGCCGTAAGGATCCATGTAATTTCGGAACTTCGAACACATAAATCTCGAAAGAGCAAAAACTGCAATTATGCGCCTTGTCCTCCAAGCCCCTTAATTCCTCTATATAATACGAAAACATCCACCACGAATGAATATTTGCATAATACTTATAGAGGATGTGAGTATCTTTAGTGCTTCAGTTTTAGTACAGCGCTGATGTGCTGAGCATGATTTGGAGAGAAACTATTCTTGCCCAAGAGATATCTCCGTAGCACAAACCAAGAACTGAAGGCCCTCTGTCATTTTGGATCCTAGCAATCGCAATACAACCCGCCACAGCGAGGCATCGAGTGCCTGCAGAGTCAAACTGCCTTCATTTCCGTGTGTATGCAACACGGACATCCATGGAGCCCAAACGGTTGTTGACAACTCCTGACGCCAAGTTCAAAATTTTCAATGAACAATCCTCGAAGCCGGCCTGAACTTTTTTCACATAAAATCTAAGTTAAGGCGTTAATAAAAATCAGGCATTTTTTCCCACCTCAAGTTTAACTTTATTTAGAGGTCTGCACTTTTGGAGTGAGTTTGCACACTCTCTTTTTGCGCTTTTGGGCTTTAAATCTCTCTTATTTGGACGTATTTATGCGAAATGTAACCGTGGAAAGATGGGGTGTGCTCGTTAGTGCTCGGGCCATAAGAATGAATGGTACCTACTTTAAAAGCGCCAGTGACGTCAGCGGCGACGTGCGAGTAGGCACGACGGGGAGATGGGTGGCGGGACTCTTTAACTCATGAGCCCTGTCCCCAAGGCTCTTGTCACATGCCCACGGCTCACGAGTTAGCGCTCAGTTCCTTTTCATTTAACGTCAAATCCCGCTTTTCCATTTTCTCAAAAGGAACTACATCCACTTTTACACTGTTTCCTATCCAGCTTTCACGAGCGCACCAGTGGCGTGGCGTGAATTGCGATATATCGATTGTTATGCCATTTAAACTCATGATAAAGGATCGATTATTAAGGTGTTCGCTGCGAACACCCTGTTTATCGATTCTTTTCCATAGGTTTAAATGGCCGATCAATCGATATATCGCAAAGCACGCCACGCCACTGGAGCGCACCCCATATTTCCACTTCCGCATTGTTCCTTTTAGCATAAATACGTCCTTTTGTGGTTCTCGTGTGCCGTCCTTTTGATCATCCGCCGGAATGGTCCAGGCTATGCCTTGTGACCTTGTTTGTTAAGGAATCTTATAATTATCATAAAATTCCCTCTGAGGCTGAAAGTAATGCCGTAATACTTCGTATCAAGTCGTCGCCTATCTGACATAAGGGCGTAACTACACTCTCTAATGAACCCTGTTTTCCATAAAGTTCAATGATTTTCCGGGCTCATCTCAATGTGTAGTTACGCCTTTATGTCAGCCAAGCGACGAAGTGTGCAGCATGACCTCCTTTGATAATAAAAAGGGGCGCGATTTGGCTTTCACTGCGGTATGGTCCGATTGTGAGTTGCATCCAGGTACAGTATGCTCCACTGAAGATGATCTCTTGACCCCAGATTTAGGAGAAATTTTATCGTAGTCATTTATTAAACCAGACATCAGGAAGGAAGCCGATCAATCATTAACCGCATTACTAATCGATAACACAATCGATTTCGATTGATCGTTAATGGATTATTTATGGTTTTAAAATAATTTACAATCGTCTCACTCACTCGTAAGTAACATTATCCGAGGAGCTGTTTCTTTTCCTATATTTTTGATATCCAGCCAGCGTGATGAAACTAGACCGATTTTTTCATATGTATTCGGGAAAATTTTAATCTGGAATAGCTGGCGAATTAAAAAATTCCACATTGATCCTGAAATATAAACCGAGATTAAAATTAAGAGAGCAGTAATTAGTTTAGAAAAGAGAAGTGCCATGAGGAGCCGATATCCGACTCACTCTGGCATCAATTAATGACCAAAATCGACTTCACCATGCAATCTTATAATTTTAGCGATTTTTGACATTAACTCAGGGTCATATTGAACCAAATTAACTGGTTTTACCATGCCATCAAATTTCTTTAGCCGAAAAATTTTGCCGTTAACATGCGTAAAAGGTCTTTTCAAGTTTTCCGAGATACGCACTTGTGCACTTTCACCATCGATATGTGAGAGTGCCAACGTAGCATATTAATTTCGCATGTAAGATGATAATCATCTAATTTTATTTTATCCAGGGGTACTTTCCGACTTCAAGATATTTATTCTTTGGCAAACAAAGAATCCACAAACAAGCTAGATGAGTTGGCTAAAGCGATCCAACCAGATGACGCTTGCAACATTCAGTTCACTTCGGTAAGATGAATTCTCTTTTTCGGGCTGATTTTTGGTAAACTTTTATGTATGAGCAACCGACTAAATGTGACAAATGTTTAAAATAGTACGCGGTTACCTGCCTTACAGTGACGGAGTTTAAATAAAAACAGTCTTATAAATATGAGTCGGTATTACCTATCGGAGAATTCTAATGGCATCACTATGATTCTGTCACCCATAAAAATACAGATGTAACGATCAAATCTAAAGTAGGATATTTTAGCTGTATTACCTAAAGTAATAATTTTTTTTGGATTGCAAGTGAAACGTACATCAGAGAGGCAGAGTTGCTATAATATCATAATTACAATTTTCAGCGAATAAAGGAACTAAGTAACATTTTATGAAATATTTTAAGTACGAGGGGCGTTCAATAAGTAAGTATCCCCCCCTCTCTAAAATCCATAAGAATGGACCAATTTTAGAAAACTTGGGCTCAAACTCTTCCTTAGGATATTTTGAGTTCAACAAAACAAACCGCAACAAAATCAGATTATGTGCGGCCGAACGCGAGCCGTTTGAACGCGCCGAGGAGCTCGACGCTCCCGCCGAATCTGCGAGGATTTGAAGTCCGCTACAGGAGAAGAGCTTCTCTGCCAAAGCCTCAGTCGTTCATCACTGACGAAAAATCAAAGAAATTTTTGTAGAATAAGGGGCTTACCTCACTTCTCCACATAACCAGCTCGATCCAAGCAAGTCTGATACTGAGACTAAGACTAAGAGAACAGCTTTTGGATGCCTCGTGCGTGGAAGTCTTTCAGCTGACCGCGGATGAAAGAGTGGACGGCTTGTTAGACCTCTTCCATTGATTCAAAATTAACTCCTCCGAGTTCAGATTTCAGATCCGATAATAAATGGCAAACCAGACCATCATTTATTCCCGTTCCTGAAATCTGAACTTGGAGGAGTTAATTTTGAATCAGTGGAAGAGGTCAAACAAGCCGTCCACTCTTTCATCCGCGGTCAGCTAAAAGACTTCCACGCACGAGGCATCCAAAAGCTGTTCTCTTAGTCTTAGTCTCAGTATCAGACTTGCTTGGATCGAGCTGGTTATGTGGAGAAGTGAGGTAAGCCCCTTATTCTACAAAAATTTCTTTGATTTTTCGTCAGTGATGAACGACTGAGGCTTTGGCAGAGAAGCTCTTCTCCTGTAGCGGACTTCAAATCCTCGCAGATTCGGCGGGAGCGTCGAGCTCCTCGGCGCGTTCAAACGGCTCGCGTTCGGCCGCACATAATCTGATTTTGTTGCGGTTTGTTTTGTTGAACTCAAAATATCCTAAGGAAGAGTTTGAGCCCAAGTTTTCTAAAATTGGTCCATTCTTATGGATTTTAGAGAGGGGGGATACTTACTTATTGAACGCCCCTCGTACCTAAGAGTGACTTTTTTTTCAAGGTAAACTTTGCTAACAGATTGACCTTGATAACTCAACATTCAACTATGCAGTGGATGCACGGTATATACCCATGAGCCCGAGACTCAATGTATTAGAATTTAATGGGCCTTTGCGCAGGATTAAAAACTTTTTTTCCGCCTCAGAATGTTTCATTTTGGAGACTTCAATTGTTACCTACTGCCAACTAATAAGAAATCGTTGTTACTCCTACATCTCACTAAAATCCATGTAGTGCATTCACGTTAGAGAAATACACTGATAACCGGCGTTGTTTTGATAAAAATTGAGTTTGAGAAAAAATGTCTCCAAACAGCGTCGTTAAATATTTTGTTTGTTTAAATACATTTAACAGATTGTCTGCAATGTATGATTCATTTCTACATGGTACGTACATGATCCTTCAATAATTTATTTCTGAACTGAAAAATCGTAAATCCCAAGCTCCTTTTTCTCTACATTGAGCGAATATTTTTGAAATTAAAACAAGACTGGTTGCATTTACATTACATGGCCTGCATATTTCAAGCAGAATTACATATTACAAATACATTTTTTCTCTCCCTCATCCGAGATTTTTTGAGCGGACAACGAGATGACTGGTATATTCATTAAAGTATGTCTGTGTGCTTTCAATCCGCTTTATTTTCTATTTTCCAGGGCACAACTGGACTACCAAAGGCTGCTGCACTGACACATTTCGGCTCACTAAATAACGCATATTTTATCGGGAAAAGGTTCACTTACGACAGGAAGGTATAATCACGTTCGGGAAAAACCGTAAAGAAGAAAAATTCGCATATTAATAACAAGTGCGCAGAAATAGATGGTGATCCATTGAGAATGTTTCTCTTTTAATTTATTCGTTCACAGGAGCACAAATAATCGTAATTTGTAAGACAAATATAAATCAAATCAGAATCGATTCACGTAGCTGATCTTTGGGTTGCGATTATCTAGTCCCCCATTGAAGTGGAATCTAGTTCTATTTTTTGTTTTTTTTAATGTTAAAAAATGAATTTTCCTAATAATGAATTTGGCAGATTTAACTGGAATCAGACTAACTACCAGTGGCGTGGCGTGCTTTGCGATATATCGATTAGTATGCCATTTAAACCTATGGAAAAGGATCGATAAACAGGGTGTTAGCAGCGAACACCTTAATAATCGATTCTTTACCATAGCTTCAAATGAAGAATTATCGATGATCGATCATTCACGCCACGCCACTGCTAACTACATCAGACGTTGCCTGATTTTGATATGAATGATAGATTTATGTATACCATCAGAATCAACATCTTCCGGCCAAAGTATCACAAGCGCCATGCGACGTTTACATATTTCCGCCCCCATTTTATTTTTTTTACAGAAAGATCGTTGGTTAAATCTGTTTGAAAATTTCACTGAATTTTATCGGCAGCGCAAAAAAAATTCAGTGAAATTTTCGGACAATTTCTTTTAAAAATTTCTCTGTAAAAACATTAAAATGGCGACTGTAATTTTTAAACGTCGCATGACGCTTTATTCTTCGGCCGGAAGGTGACAAGATATAATAAGCTATTTGCAAAGCAAATAAAAATTGCAACCTTAATCAAATTTACTTGTACCAAGACGTATTTCAACAAGAGGGGCCCCTTCACACAGGTAAAAATTGGCGATAGGAGCTGCGTTTCAAAATACCATAGGAGTTCTCATAGCCGACGGAAGAAGGCGATAGAAAATCATATAGCTGGCTGTAGAAAGTGGAAAAAATCATACGGACGGGCTACACGAAGCGATAAAAAATTATACAGCCGGGCTATAGTTCCTATCGCCGGGCTTTACACTTTATCGCCTGGCTGTTGCTTTTTCGCCATCGGCTATAAAAGGCTATAAAAAATTGTGTAGAAATTCGTGTGCTTTGTAAATCCTTAAGTTTGTACGGAATCACCTTAATATTTACAAAATGCTCATTATATTTTCCTTTACTACATTTTTTTTTTCATCAATTCAAATGAGAATAATCCATACAAAGTGTGCAAAAATTTCAAAGTCATGAGTTGAAAAACGCTGACTCCACGATATTAAATATTAGAGCCTAACACGAAGCGGAGCAGCGGCGCACTGGCGCCTTCAAACCTAACAGGGATACTTCACGCATTGCGCAATGCGTGAAGTATCCCTGTTAGGTTTGAAGGCGCCAATGCGCGTTTCGCGCTGGCTGCCCGCCCGCCGCGCCGCGCCGCGCCGCAGCGTACCACGGCGCTTGAAGCAACTATTTCACACCAGAGGTATTGCACAGTATCATACGAAATTGCAGGCGCTCCGACATGTTAGGAATGGCAGGCATCCTTCAAAAGTACGGAGCTTTCCTCGCAAAATAAATCAAGATACTACGGCCCAAAAAGAAAGCGGTAGTCCAAAAACTCACTGAGTCCTAGCATCCGTAATTAGTAACGTTTAGCATACATTTTATCGCCAGGCTGTTGCTAAGTCGCCATCGGCTATGAAAGGCCATAAGAAATTGTGTTTCCGGCTATAGAAGCTATTGGAAATCTTACAGCCGGCTGTAGGTATGGTATTTTGGAACACAGATTCTACTGCCAATTTTTACCAGAGCAATTATAGTGATTAGGCAACCTACATAACATTCAAATGCAATAGCAATAATTTTACCGCATGTAGTGGCAATTTATAACAACCTGTGCTGCTTTGCGACTTGAGTATGCTTCTGATGTACTGGAAGGAAACTTTCTTCTGAGATAAGCTTTTTTCTTTCAGAGACCCACGATTTGTTGCTCCGTTCCGTTTTTTCACACTTACGGCACAACAGCGGTAGTCCTCACCGGTCTATACTTCGGGGCAACTTGTGTACTACCTAGTCCCAGTTACAACTCTAGCCTAGCAATTGAAGCGATCGCAAAAGAACAGTTGAGTATATATAGCAGTCAAAATTTACCATCTGGTGTAAGTCTCTTAAAAATTAAAGTGGAGTTGAAAGTTGTGAAACAGCGCAATGAAGGTGTATTTTTCCAGAATGGTACATTCCTCCAATTATTGTTACAGACACCACATGAGTTGTCTAGATTGTAAACTTAACGATTTTAGGCTTCATAAATCTAGGCAGATACAGACAATTGGTTATAATCACCGAAAAATTGATAGTTAGAGCTTTCTAACGCGCTATAAAAATTTGAGAGTACGAAGTGGAATTCAGAGAAAAATGTATTTTTTGAGCGCCCGACTCCACTGCACGTCTCCGCGCAGATCTGAAATTTAACGGTGCGTTATCGGAAAGTAAGCTGCGGCATTCATCTCACATAAAGAGTCAGTTACTTTAGGACGGTTCAAGTTCATGTTGAAGATATCTGAGTACATCTTGCCATAAAAATATTTGGGCATTGAATGTAAGTCCATGAGTTTATAATTCCTAATTTGCGACAAATGTATCACCTAACCTCTCGATAACGCACCGTGAAATTTTAGACTCGCTGGGAGAGGGGGATGTTTCTCAAAAACACGCCTTTCAAGATTTTTACCGAACTAAACTCCATAACGCGTTAGACGTCTAAAAATAAGAGGTTTACGACACTCTTTACCGATTGACTTTACAGTTTTTCGCTTTTTCTCTCTTTATCTAAGAGGCAAAAAATAGTTAAATTTATTTATTTTGGAGGGTCTCTGCAAATGAGTACATAAATTGCAAGCTACATTTCTGGCTGTAAATGAGAAAAAACACCAAGAAGTGGCCCGAATACTGTTTGTAACAAGACGGAGAAATGGTGCTGGGTCCACATCATTTCGCAGGGAAATCAAAGCCAAGAAGTTCCAAAAAAAGTTAACAAACTTGATTAGAGTTAATTAGAGAGATTTCATTAGAGTTAAACAATTTTTATTTATTTTTTACTCTAATTGTAATTTTTTGAACTTCTTGGCTTTTCTGGCTGTATGAAGTCCATAATCATACCGTAAAAGTAGCTCACGAATTTGACCAATTTGTTTTTTGACGCAACCTTAGTGGAGATATTTTCTTGTAAGAAATAAATAAACAACTCCAAAACTGAACTAATTTTAAAACCGAAAGATTTAAATTAATATTTCACTCGATTGCAGATGCACTGCTTTGTATGGAACTCCAACAATGCATTTAGATATGTGCGCGTTGGCTGAACAAAGTAAGGAATCTTCGTGGAAAGATAATCTAGATGTGATCGTGACGGCAGGATCACTCCTCTTACCTAAAGTTTACGATAGGATAAAAAATGTTTTTCCCTCAACAAAAATTTATGTGAGTATTGACGTCTAAAAAAATTATTATTTCTCTATTTTTGATTCGAAATAAAATTATCAGGCGTTGATCGGTTAAGTTTATAAAATTACTCAAAAAATCCTGCTAAACACAAAAATACGTCACATTTTTAAAATTAGGCTGTATCTTGAGATGAATTAAATTTGCAATGAGGAAAGCCACAGGTGGCTCATCTCTCCAAAAATTATGAATATATAATCACTCCATATTTAAGTTTATTTTTTAATGTGGAATAATATCTTTATTAGATGCAGAGATACTTCTCGACAATCAAAAACACAGGAAAATACGGACACACACAAGGCTAAAATACAAAATACACAGGCAGAACGTTTCGGTACCTCACGGCACCATTACCAACTGCTAAAATAGAATTAAAAATAAAAAATAAATTAAAATAAAAATTAAAATATTTTAATTTAATTTTTATTTTTAATTCTATTTTAGCAACTGATAATGGTGCCGTAAGGCACCGAAACGTCCTGTCTGTGTATTTTGTTTTTTAGCCTTGTGTCCGCATTTTTCTGTGTTTTCGATTGTCGTTTCCGTTTCGGGCTGCTTTGACAAGTATCTTTGTTTCCACGACACTTCTCGACACAATTTCTGAAAGGGTTCGAGAAAGTTTTTTTTTTACAAAATGTGAGGGGTTTTGAGAGTGCCTGGATTCATCTTCCTTCAAGATTAAAAGAAACTATACGATATCTTCGAACTTCTACTCCAAAGTCAACCTATGAGCAATGCACCTATGATAAATCAAATTTTTAAAATGTAAAATTACCAATTTATATTAGTCATTTTAATCAACTTATTTGTGTTTGCTTTTTCAATTTCATTCTCACCACTCTGAATTTTCTCAGTCAATCTATGGTATGACCGAGACGAGTCCATCTTCGTTCCAAAGTCGATCGACAGACACAGAGGACCAAAGAAAGTATTCTGTTGGGTTCGTGCAGGATCACGTCGAGGTAAGCCGCGATTCTTGATCCAAGTCTGCAAAACTGCACTAGATATGTACGTGTCGACGGTGTAAGTCGGCAATCACATAACTCGGTTTGCGACGTCGCAGATTTCCTGTCATAATTTTTTTTTTAAACGAAAAACCACTCAACAGCAATCCTTTAATACTGCCGTGATTTTTCCTCTCTGTGCGAAGGGAATTCTGCATAAGCTTCGAGGAATAATGTCAATTCGTTCTCCTTTCAAAAATAACATACAGGCGGAGATTTTCAGACACCGCAAACGAGTTGTGTGATTGCCGACTTCCACCGTCGATGCGATTTTTTTTTTTTTTTTTTTTAAAGCTAAGCTTTTCTTGAATTAATTGCCAAAAAAGGCTCTTAAATCAAAATTGAAAAAGATTACATCAAGCGGTAACCTGGTTTATTCCCGCGATTTTGCTCTTGATTCTAGAGGAAATCTCTTAAACGGCAAATTAAAGTCATTTATTTTAGTTTGTTGTTGCTTTTTTTTTTTGAAAAAAATTAGATACCTAAAAAATTTACATTGATCAAATCAAGCTGACTCAGCCAGAAAAAAATATTATATAATATAAAAATGACAGAAAAGCGATGGTGCCGACTTGCAAAATAGTTTCAGACCTCCATAATATGATTAACGCACACGAGGACTCCTAAAAAGTCCTCCCCCTTTGTATTGCATCCAAAATATTTACAGGAAAGTGGCTACTAAAACAATACCTACCCACAAAGAAATAAGTCTATACGTTGAGAGGATAGGCGCTATAGTATATTATGTACCTTCCTTTAAAAAAAAAATTCCAGGCATATATGTAAACCAGCTGCTGTATATCAAGAGTTATCTCATATCAATGGTTATTCTTGCCAATTGACAACACTTGATTCCATCAAATTAATTGCGAAACAGATACATTTTGCGTTACAGATAAATACATGTAAAAAATGCACGTTGGCTTTACAGGTCAAAATTGTTGACGGAGCTGGAAAAATGGTGCCGTTTGGTTCGCCAGGAGAACTCTGGTGCAGAGGATACGTGAAAATGCTGGGTTACTACAACCAGGATTCAAAAACAGCGGAAATGATCGGGAAAGATTGCTGGATAAAAACTGGGTTAGAGCAGCAATTCACCATTATATAGTAAATCTCATCTAAACTATCATTGTCTAACCTACCCTTACCTAAGTGCTGAAAAGTAGACTATTAACACGGCCAGCGGGCTAATTGTTGAAATTGATAGACAAAGCCATAGACAAAGCAGACATAGGGAGTATGGAGCGATCCTATCGATTGAAATTGGTGGTTCTCATAGACCAAGGGGGTAAATGATGGACTTACCGTAGGGTCTCTCGTGGGTTGCCGTTAGTTAGTCTATTACCTGCCTCATTTGTCCGTTACAACCACCCACTTCCACCAATAGGATCCCTCCATATCCTTTCTGTCTTCTTTACCCATAGCTTTTTCTATCAATTTCAACAATCAGCCGGCAGGGCCTATTAAGACAGCCTCTAAATTAAAAGTTTCTTTACCATTTGATAATAATTATGCACTATGCTTCATAGTTTATATCCCCAGGAGTAGAAAAACCTAAAAAAATCATAAATCCTTCATCTACCTTATTATCTGGATAAAAACTAGGTAAACTAGTTTTACTCTGTTATGTTTAAGGCTCGAAGGTGTTTGATCTCAATAGAATATTATATCTTATATTTACAGAAATGAGAGCGTAACTGCTTGCAGAGTGCGAGCACTTCCTGGGACCAGAGACAGATCTAGCAATTTGGCAACACGGGATATCCTCCATTTAAACCCGTGTTGTATAATCTATTCTTGTCGGACCACCAGGCCTCTCCGAGAATCGATACATTTTCATTGGTTTAAATAGAGAAAAAACAATGTTGCCAATTTGCTGGATCTGCACCAATGCCTGGGACACTAGGAGGGAGTATTTCCGTTTGAAACTCGGATTTCACTTTTTTGAACAACCCAGAAAAAATCGACATGTGATGTGATTTGTTCCTGAGCAATAAAGTTCATCGTTTCATAAACGGGCAATAAACATTTCACTCGCTTTTTTTATATTTTTACCAGAGATGAGGCAATTTTATCTGAGGACGGTTACGCGCAGATCGTTGGCAGAATCAAAGATTTAATAATAAGAGGAGGTGAGAATATATCGCCGAAAGAAGTCGAGGATTTGTTACAAGCTCATCCAGACATTTATGAGGCCCAGGTAAACTTGCAGCTTTATTGAGTTAAAATAATTAACTTCTCATATTTTCAAAAATAATTCGAACATCAACCTGCTTTCGGCACAAAAAGTTGCAGAAGAGAAAATTATTTTATTCTGGATTTCGCAGTTTTAACAGATTTTTAAGATTGTCAGATATACACAGCTTTGATATAATCTAGGGAACTAAATTATCGAGGCTGAAAAGTTTGATGGTGAAAATGTACATCGACGATGAAACTACTAAACCTCGTATCTCGATTTGCAACGTTGCAGACTTCCTGTCATTCTTTATTTGTTAGGTGAAAAACGACGCAATGTTAATTCTTAAAAACTCCTGTGATTTTTCTTCTCTGTGCGAAGCAAATTCTGAGATTCAAGGAACGACGTTGTTTAATTCTCTTTAAAAAAAGTAAAAAAGGAGCGGAGATTTTTAAACCCCGCAAACGAGATACGTGGTTTGGCTGTTTCACCGTAAATATTCTATAACAATCATTGTGAATCAGGGTTGCATTCTTTGATTCTTGTTTAAAGCATATGTATTCACGTGTTTCTACTCGTCAAAAAATATACTTTTATCATTTCATCAGTTGTTTACCATTCATTGCTTCTCCGGCATATCCATGTTTAATTTATGTTCCAACAATATTGTTCTTGTACAGGTTTTCGGGGTCGCTGATGAACGATTGGGCGAAGTTGTTGGGGCAGCGCTAATACTGAGACCGGGAAAATCTATCACGGTGGATGAAATAAAAACGTTTTGTAAAGGGAAAGTAAGTGCGCTCAAAATTTGTTTTATATTCTCTGAATTTTTGTGCATTCAACGGTTTGTCTGTCATGAAGAAATTTTGTAAATTATCCTGGCTCTACTCATGTAGGGAAAAATTCAATGTCATAGGACAAAATGAATGGTACATTTTTTCCTTAAATAAACTTCTTACATTCAGTAAGTAGGTAACATTATGGGAAAAGATTCTTTTTCTCTTCGTTGCGGCGCAGAGATACAACTATTCGTACCTGATGGATGCCCGTGTTGCATCTGTAAAATTGAAGGCGCGATGGCACGAGGTGTGAATTCGCAGCTCCGCTCTATGCCGCCAATGAGATGTCGCTCGAACTCGGGAGGAAAGTTAAAAAAGGAGGTTAGCTTACATCTCTCCTATTTTTGGTTGTATTGTTCACGTATCCTTTGAAGCAGCACTACAAATAAGACAAACGGATCCAACACATTTTGGAAGCAAAGCAAGGAAAGGACGCGCGATTTTTACATGCGCGAAATTAATACAATTAAATCAGATAATTGCAGAAACTATCTGAGCATTAAGTTTACATGATCATTGATCATGACAATGCGCACCACTCAAACTCAGCTTAGAATTAAATCATGATTAACTTATTTCATGCGTGTTTGTTTCAGATTTCACACTTCAAGATTCCAAAATATGTACAATTCCTCACCGAATTTCCCAAAACGGGCTCGGGGAAAATCAAGAAACACATTCTGAAAGCAGCAATGGAAAAAGCTGTTCAAGCGGGAGATCTCTGAGAAGACAGCAGATTTCCTTCATTGTTGGCTTCTAACATTTGCAACTATTTGGGTTTTATACGATTTCCGTTCTAACAAGCTATTCAAGACACAATGCTCCAAAAGTCTTACCTCCCACATGCCTTTAAAGGCAGTAATTTATCCTTTATCACATAGTTAATGTCAGGGAGCACTTGAGCACTTTCACGAAGTTCCATTTCAGGGGGAGGGGTGAGGTGATGAAGAAGGGCGGGGGGGGGGGGGGAGATGAGGGAAAGTATGTTAGAAGAGGATTCTTATTGTTGACGTGTACTCCTGATTTTCTGCTTTCTTGGAGAAATATAGTATACTCTTGGAATTGCCAAAATTGTTAGAATCGCTAATTTCGATAATGACGAGTCTAATTCTACATTTTAAAATCTGTGATAAATACGTCGTGAAGTGAAAAATGATATCAAATGGCGAAAATGGAAAAGAACTGTTAATTTTATGATTTTAATTGCTAGCTTCAAAATTTTCAGACTCCTCAGTCCTAATCGATTTTTTTAAAAAAATATTTTGACTTTGAAAAATTGCGACGTTGTTTCCCTACGTTTTTAGGGAATCGACTTTGTGCCCAGACAGACTACTTTTATTTCTTGTTAGTTCACAGTTTTGTACAAATCATACCGGGTTCGAAAACTACTCGTTTCGTAGAACCTTGTTTTTTAGTCCTCAGAATGAGCTCTCTCACACATCATATGCCCTCTAATGGGTTCCTGTAGTATACAAAATTTAACATTGTGATGCTGTTCTTGACTTTTCACTGCTAAACAGTGTTATTAAAAAATCCCGCACCACCAGCTTAAGGCAGCACCTCTGAAACGTTTGAACAAATCGAGATATAGACTTTAAGACCCCTAAAAACTTCAAGGGGATCCCTATGAAAAAGGGCAAAAACCCCATGAGTTATAAGGATATCGCGGGATTCCTCGACAACAAAAAAGTGATTTTTATCGTTTCAATTGGTTTTTATTCATGATATCAGCGTGATTTTGTATTCGTCTGAGGACATATATAAAGACTTCAAGAAGAGTAATTGTCATTGAGTTTGATGGCAATGAAGCAACCACAAATACGAACATAAAGTTGTGAACTCCTATATTGTTTTAAAGAACAAATAAATGTCACCAACCTGAGTGTGTGTTACGAAGAAGACCTTTCTTACATGTTTTATTTCAAACTCCTTTGTCTCTCTTTCCGTAATTTATACATCGACGGTGGAGCTGTAAAAGCGGGCGTCTCGTTTATTATGGTTCAAAATCTCTTATCCTATTTACTTTTCATCAATTTACAGCGAGCCAAAATTATTCCTTGGAATTTCCATAAAATATTCTTCATACATCGAAGAAAACTCAGGTAAATTTTTAAGAAATAACGTTTAGTATTTCTTAATTAATTTAGAAAATAAATCATGCAGGAAAGTCTGCAGCGTTGCAAACTGAGTTTCGCATTTTCGCAGTTTTACCGTGATCGATACGGCTTTTTTCAGTTAAATATTCACTTTGAATTACATTTTATTACTTGCCTTTCTTATTCAAATTTCAACGCACTCGTCAATTTTTAATTCCTTTCACCTACGGAAATGATTTGTATATTCTCATGGTTTCCAAGAGATGATGAGCAGAAGAAGTGAGCAGAAACACTTGACACTTCTGCTTTGCACCTTACCGATCTGTTTTTTATAAGACCGTTTGAAACATACTCAGCCAAGTTAAAGAATCAAAGCACATTACAGAATCTCATAAACTCTAGGTTCTCTTGCACCAATTACCGTCAAATTACCAACTTGAAAATTTTGAAAAGACAACTCTAAAAAAAAAAAAAAAAAAAAAAAAAAAAAAAAAAAATTCTGAGATAGTTTATTCAGGAGTTGTCTATCTATTATAGCTTTTACCACGATAGCAAGAATTGGCTCATTGGGATGATATTGGCAGTGACATTGATATCATTGGCACAACTTGAATGATACAAGTACAATGATCCTTTGAGCCAGTTCATTCATTTTCATTAGGTCGTAGATTACGATTATTCAAGCTTAATCATCCAAATCGTTTACGAAGCCCCTTAAATCAATGAGACAGTGGTCTCGCACAGAGCTAAGATGGGCCTCAACAGTTATTCTGATGTTATTTTGCCCCGGTAATAATGGTAGGTTGTAGCTAACTTGGTAAGGCACCCGCCCCGAACACACAAGGATTCACTGAAAAAAAAAGAAGAAAAATATTAGATTTGCCGTGAAGATTTTGCCCATGTTGCTCAATTTAAGCCACTTTTTCGTTCAACCCAAGCATTTCTTCCTTACTCCCAGAGAGAAAAATGAAAAAATGTGAGCGAAATCAACTCGAGGGAACATCGACTACAGCATGGAGTACATATCGCTCCACCCCCACGCCGTAGTGGATAATATCCGAAGTTGATTTCACTCCCACTTTTTCATGACTAATTGTAAGAGCACTCAGATCTCACATTTCCCTCCAAAATTTAAAAAAGTGTATGAGCATTTTTCCTTGGACTTAATCCCATACCTCATGACTGCTGCAGATTCAAACTAATGAACTTGATACATGAATCAATGACGCGCCTTATCAACACATTCTGTTGGAGTTCACTGCTTGTTTTCCTCTACCTTCATAGGTAAACAAAAGCGGTTAATCTTCTTGTCCCCATGCAGTACTAAATGATAACAGCTTCTTCGAACCCATCTCGAGGTGCAGCTGATCATTCCGTTTTGCCTTCCCGCTCAATTTTAGTTTATGGCTGTGCCGCAAATGAAAAGGTAGACATGAGGGTACTTTGAGAGAAGAGAAAAAACTTGAAAGAGGGCAAAAATGAGGATAGGTGACGTTTAAAATGAAATTTATGTCATATCTAATGTGAATCCGGAACCGTGTATGTGTAATTACATATTGCAAATAACTATTTCAATTATGAATTCTAAAATAAAGTGTTTGGTCTTGGACGAGGCTCACAGGGTAATGCAGATGAAGATTATCAGGTGAGGGTTATTTCTACCACTTTTTTTTAAACTTCTTAATCCTGACATCTATTGGTGTGTATGAGAAATCAAATTGTGCGAGAAGCGATTTTAACTCAGCTCCGACAAAAGTTTACCATGACATTAAAATTAGTTTTTTCGCGTTTGCCACAGAAACGAGTTTTTCGTGTATAAAGTTTATTTGATTTTTTATTATTTATTTTTTTAAAAAGAAGTTATAGGTCTGTAGCCAATGAATGTATAAACTAATTTGACATCATGCAAATTGGAAATTATTTAACCATATATATCTCGGTAAAAAGGAGCTTAATTTCATTGCAGGATATCGATAAAGTATGTAACTTTCTAGCTGAGAATCTCAAACCATGTCCAAAAAATGTAGCACAAACCCTATGGAAGTTTTTTACAAGCGTAAACAATTTTTCACAGACCTAAAAATAAAAAAGAACACATAATTTTAAAAAATTGTAAAATTATAGCATGCACTTTCATTCTAATGTTTAAGTTCTTTGCTTGGGTTCTATAGCTAGTCACTTTTGAAACATCCACTTTTTTTTAATGGACCTTGGAGACTGCAGGCAGCTGAAAATCATGATTTCATTCGAATGACTTACGACCATTTCAGGGCAGCCCATACAGTAGCGGAAGTCAACCCAAAGCCACCAAACTGGAGCTACTTTCATAATCCAGGTTCAGAGCCTTTGCGAGCTGTAACAGTCGGTAATCTTCTTGAAGAGGCAGTCAACAAATTTGGAGACGCAGAGGCATTGGTCTCACTCGCTCAGAATAGGAGACTTACATTTCAGCAAGCTAAAACGAAGGTAAGATTTACACTGCTCCTTAACGAGAAATGAAGAGTAGCTTTAGGATAAGGAGGGGGAATTTCTCGGTTGTGATTGACGTCCTTACCGGTTTTACATACCGGTTCGAAAAAGGATTGAATATTTTCATTGGAAATGTAAAAAAAAATAAATCATAAAAAAGTATAAAAGTAATTGCATGATCGACATTGGAAATGGTCAAACTTTGCCGTGAAGTTTTAGAATTTTCTGAGATATTTATTCTAAGAGTTCATTTCTCGTAATATTTCCTTTTTAAAAACAGAGTACAAAATTGGGCAACGGATTTAACAAACTTATTGGTAGAAATTCTTATCAGACTTTGAGATACGTAGAGAAAAACTGAAACTTCTCTATAGATTCGGAAGTTGGGTAATTTTTGAGGCAAACCATTTAATTACAGTAATGTGCGTAAGGAAGTCAAGATTCAAGACAACAAATTTCAATACCTGGAAAAGATTGATCAAATGGGATTGCATAGCTTCACTTTAATCAAACAGGGTATGCAAAATGCGGTTTTTCCAAAGACAGCCAAACATCATGCCTTGTTTGGATGATTCTTATCAGTGCATACCTTTTATTTTGACACCATAATTGAGGGGCTTGGAGAACAAGGCGCATACTGCAGTTTTTGAACAAATTAAGATATTCATGAACTCAACTAAAACCATAGATTGAAAGCATATTCTATAAAAAATTCACAACTAAAATCCGACTTAAAAGCACAGTAAGTTAGTTTAAACTTCCTTTCTGCTATATGGGTCCATGGCGAATTTTTAAATTTTAAACACGTATTTCTTGAAATAGCAAAAACTGCAGTTATGCGCGCCTTGTCCTCCAAGCCCCTCCATTGCTGCTTTTGAGAGCTCGTTTTACCTAATTTTTCAAATAAAGGCGAATAAATTTACATGCTTCATACACAAATACATTTGAAAATCCCTCCTAGGAAAGCATATGCTCGTTGTCCGAAATATGAATTCAGTAATGATTTACTAAATTTTGATTTTGAAAGCAAGTAAATCTGTATCAGCGTTGTTAAACATATCAATCTATTTGTTTTTCCGCGGTTGATAAAAGGACGTGTTTTCGTCCTCCAATTTTTCGTATGATTACTTCTTTATATTTCATTGTAATTACTTGTCATGTAGTTTCGACCGTTTCGATTCGAGGTTTTTCCTCATATTTTTTTAGCACTTGATAATGTCTTGTGTAATGTAATGTTTTCTTTCATTCTTTTATCAGCTTTGTCTCAGCTATTATTATGTGTGCTTGTTTGTGTTCTAATTATTTCGGCTGTTACTTATCGTTGTTTCGTCGAATTTTGCAAAAACCATATCGTATTATATTTTATCGCAGGAAATTTAACGTTTGCACTCTGCATGCCTTCAGACCAGAGACGGATCGATTGTTAAAATAGAGGAAACTGGCACAGAGGCCACTGGATTAGCTGTGGTAATTTTATGGGTTTAATTAAAATTTGTGTTCGCATTTCTTTAGGTAGATCAACTAGCTGCGGGATTAATTGCACTGGGGTTGAATCCAGGTGATCGAGTGGGTCTGATGGAGCCTAATTCAGAAGAATGGTACATTTCGTTCCTGGCCGGGGCAAAAGCCGGTGTAATCGTAGTATGTATTATGACTTATATTACAATTGGATGTTTAGATTACCCGTAAAATAAAACAGGGGTAGCTTCATTTCTACTTATCACACTTGGTCTGGTTTGCCGAACAGTTTGCTCGAAACGTCACTCCTTAGTCGGCCTCCTGTAGTGTAGCGATTGTAGCGCTGGCTCTATAATCAGGAGGTCCTGGGTTTGATTCCCGGCCAGGCGACCCGAGTTTGATGGTCTCAAACAACGGTTATCTCGGGCTGGTACAAAGTAGGGACGGAGGGGGTGGGGCTGTAGGTGGAAGCACAGGATTAACACCTGTTTTTGAAGTAGTAAAAAAAAAAAAAAAAAAAAAAAAAAAACTCCTGGACTACCAATACACGGAAAAGGGAGACAGGCGAATATTTGAAAGCGACTACAGTGTGGCAGCAAATTATTCGATGCATCAACGGTCAACGCCAGAAAAATGTATAAGTTTTAAAAGACGTGCCTATACATGAAAAAAAAGTTAATAAATTAAAAACTCAAGTAAAAACAGGAAACCACGTACGAATTCCAAATCGCTATAGAAATTCTAAGAAATTCATGGATACATTTGATTCGTGTGACCAAACTTCTTCATATAAACAGTCCAGTTGAGGAGTGCGTTTCCATGAACAGAATCTTTGGTTTTACAAGTATAGAAAATTCGATTTCATAAACCAGATGGCTCGATTTGAATGGAACTCGCGATCGAATACGATGGCCAATACGATCAAAATTTTTTTTTGCAGTGCATACGCAAATGTGGGTTCAACAGACTCAAGGGTTAAAATGCATCGTCGACCGTGCGATAATAAATCAATTAAAGGAGCTGAGTGTTAAGCAGGTGATGATATATCGAGGGTTATCTTGCGACAGTGATCATTATTCCCTCAAAATAGAATCAGCATATCCTGTTGAAAGTTGTCTGCGGAACGTGCATAGAGAGCCACATAAGCAACACGAGGAGAAGATAAGAAATTCGCAAAATGGATAGAGAGTAAAATAAAGAATAAGATACATGGAAAAAGGATTCAAATTGAAGTAAAAATTAAATGGAAAAAATCAATAAAAAATGAGTTTAAATCAGCTTGGTTGGACATCGAAATGCGATACACTGCATGGTTAAGATAGGGCTAAATCTAGTCTAGTCATGCAGACTTAGTTTCAACAGTTGGGCTGTTGCAAACTTTAACAACCATTCCCAGAGCCGTTTCCCGATACAGCGACACACAGTGGAGCTATGAGAAAGTTCAGACATGTTGGGGAAATTTTAAAAGCTGAGATCTTAGTTAATACAAAACTTATAGGTGTAAAAGTGGTTGTATTGGTTTTCTCGTAAAATGTTTCTGCTACAGTCATCACTTACGATTGGTAACATAACAGAATGTAAATCATAATTGGACGTATTTATGCTAAAAGGAACTATGTGCTAGTGAAAAGATGGGGTGCGCTCGTGGAAACTGGATAAGAAAGAATGTAAAAGTGGATATAGTCCCTTTTGAGAAAATGGAAAAGCGGGATTTTCAGTTAAATGAAAAGAAACGGAGTGCTAACTTGTGGCCGTGGGCATGTGACAAGAGCCTTGTGGACAGGGCTCATGAGTTTAAGACCGCCTTCCCGATCGTCGTTTCTCTTGTCGTCGTCGCTGACGTCACTGGCGCTTTATATTTCCCATTCATTCTTATGACAAGACCACTAACGAGCACACCCTATCTTTCCACTTCCACATAGTTCCATAAAAACGTCCAATTTGCAATTTTGGTCAAGTTGTTCATAGCTAATCTCTCCACATACAGCTCATTTCGTCGCCCCCCTGACATACGAGCGTATTTTAATTTCCACGTTAGCTGTAATTGAATCAGTGAGAACGAAAACACACCAACTCCGTAACTCGAAAATGCTCAATTTTCATTAAAGGTAGTCAATTTCCATGAAGGTCATTAAAGTTAGCGCATCTGATCCAGCTTCTACCTTTAAAATGTCCTTAAGTGCTCGTCCTTTGGCACCAAAAATATTTGTCGTGGGCTAACGTCCTCACCCACTGTGCAGTTTTTGTGTGTGTCTTGATTATTTTCATTTTTTCGAGTTGGTGTGTTTTCGTTCTCACTGATTCAATTTAGATATAAACCCATGCTCTCTGGGGCTCATGCGGAAATCGAGATACATACATCCTCATGTCAGAGGAGCGTCGAGTTCACTGCGCGGCGATGGAGTTACCATTTTCTTTCTCTTTTCAGATGAACTTGAATCCTGCAAACTTGTCGAAGGAAATCGCGCACAGCTTGCAGCTAACGGGAGCTCGGGCCTTGATAACACGGGATACATTCCTAGCTCAAAATTATTACGATTCGTTGGTTTCGATCATGCCTGAATTGGAGAGAGCTCCCACTGCCTCACCTGTCCGAGTAAAGGACTTCCCGGAGTTTTCTCACCTCATCATGAACACAGACCAAAATTTACCGTAAGTGAATGATTGCCGTTCTTTATGCAGATTCTAGAAGGCACTGTTTCCTCTGTTAAGTTTGAGAGTTTAAGATAAGAAGTATCGTATCGACGACAAAAGTGCGAAACCACGTAACTCCGTTTGCGACGTTGCAGACCATCTCTGCCGTGCTAAGGAAGAACGCCGTATGAGCATTCGAGACTTGCTAAATTTCCTTCGATTTTCAATTCTTATTTTTGAGGAACGTAATGAATATTTTTCCTTTAAATTTTCAGAATCTTTAGATGAACTTGCAAAAAAAGGTATCTGAAAAATTGGCAGGAAAATATTCATAAGTTTACCAGAAAATTCATGTTTTATCCAATAAAAAATTGACAACACCTGAATGTTCATAAGGCGTTCTTCTTTAGCACCGCAGATCTGTTATGCTTTGTTTTTTTAAGCTTCTCAACGTACTTCCTTGAATTCTTTGATTAATTTTCTCTGTTAGTAGAAAATTCTGTTTAAATTTCAATATGTAATGTTGACTTGTTTCTCTTCGAAAAAATAAAATAAAATAAGAGCAGGAATTTTGAAACATCGGGATGGAGATACGTTGTTTTGCACCTTGGTCATCTTGATATTAATAAATGACCAAAACCAATCAACTCAGGTCAGAAATCCTCGTGGACGAATTTCGAGGCCCTACTGAGCACTGCGGTGGGAAATTTAAATGCAATGTATTCTCACGGTGGCAGCTAATGCAAATTATGACGTCGCATTGGCTGAGGTCGAACGATGGCCGAGCGGGGAAGTGGATACCAAAAAGACGCGCGTTGATTCATCTTGTGCGTGACGCAGAAGAGCGATGTGTGCTTTACGCCCTTAATTTTTTGCTACCGAAAAGTGGGTAGGAGATAAGGCCGCGGAGTCACCAGGGGAAACCCATTAGTATTACATGTATTTTATAAAAAATGAAGATCTAAGAGAAAAACCAAACACGCAATTTGGCCTGGAACGGCGCGCCGTAGAGAGCAATGATAACGAAGAAACCACATGAAAAGGAGAAGCCCTCGACGCTGCGGTCGGCACGTAACACATATTAGCGCCTACAATGCTGCATGAATACTTCACGCACTGCGTCAAACACAGTGCGGTCCGCAGCGGTCGGCGTGAGACGCATAGCGCCTACAAGACTGTAGGAATACTTCACGCATTGCGCAAAACATAGTGAGGTCAGCGCGGCGCGGCGGCGGAGGTTAAGATTATTAACTCACATTTATGTTTGTTCTTTCATAATTTTTTCGTTCATTTCTTATAAATGGAAGGCGTTGTCCACACAGCGATAGGTTTACGAGACTTAACTTTCGCGCAAAGTTCCGTGAACTTTTGCTAGTAGTGTTGACAGGGCTTTCGCAAAAAGTGTGGCCATCACGATTTAACGCGTCTTATGCACCCTTCTCCCTCTGGCACGTTCACTTGATGGTTTTTATTGATGTTTCAAAACGAATGAGAAGGGGGCGGCAAAATACAGGTGGCCCATGGGCGGCACGTAGGTCAATCCGGCCCTGTTGACACATGGAAAAATTTACTTTTATAAACCACGGAGTCTATTTTACATAATTATTCTGATTTTTTCTTATTCATTATTGTAAGGAGAAATATTCAGATGTAAAAGCTCGTTTTCATCTGAGTGCACAACATAAAGACCGCACACGTATTCATTTAAAATGCCTTTCCTTTATTATTAATACAATATGTTCAAAAAATTCAAAGTATTTGCAATTTTATTTTCCCCAGAGGCACTTTCCGACTTCAGGATATTTACTCATTGGCGAACAAAGACTCTAAAAACAGGCTAGAAGAACTGGCAAAAGTGATCCAACCGGACGATGCCTGCAATATTCAATTTACCTCTGTAAGATTTTTGATTCTCTCTATTCTAATTATTGGTAGAAATGTATGTTTCGAGCAGTTGGCTTTAAAATAATAGGAGTTTCAAAATCATATTTAATGAGCCCGAGAGGTGATATCATGGCCAAGTAGTTGGTATGGTATGGGCATGTGGAGGCAACGGCCGATACCAGGTTGCCGAAAAAGGTTTTTGAGTGGACTCCTTTTCCTCTAAGTGTTCATAGCTGGAAGATGGATAAATGACATCTAAAAAGAGATAGAACGATGCCGGCTTCCGAGAAAGCTCTACCTTGTGGTGGTTAGGTGTCGCGGAGCGCCTGTAAAAGCAACAAATGAATAAGACAATCGTAAATCTACAGCTTACTGTCCGCCTTGCCTTCATTCTAAGCAGTAATTCAAATGAGAATTCAGACCCTTAAATTTCCATGACTGCAATGTTTAAATTAGAATTTTAAAGCTTTTAAGCTGCATCATCATATCCAAGATTTGTTGATTAGTAAGTGCAAATTTTATTTGTGTCCTAACTTCCGTCCTTCTTTTTAGGGCACAACTGGACTACCAAAGGCCGCTGCGCTGACTCATTTTAGCACCCTGAATAACGCATACTTTGTGGGGAAAAGGCTTGCTTACGACAAAAAGGTATACCATCGTCAAATCAATAGGTGTATGGGAAAAATCATCATTATAACACTTTACTTAAACCTAAATGAATTTATCGATTGAGGTGGGAGAACTTTGCGATTGAGAAACGAAAAGGATTTCGGATTCAGTCACGTACTAATGGAATCCTGCAAACAAAATTAAAAGGAGTCAATCTGGTACCACTCTAACTTTGCTCTCTTTAGCCATGTACTGTAGCCGGACGAACGCCTAAGAGATGGGCACAAAGCTGCCTTTCATCCCCGGAGTATTGAGTGATCTCTCTCATCGCCATCATAGTTTACTAATTAGAGGCTAGACAAACAGGGTCACGGCCCTAGTCAGAAGTTAGAAGAAGAAGAAGAATCTGGTACCAAGTTTCACAAAAACTGATCGAACAAGAGCCGCATATTGCACGATCATTGTGGCCGTGGGACTCTACACGGTGGTAAACGATGCCAGTTATTTTACGTACGTTAGTGCGCCTTCAATTTCGTCTGATACTGTGCGATACATCTGAGGCGGAATAGTTGCTCAGAGCGCTTTCAACAGTGTCACTCCGTTTTGACGGCATGGCAGAGAATAATAGCATAGCGGCATGGCCGCTATAAAATTACGTAGAGCGTATTGCCTCGACAGCGAGGGGGGTGGGAAAACATTCATATCTCAATCAGCGACGTTGCTAGTTTTTCAATGTCTATTACATGTGGGTAAACCGACATGAACACTTTAATTCTGCCGTGTTTTTTCTGAGATAAGAGGAAAAATACTATTTTAATGTTTCAATCAAGTCATTTTGTTAAATTGTTCAATTGGTGTTCCTAATTAATTGCAAAATGTGGTACATATATTGTCCTTATTATCTCTCTCATAATGAATTTTGAAATGAATCAATTTTTCCCTTCCAGAGACCCAATATTTGTTGTTCCGTTCCATTTTTTCATGCTTATGGTTTAGCTGCAGGAGTGCTGACCGGCCTCCACTTTGGAGGAACTTGCGTGCTGCCAAGTCCAAGTTACAGCTCTACCCTTACAATTGAAGCAATCGCAAAAGAACAGTTAAGTATGTTAATAGTCAAAATATCATGTGAAATATTTCATGATTCAATGACTGGTCATTCTACATTCAAAAATTTTTGCGTAGTTCGTCGTTTCCCGGACGAAGGAACGTAACTCCATTCCAAGGTTGCAAAATTGACGTAAACAATTCGATTTATTAAAAGAATGTACCTGTGCAATTCTTGTCATCGACGCGTTTTTGTGCGTTATGTGTTTTTTGTGTTTTTTTTCTGATTTCCGCATTAGATTAGAAGAGCAATCAGTGCAATTTTTAGTTGAAAATATCCAAGATTCTAGTGGTAAAAATGCAAGTCGCGAGGATACATATTTGGCAACTTGAATTGTAGCTACGTTTTTCGTGAGGGGAACGACGAATAATCCTTTGTTCTTCCAAAAATATTCTCTGAAAATTTCGTGAGAAAGTGTCCATTACATTCGTCTTAAAAAATAAAGCAGCACATTGTGATGGAGATACGTTACTCGGTGCACTGAGAAAACATGTTTTGTTTAATGAACCGGAATAAGGTGTTCTATTATGACCGCACTATATGGGTAATGTAAAAGAATACTTCCAGTTCTGATAACAGATACGCATGCTCATGAAACCAAGCTCTTTTCACAGCACGGTTCACATCCTACCAGACTATTTTTACGGTTTGGTTTGAAAGATCGGCTGTATAAACAGGAGTAGGTACGGTGTGTTACATCTGCCGCATCGGCATATAGAACAACGCACACCGATTCATAAAATCAACATTTTTTTCTTAGTGTAATTTCGAAGTCATTTTGTTTGTGATATTACCTAAACCGTGAACTTAATTTCTGTCTAAAAAATTTAAAAATAAATGTGTGTGAAAAAACCACAGGAATTTGACTACTTTACTTTAACCTAATTTTAAAAGAGGGGGTTTTTAAAAAAAATGTATTAAAATGATTGAATGACTTTTAAAACCGAAAAATTTAAACACATATTCATGCTCATTTGCAGATGTAATGCTTTGTATGGAACACCAACAATGCATTTAGATATCTGCTCACTAGCTGAACAAAGTAAGGAATCTTCATGGAAAGATAATCTAGATATAATTTTGACGGGTGGATCGCTGCTCTTGCCCAAAGTTTATGATAGGATACACAGTATTTTTCCCTCGACCAACATTTATGTGAGTATAAATCTTTGTGATTTTTTTTTAAAAAAAGATTCTATTGTTTAAGAAGTAAATTTTTTTCATAGCATGAAAAATCCAAGAAATCCTGTCAACAAAGCGAACATAATATGTGCGTTTTGAAAGTATTTGGCTGTATCCAAAGAAAGTTTTTTTCTCAATTTCTAGAAAGGATCACTACAATCATTTCACAGTCATCTAGACTATTCCAGTTACCATTACGTATTTGAGTTGATTTCTGTGATAGATGTTTGAGGTAGAGACGTTTAAATAATATTTGAAGTTTATCATTACATAGGCAGAAGGATTTTAAAAGTACACGCCAGATTCCTTTTCTCCACGATTTAATACTAAACTAATTTGAACTGTGGGCGTTGAATTATGCATGAGTATTAGCAAGGCTTGACATCCTTTTGTCTTTCATTTCTTTTTTACTATGACTTTTTTCAGTCAGCATACGGAATGACGGAGACTAGTCCATGTTTGTTTCTAAGCCGACTGACGGACACAGAAGACCAAAAGAAACACACAGTTGGGTTTGTACAGGATCATGTTGAGGTGAGCAGGGCTTATTTCCCTCATTCGCCAGTACTCCATTTTATCCTTTTGAAAATACGTAAAAAATCTAAATCTATTGAAGCAGGCCATCTTACTCAAATCGATTATTCATAATGCTTAAAATTGGAGAAAAACAGAGTTGCCAATCTGCAATAATTGCCTCTGGAGATGAAATCATAAACTCGGACGAGTAATTTCATCAAACATACTTAATTTTGTTAATGTGCTATTAAGGCTATCGAATAAAGAGCTACCCACTCTCTTTCAAGTCTACTTCTTCGTGCCACATCCAGCATATTGACAGTGTTACTACCAGACCACATATTTCGGTTTGCGCCGTTGCAGATTTCCTGTCGTACTTCATCATTTAAATGGAAAACTACTCAGTGAGAACTTCCCTGACTTTTCGTTTCTGTGCAAAGAAAAGTCCGTGTAAACTTCAAGGAATGATTTTGATTCTTTCTCTTTCAAGAAAATTAATGGTACCGGAGAATTTTAAACTCCGCAAACGAGATATCGTCACCTTCCAGGCAAAGTATCACAAGCGCCATGCGACGTTTAAAAATTTCCGCCGCCATTTTATTTTTTTACAAAGAAATTGTTCAACGAATAAGCTGTCCGAAAATTTCACTGAATTTTCTTTGTGCTGCCGATAAAATTTAGTGAAATTTCCAAACAGATTCAACCAACAATTTCTCAGTAAAGAAATAAAATGGCGGCGGAAATTTTTAAACGTCGCATGGCGCTTGTGATACTTTGCCTGGAAGGTGACGATATATGGTCAGGTGGTTTCACTATCGATATTCATATAACACTAGTGATTGATGGCTGCAATATAATATCCCTTCGCTGATAAAAGTTCGACAGTTTAAGGTCTTTCATATACATGTTCAAGTGTGTATTATAATTGCGGATTTACATCATCGTAACGGAATCACGTTGACTTTACAGGTGAAAATTGTTGATAGAGCTGGAAAAATGGTACCGTTTGGTTCACCGGGAGAACTCTGGTGCAGAGGATATGTGAAAATGCTGGGTTACTACAACCAGGACTCTAAAACAGCGGAAATGATCGGAAAAGATGCATGGATAAAAACTGGGTGAGGACTTAAATTCACCATTAGCTGCCCTGAATCTAACTTCACGTATCCTGCACCTAACTTAAAATAACCCACTGAACCTAACCCACGAGCCTCATTGAAAATTACCCACTGAATATTAAACTGTTCAAACCCTTGACAGTCCTTATGTCTCATCATGTGTGTGTAAATTTGTTGACGTTGCATTGAAATCCGACCATTTAGTACCTTGATCATGACGTATAAGAATTTCAAATAGGCTTTTCATTAAACATTTTCCTCATTGCAAACTTCAAACGTCCATAACTTCAGTTTAGTTTGATATTTTTTGGAGGTTTTTGGTCCCAAAACGTTCATATCTGCTGTATTTTACGTTTGCAATTGCCAAATTATAACACATTTTTATGCCTTATATTGGCACAAAGTGTTGTTCCTCAGACTAAAGAACGTGATTACATTCCAACGTTGGTAAACTTCTACTCACAAATGGAACATTTTGGAAAAGATTTGCACATCCACATTCTTGTACAAAATTGATTTATTTGTGTCGGTTTTGCAACTTTGAGATGAAGGTGCGTTCTTTTGTTGGAGGATCGACGAAATATGAGTTTATCTGCCTGCTACTCATTCGAAAGGCTGCTAAAAGTTTTCGGATGACTGTTTTTTTTTAAAGTCTGGGAAAATCACTCCGTTGAAAATTTTGCTCTCGAGCAACGAAGTGCCTTTTTTCATGAACTGTCGTATAAAATTTTCGAAACTAATTTTTTCTGATTTCCCTAGAGATGAAGCGCTCTTATCCGAGGACGGTTACGCACAAATTGTCGGCAGAATCAAAGATTTAATAATAAGAGGTGGTGAAAATATATCTCCGAAAGAGGTCGAAGATTTGTTACAAGCTCATCCAGATATTTTTGAGGCACAGGTAAGTTTGCATTTTTATTAGGTTCGAAAAACTAAGATGTCATATTTTGAAAACATATTTTCGAAATAAAGGATATTTTCCCCCAAAAAATTTTCCGGAGAGTTCTGTTCGGTGTACAATGCATATGCAATTTTATACATTTTTTTAAAGTTTTCAACCACAATCCGGGCTAACATAGACTAATGATCTACATTATCTGACCTGAAAATTTGATTAAAATTTTACACTGCTTTGAAAATCATTGCATGTCCGTGCGGTTTTTGGTTGCACGTATGCACTTGTGGTAATTGCACCTTGGAGTTCTTTCTCAAGTAAAAATAATGTGCTTTTCATTCGCTTTTTCATTTATTTCCGCTTTAATTCAATCGTAGATTTCTTTTATTTCATGTAATGGTTTACAATTCATTCGTTTTTCAGAATATTATTTTAACATTTTTCCTAACAATTCTATTGCCACAGGTGTTTGGGGTCACAGATGAACGACTAGGCGAAGTCGTTGGAGCAGCACTAATACTAAGGCCAGGAAAATCAATTACAGCGGATGAAGTAAAAACATTTTGTCAAGGAAAAGTAAGTGCGTTTAAGATATTTTTCCTGCTTTTGAGTATTTTTTACTCACAAAATATTATCTGTAATGCAACAATTTTTAACAATATTTGCTCTTGTCATATGGAAAAAACTTATTTCTCTTGATCAAAAAATAATTACATTTTCCCATAAATAAAATTTTTCATCGGCGAATTTCTTTCTTTTTTTTTCTTTACGGATATTTGTCAGAACGTACGCATTTAGGTGTTTTTGTACTCTTTTAGGAGCGTTCAATGTTTCTCTTCTCATAAAATTTTACCTGATGAGGGAAGTATATAAATGATGACCGATATTTTACCGAACCACTTTTTGCTTCAGTTTTTTCAGTATTTCTTGTCGCCCTAACATATGATCTTTGTCTTTGATAGAATTAATCTTTGATAGAGCTAAACATTAATACATCTGATCGTTCTTTTTTGCAGATTTCACAATTTAAGGTTCCGAAATATGTACAATTTCTACCCGAATTTCCTAAAACAGGCTCGGGAAAAATTAAGAAACACATCCTCAAAGAATCAATGGAAAAAGCTTTACAGGCGGGAGATCTCTGACCAGAAAAAGTCTCTGCGGTTCTCATTTGCAACAGAATTAAGCTCGTTCAACAATCTGTTCATCTCAAGACGGAGATGTACCAAACAATCATGCCTGTAACGATACTCAAGTCCGTTGATCGAAATGATGATTTTTATGACTACCTCGATTGGTGATCTCTGACGTTTGAGAGTATTGCCATTTATTACAATCCAGAGCGCAAGCTAAGATTACGCTTCAGAAGTCCTACCTCCTACATGCATTTTAGGGTAGTAAAATTTACCGTCTATTCTGCCGTGCTAAGGAAGAACGCCGTATGAGCCTTCAGACGTTACCAAGTTTCCTTCGATAAAAACTGAATTTACTGGGAAAGTTGTGAATATTTTCCCCCCAAAATTTTCAGATAATTTCGTACGCAATTTAATCTAAAACATCTGAAAATTTCAAAGAAAACTGTGTATGAATGTCGTCAAAAATACATATTTTATAGAGGGAAATTTGACAACTCTCGAATTTTCCTACGGCGTTCTTCCTTAGCACGGCAGTATTGCACAGTTAATAGCCGGAAAGCGCTTAAACGCTTGCATGTCTTCATAAAAATGAGCTGGACCGACCATCCGACGTCTTTGTGTGTCGACTGCAATAAATTAAAGTCTACAGGTAGTTTACTCTCAAGATAGGAACCATCCGAAAGAATATTATGCTTCGCAATTTTCAATAGTTTTTCTTTAATCTGCGAACCACTTCATGATAATCCTTCAACAGTTTCAAGTCTTAATGCGTATTTTAACTTCTAAAAATAAGAGTTTTCAAATGTTGAGATTGAGTATTGATATTCAGTAGCGATTTCGCAAGTTGGCGACACCGCTTTCCTCCATTTAATTCCACCGAAAATATCGAGGCAAGCTGCCTCACCAAGAATCGATTATTTACATTCACTCAAATGAGGGGAAAACAGAGTTGATAACTTTCAAGCATCGCTTTGTTGATATTCGGAAAACCCACACGGATTGCAGCATGCACAGTAACGGATGAAATCGTACGTATATATTTTGAGTGTGATATCATTTTTATCGCAACTAAGTCAATAGACTTTTCCTAAGCAATGAGGTTAATGAACCAATACTGTCGCGCCAAGTAAAAACGCCGTATGAGCCTTCAGACATTGTCAAATTTCCTCTGATAAAAACCGAATTTACTGAGAAGGTTATGAATATTTGTTTTCAAAATTTTCTCTAGATTTTATACGCCATTGAATCTAAAATATCTGAAAGTTTAAAGGACAAATATGCATAAATTTTGTGAAAAATACCTGTTTTATCAAGGGAAATCTGGCAACTCTGGAATGTTCATACGACATTTTTCCTTAGCACGGTAGAATACCGGCCTATCTAAGCTCGGCGAGTTAATTATTTCTGACTCTTAACCCGTGTAAAAACTGAAGAAATATATTTATAAATATTTCAACAATATCCCCTCACATTCCGAATAAAAACAAGAAGAAACATCCAACATGAATATGTTGGAAAAGCGTGCCGAAGAACTGAAATCTAGTGTGTGCACTATTTCCATTTCAACGAGATGTGTATAAATTAGTACTCTCTGCAAATTGGGGAGGAATTATTGATTTGATACCGTTGAATGTAAATACATTTAATTGAAAATACATTTTATTGAATAAAGAAAGTAACATAATTATATTGGATGAACAAAGAAAATAACATCATAAATCATTTAACTGAATTGGTTCATTCAGAATTTCAAATTAAAGTTTGGAAATTGTTCAGTTTGTTGCGTCATGTTGGAGATTGCTCAGTTTGCAGCAGCAGAGTATGGAGTTTACTCTGTTTAATGAGTCAAACTTTGTCTTTTCTCTTTTCTTCGATTGATTTGTATTAAAATGAGACTTTAAGGTATCTTTTCTGGAAATAAAAAAAAAAACGTGACACAAAAAAAAAAAAAAAAAAAAAAAAAAAAAAAAATGCAACTTACACTCAGAGAATCAACAAGGGAACCTAACCTCCAAAACTCTGCCTTCCAATTGGTCGAATTGGAGATTGCTCACTTCGCTGCAGTTGTAACTATGGAGATGCAGCCAACTTGGGTTTAACCGCTTTTGAAAAGACGCTGATTCGCTAAATAGTTATGGCGGCATTTAAACTTCTAATTTAAATCCTCCGAGCGTAGAAAAGCTTATTTGACGTACCTATGAAAGAAAATAATACGGTTTCCACGGGAAAATGTTCTCAAGGGTTTCCAGTAACAGGATAATTCGGTTTCTCGATGAATGACCTTCAGGGCTTGACACTATAACGGTTCAAAAACGGAAGAACGGATCCGACGGAAAAAAAATTCGGACCGCCCCTTGAAAAGCATTGGTCGATCGGTGTGCTGTACTACAGTACATCCGAGTGATTTCAAAAAGCGAGCCCTATAGGCACGCTTAAAAGTAGGAATTAATAATGAGAGGCTTGAGCAGATTTGATTGAAATCAGAACTTTCCAATGATTATTTGTGACAATGTATTAAATCAGTTTTCGCAGGTTTCGCAACAATGAGATCGAGCAAAGGGCAAATCTTGCAAATAGACGCGACTCATTTATAACACCGTTGTGGGTTAAATTGCATAACTTCCTACTTGAGGGCGAAATGAGTTCCAAAAGACTCTGAACGTTTTAGTGCTCCAATTTTCTGTATTTCTTTTCTTCAGGCCGTTAAAACTTTCTGACGATAAAAAAGCTTTAAAAACTTTATGTAAGACTTTATTTCAGCCTCAGGTCTCATTGTGATAACTTACACCAGTGCATATTTTGCTTTCTCTCCTACCTAAGAGTGAGTTTTCTTCTCTAGTCTCTAACAAAAAAGTTTGAAAAATGTAATAGCAAGGAGCCAATCACACTAAACGGTTCTAATACATCGGATTGTAAAACTTGTCAAAAGCTTTAATCCATCCAAAGTGAAACTACTAGCTTTTGTCAGTATGAAAATTGCCTTTAACGATTCATTTTTTTCAAAGAAAGAATAATTAGAAATAGCCAAAACTAGAGAAAAAAACTATTTCAATACTAACTATATACTAACTATATCAAGTTGGTCTTTGTATTTTAATTTTCAAAAATGAACTCTAAGAGTTTTTAATGAATCTAGGATTCTTTCGGAAGCTTGGTATATTTCGATATATGTGAATAATATTTTCCAATTCAATGGATTTTGTAAAGACAAAAATGTGACTTTTTTATTAAAAAAGTTACTTAAAATTTTTTTAAGTATCTTGCATTTAAGTTTCCTAAAACTGATTAAATGTACATATTCCATGGAGACCGCAAACCTCGATTCATTTTTCTGAGTTTCACTGATTTAGTTTGACCACTGAAATTTGAAAATTCAATATTTATCGGGGTATCGAACGTTTTTGTTTACTTTGATTTGAGTAGGTTGCAAGATTTCAAAAACAACACCTAATTACAATCATTTTTTTAAACTTATTTTACCATTGATGTCTATGAATTGAAACTCATCTAAAAGTTTTGTGCTACACAAGTATGTGGTTGAATTAATTAGCGATGTTACACATTTTCTGTCTAATTTGTGATGATAATGGGAAAAAGAACATTCCCATTCGCAAAAACTTTTCATTTTTGTTTCCTCCACAGTGCGCAGGCAAGTAAAAAATGGAGTATAAAAAATAAGGAAAAAGCTCAATATACTGAGAGTTCCGAAGATTGGTATCATTTTCAAGGAATAATAATAGCGCTAGATTGGGATAAAGATAAAATTAACAGAAATGGGTGCAAAAATCTAATAAGCTAAATAAGAAAACTAATGCTAAATAAGATACTGTATACGGGCTGAAGAGAAAATCCCAAACCCCCTAAGACACTCAATGCCTAAGCCAGTTAAGAGTTTCAGCTTTATCGCATGGATAAGGCAATTGTACGTGCTGAGAACTCTCTCACTCGAATCATTATACAAAATGAGCCTTTGTTCAGAGGAACTTGAGGAAAGTTCTCTACTTGCTCAGGGCCAATCATGTCTTTTTACCGCATAGTCTTCCTTTATAGCATACTATTTAATATCCAAGAGAGCCTATATCAGCCTTCCCTTAAATCTTCCCAGTAGCAAGACTGTTTGTGCAGAAATGCGTTTAAATAATGGAGAAATAACCACTGACTCGCATCCATGCTGCCATGCTAAGGAAAAACGCCATATGAATCTCCAGGCGTTGCCAAATTTCCTCTGATAAAATACGAAAAAATACATGCTTTTTGTTTTATCTGGGGAAATTTGGTGACTCTCGAGTGTTCATTCGGCGTTTAGCGCAGCAGCGTGGGTGAATGAGGAAAATAAGTAAGACAGGCAGGAAACCGAATCGAAGAAGTGGGGCTAAATGTGTGTGGGAGTAAACAGTGACCAAATAAATATATTAATAAAATTTGACGAATGTTATTTAATTTGACTCAATATAAACGTAAGAATACTAAATTCAACGACCAATCGAACCTTTCAAAAATGAGAGGGTTTAGTCACATAGATTTCGTTCGCTTTCACGACGACATTCGAATAAAGTTGAGTGAAGAACCTTTGAAGTGCCACTCTCCAGTTTCATTTAAGACGCAAAAAATACGGCGCGGCAGTGACATAAAAGCTCATTTTATGAAGAAATGTATGTTTAGTCATTCGACGTTTAATTTAAGATAATAAAGCAAGACATATCTTTTAATCGCCAAGAGTATAAGACCACACGAAAATGAGCACACCAGTTACACAACTAAAATAAGAGATCCCTCTGATCAGGCTTTCTACACTCATAAGTTTTATCTTCTGTTTGACGAGGAAAGAGAAGAATTAGAAATCTCATTTTGATACATTCCTGGACATAATCAAAGTTAAGCTTTGAAAAAGGGAATCTGATTATTGTGTTGCAGTTGATTCCACCGACCTCCTATATTGATTATGAAAAGTCAGGAAACACTACCCAGATTTTCATAGCTCAAAAGTCTTCTATTTTTGTATTATATCTAATTATTTATTTTAAATGAGAGACGAACAAATGTTATTGTTCAAGAAATATCCGAATAATCCTTAAGGCTACATGTCTGGTTATTTGTAAGATTTTTTCTTTTCTTGTTTCTTTTTTCAAAGAATTTCACCTGAGATCATTGGATATAAGAGTCATTTCTACAGTGCTCTTTCGCCCTCTAAAATGCGCAACTGCCGAACACCCTTTTCCTGCAAGGCTTTTTGGGAGGTGGCGTGCCCTCAATTCTTGTTCAATTTTGTGTCTTAATTCGCCCTTCAAATTGTCTTTGATTGTCA